GACGACGATGATGAAATGAAATGAAATGAATTTTACATTCAATAAAAGATTTATTGATAATCGTTAACACTAATTGTTTGATGATAGATAGATTTAAGATTCAAAAGATTCAAAATCAAATTGTGCAAATCATCATCATCATCATTGAATAATCAAAATCGAATAAAAGATTTGAAACTTTATTGTTAAATTATCTATGCAAAAGTTTCATTTGCTGTTAGTGTTGTTGTTGGCAAATCTTTCGTATTTTCATCTGTTGTTGATCTCTAGATGGCAAACGATTTCAAGTTCAAATCAATCAAATCAATTGATTCAATTCAAGAAGATTAGAAAAAATAGAATGCGAACAAAACAAAATAAACATAATATTTCCAAGAATTTGAGTATTAAAAAAAAAATTCAACAAGTAATTCGATTAACGCATGCGCATCATCAATTCGAACATTTTTGACACAATTCGAACATTCATTGACAAAAATCAAAATTCTTTACTTACATTATCCAGTGATATCTGTGAATGTTGATGGTCATCAATGGAATCATTCGATAAATGTCCATAATCATTATTATTTAGATGAAGATTATTATCATCGTCGATAATTGAAAAATCATCATCATAATCTTGAATTAATTGTTCATTATTTTCATCAACATTATTATCACCATTATCTCCATTATCATCATCATCATCATTATGATCGTCTTCATCATTATTATCATCATCGTTATCATCATCATCACTAGTATAAATTTTACCACAATTTTCAACAAAATTTTTATCATTAAATAATTCAGCATAAAATTCATCCAATTCTTTTGTTAAATTTTCAAGATCTTTCATTACACATTCATCTGATCGAATATTATTATTATTATTGACAATATTTGTCGATATTTGATGATCCAAATATTCATTAGGATCTAGAATTTGACATTCTTCATCATCATCATCATCATCATCGCCACCACTATTAATATTCACTTTAGTTTGTTGATGATTATTTACAATGGTGTTGACAACCTTGATTTCATCATCATTATTATCAATATTAAATGATTCAAGTATAACAAGGTTATCGGGAATTGTTGTTACACTTTCAATAATAACATTATTATTATCATTATTGTTGTTGAAATTTAAATTCATTTGTTGTTGATCACTACAGCTTTGTTGTTGTTGTTGATCAATAAATAAATTTGATTTAGATTTACGATGATAATTCCAATGATCAAATAATGCTGATGAATAAGCTGCTGCCATTCGATTATTATTATTATTATTGATTTCAACATTTTCATTAGAATTTTCATTAACACCACCACCACCATCAATGCTACTACTATTATCATCATCAACACTATTATTATCATCATCATCATCATGATGAACAACGGTATTAACATTACTATTTTCATTCATATATAATAATGATAAATCATCAACAGTCGATTTAAATGAAAGTTCGGATGAAAATGAATCATTTCCATCATCATCATTATTATTATTATTGTTATTATTGTCATCATCAGCAAATATTGAAGGTGATAATGATGTTGAAGCTGTTCCAGGATCGGATTGTTTGATTGAATTTTTTTCTTTATTATTACCTGGTGTTGATGATGATGATGGTTGTGAAAATAAAGCATTTCCATAATCATAATCTTCATTATTATTATTATTATTATTATTATTGTCATTATGATGATCATCAAATATTGAAAATGATGGTAATGATGTTTCAGGATCGGATTGTTTGATTGAATTTTCCGTTGTTGATGATAATGATGATGATGGTGATGCTAATGGTGATGGTGTTATTGTTGTTGTTGATGATGATGATAATGTTGATGAAATATTCATATTTAAATTCATTATTTCGGTAGCAGTATTATTATTATTGGAAGCAATGTTATTGATGATTATTGTTGATGAATGACAATTTTCAGGGATTAATGATGTTGTTGATGAATATGATTGTTGATCTGTTGGTGAAAACATTTTGTTGACACAATGCACAGCCACTTTTACTTTTCAAAAAAAATATATTCCGGAAATTTTAATGATTCAAACAATCAAAAATAATCGATGATTGACCAATCATCAGATCATTATTGAGAAATAATTTAATGATTGATTGATTGATTCCACACTTTATCGATTAAAAAACATTGATATTTACAATCAATCAATTCAAGAATTCAATGTTGATCGACGATTATAATTGGATTTTTTCTTATTTTTGCCACGGACAACACTTTATCTGCCATCCACACACATCTTATCTTATGGATGAATGGAATATAATGAATGAATGAAATGAAATGAAAACAAAACAAAATTCAGTAAAATCAAAGAATTCACAAGACAGGCAGTTTTTAGAAGCAAAATTACACCAAAAAAAAACAGATAAAAAAATGATGAATGATTTTTAGATAATAATTAAACAAAACAAAACAAAAACAAATCAGCCAAAACCAAAACCATACCAAAAAAAAAAAATAATATAATCGGTGTGCGTGTGTTTGTTTTTTCGTTGAATTGTGATTGAATGTAGATTGGATTTGTCCATTCAAAAATATCGTTACACTATTTTTGTTGTTGTTGTTGCTGTTTGTTTACATGCATGTGTTGTTGTATGACTTTTTCACTTTCACAACGTAAAATGCATGAGAAAAAGTTGTGGCGCGCACTTTAATGCGCGCAATTTTTCTTTTCTTCGTCTTTCGTTCTGTTGATCAACTATTTAAACCCGACCAATAGATTTAATCAACGGTAGAAATAGTTTCGATGATCGGATTTTACTTGTTTTTTTTTCTTTTGGTGACAAATTTTTATCTTAACAAATTCAAAATGAAAAAATTGAAAATTTTAAGAATTTCAATTTGAAATGAAAAAAAAACATTTGAATATCGATAAGTAATAATAGAATTCGCAACAAAGAAACAAAAAAAAAATATCTGACAATCATTCGGGGAAAGATGATCAATGTCAAAAAATCATTTGATCAACAACAATATTCTATTATGCAAAAGTTCAAAGTTCAAAAAAGTGAGGGAAGATGCAGAAAAAAAACCGTAAAAAGGATATGACAATCGGATAAAACCTGAAATGAATTCTTGCGAAAAATAATTAACGAGAAGAAAAAAAACGAGTCGTTAGAACGCAAATATAACACACACACACAAACAGACAAAGCGAGATAGAAAATCACATTCACAGACATCGACTTTGGCACAAAAATGACAGTGTTGGAAACAACGTGTAACAAAATTTATGAACATTGTCAATTATGGATCAACAAATAAATGAGGAATCGATATGAAATTTAAATAATTTTTCAAACAAACAAACAAACAAAAAATTGATTTGATTTTTACAAAAGATTAATCAGATAAAAGGGTTGGATATCTATTTTTTTTTGTCTCTTTAAACACCGAAAGAATTATCGCAAATCTTCTCTTATCCGGTACTGGTTAATTAAGTAGTCAATATTTCAGTGAGACAATCCTTTTCCAATCAAAGATTTGCAAAAAAAAAGTTTTTTAATCCAAATTGTGTAATCCATTCAAAATAACCTATTGACAGTCCACAACAATCATCGATATGATGACATAATAATCCTCGAAAAAAATGTGACAATAATAAACACGATCAGAACATAGATGAGAAAAACAACAACAACTGGCAATAATTTTTAAGATTCGGAAAATTACATGACGATATTTTTTTCCCAAACGAAAATATTCAGCCAAACAAACCAACCAAAAAAATGAAGATCATAAGTAATTTTTTTTCTCTTTCTTGTTGCCATTCATCATCATCATCATCAGTGATCCATGATGTAATATGATTTTGATTGTCATAATGATCTTTATCGTTCAGTTTCTTTTTTGAAGCAAAAAAACAAAATAACACGTGCAATTTTTTTTCTGTAGCGTTAAGGCCAAGTGAAAAAAAAATAGATCATCATCATCATCATTTGAAAATCATCATTATTCTTGGATGAGTGAAAGTGAAAGTGAAATTCTTTTTTTTTGTGGCCAAAAATGATCATTAATAAAAACATTTTGCAAATGTTTTTTCAACAAATTTTCCTTCGAAACACATTACCCAACTGAATGAGAAATGAGAATCCGCTTGTGTTTGTGTTTCATCATGGTTATTTGGTCATTTTTTTTTTTTGCAAAGCCTGGGTTGAATTTTTTCTGCTGTTGTTACTTTTCAGTCATCATCGACAGCATTTTATCATGATTTCCAAATTGGCCAATATCAGCCAATCGTGTAATATTGAATAACAATGCAGAAAACAAAACAAAACAATAGAGAATCATTATTATCTTGATGGAATTTGAAAATGGAAAAAAAAATCTTTGAAAATACAACAACAACTGAACAAATGAAATCGAAATGATGATGATGGATAAGATCTTTTTTTTTGGATAACAATTTGTTGTTGTTACAATTTTCTCTATCGCTTCATTATCATCATTATTATCACACCATAACAAGTGTCGCGAATCTAATCGCCAAAGATGTTTTTTGTTCGTGTTGAATTACATAACCGATGCTAAATAAGATTCGTTTTTTGTTTCGTTGTTTTTTGTTTTGTCGTTATTGTACTCAAAACAATGATGACAAAAATGAAATGAAAAGAATTGACCTCGAAACTTTTCATGAATGAAAATTACTTTTTTTTTGCGAACGCCCAATGCGAACAACATTTGATGATGATCGTCGTCGACGATTCGTAATTCGATTGATGATGATGATGATTGATGGGCGTCGATTTGACGATTGGCCAATAATTGTCATTTCTTAGTTTTGCATTTTTGTTTTGATCCAAATAATAAAATTGATTGATTGATTTGAAATAAAAATTTGCTACCAAAATCTTTCGAAAGATGGCAGCAGTTTTGTAATTTGAATTTTGAAACAAAAAATCCGTTAATTTTTTTTTCTTTTGTACACGTCAGTTGTGGATTTGTTGTTTTGAATGATGTTTTTTTTTTTTAAATTTAAGGAAAACAATTTAGATTTTAACAAATTTTTTTGTTTTAATGAATAAAAATGTCCCAAGAAAATAGAGCAGATGATATAAATCCATTGATCATAAAATGGTTAACACAATGGCGTGATCAAGCTCGACAACATGGTAGTAAACTGGAATTTGTTTATGGAAAGGTTTGTATTTAATTTTGTTTGAAAATTTTTCAAGTTTTTTTTTTGTTTCAATTGAATTTAGGCATTGAAAACATTACGTGAACATCCTCATCCATTAAGATCGGGTGAAGATTGTAAAAAACTTAAAAATTTTGGCACAAAAATCTGTGAAAAAATTGACAAAGAATTTGCCAAACTAAATGATCGATTACCAAAAGAAGTTGTTTCCAGCCAACAACATTCACCACAACGTGCCATAACGGATATTTTACCTATTGCTATTCGTGCTAAACGTCAATTAATACATACTCCTAAACAATCAACTAATAATGTTATTGCCAAAGATAGTCCACCGGTAAAAATTACAAAAACAGTCACGCAAAGAAATGTTAAAAATTGGGTTCCAACACCAGGTCAAACACCGTTTGCAATTTTAGTTGCATTACTTCGACGTCATCTTGAATTTGATGATAGTCGAGTGAATAAATTGGATCTTCAAGATATGGCCGAACTTTATACAAATACACGACCATTAATTTTGACTGTCACTTTAAATTCATTAATTCATAAACGACAATTAGTTGACAAAACTTCGGATCGAAATGCTAGATATTTTCTAACCGATAGTGGACGAAAATTGGCCATACAATTAGCAAAACAATGTCCATCATTAAAAGATTTTGCCAACCGTTTTCTCAACCAACAGTCAAATAATCTTATTACGAATTATTATGAAAAACAAAATCATTGTGCTGAATCTACACAAACAATTTGTCAGAATTTTATTCTAGAAGCCGGTACTTATGAAATAGTACTTTGTATTGATACTAGAGAACGATATTCAGATCGACAAGGTACACAGAATCGTACAGCATTTCCAGTCGCTCTTCAACAAAAAGGTATACCGGTAGAAATTCGTACACTTCCTTTAGGTGATTTTGTTTGGATAGCTAGAGAAAAAATTCAAACACAATTTGATTCAAACAATCAAAACAATATTCAACATCAAATTCGTCGTGAATTGGTTCTTGATTATATTATCGAACGTAAACGTATTGATGATTTAGCCAGTTCAATTAAAAGTCATCGATGGAATGAACAGAAATTTCGTTTAAGAAATTCTGGCATTCGTAATCCAATGTATTTGATTGAATATTTTGGAAAAAAATCAAGAAAACAAGATCATGGTTTTTTATCGGCAGCCACACTTGAACAAGCCATTACAAATTGTGAAATTGATGGATTCGAAATAAAATTAACGGATAATTTTGATGAAACTGTACGATATTTAGCTAACATGTCGAGATGGTTACAGAATTTTTATCAAAATAAATCTTTGATTTCATGTCAAGATCGAAAACGATTGGAAAAAACCTGTGCAAATGATCTTGTTTATATGACATTCAATGAATTTATTACAAATTCAAGTAAAATAACCATATTTACAGCAAAAGAAATGTTTATTAAACATTTATTACAAATACGTGGTTTATCAATGAAAAAAATTGAAACACTTGTTAAAAAATATCCAACAATTCGTTCACTTATTCAAGCATATTCTATGTTAGATGATGATCGAAAACGTGAAAAATTATTAACCGATTTAAAATGTGATTCACTTTCAGGCGTACAAGATCGTCGTCTTGGTCCTGCGATTAGTAAAAAAATTTACCAATTTTATAATTGATCTTTCAATATTTTGTAATTTTTAATATTTTTATTTTTTTAAATTAAACTAATTATTAAACAATATTATTAAACAAATCAATTTTCTGATTGTTGTGTGGCTGTCGTCGTCGTTGTTGTTGTTTGCGTGTTTGTCAATTGTGTACAGGATTGGTTAATACCAAATTTTCGATCAAATGCAATCGGATCAAAAGGAATACATTTGGTTATGTTATATGTTTTATAAATGCCAATCAAACGATCAGCCAATTCGTACATATTATTTCGTAAAGATATAATCAAAAATTGTGTGTTACGTGTTCGTTTTTTGATATAATTAGCAATGATTGATACATTTTTAAAATCTAATGCTGCATCAATTTCATCCATTATATATAATGGTGATGGTTTATAGTAATGTAGTGCAAATATCAGAGCCAATGATGCCAATGTTTTTTCACCACCCGATAGATGAATATTTATCTTCCAGGTTTTCTTATTCGGTCGAACAGCATAATTAATTCCTTCGGAAAATGGATCCAATGAATCGATAAATTCTAGATCGGCATCACCACCCAATGTAATTGATCGATACAATTCTTTCAATTTACGTGCAATGGTCAGATAGCCCGTTTTGAATTCTTTAAAACGACGATTTTTCGTTTCTCTTAAATGTTCCATGTACATATCACGTTTGGCTGTAACTTCATTCAAATCGTTTAGTTTAGCTAGATAATCGCGACGATGTTTACGAAATATTTCGATGGCTGCAAAATTTGGCGACAAATTTCCCAATTCAGATTCAATAGATTTGATATTCTTTTCAATCATATCAAAAGAAAGATCTTCTAATTCTTCGCCGGACAGTTTAGGAATGGTCATATGATATTTTTTCTTTGGTCTTTCCCCTCCGGACGAATCGGATACTCCATTTGTTTGCGTAATTTCAGATTCTTGATCAATTTCCATTGGTTCTTGATCAGTTTCCATTGGTTGAGGATCATCTTCATCATCATCGATCGGATCCAATTTGATCGATTCTAATTCAGCACGATATCTAGCCATTTTTTCACGTTTTTCTTTCAAAACTTTGAACTTTTCTTCAGCTTCCAATTTCAGATCCAGTTTAGAATTTTTGATCGCATTAAACTTGGCATCCATTTCTCGTGCACGTGTTCGAAGATCATTAAGTTCCTTCTCTTTAGTTAAACATTCTTGTTGAGCGTTTTCATATTTTTCAGTGATTTCTTTGGCAACAATCTCGATTTCTGCAATTTGTTTCTTAATTTCTTCCATTTCTTGCTCAGTTTCCTCTTGACTTTTCAAATTATTTGCTATTGCTTCTTCAGCTTTTTTCAGATTCAATTCTGCGGAAGTTTTTTCCGAAACAAGTTGATTCAATTGCGTCTGATTTTCTTTCATATTTTTTTCCAATGTTTTACGTCTTTTCTTCAATGGACCCATACGTTCATCAATTTTTTCATTGATTAAATTGTCAAGATCTTTGACCTGTTCTAGCAGCGAATTCATTTCGGTCATCGATTTATCATAAACTTGTTTAGCTTTTAGATATAATTGTTCAGCTTCATCTAATTTCGGATTATTTTTCAATTTTTCCACTTCAATCTTTTGACGTTCTATATTTTCTTGAACTTGTTTCAAACGATTTGCCGATTCTTGTATATCCAATCGAAAACTATTTGCTTTTTCTTCCATGAATTTTAAATCTCTTTCCAATTTAGTAATACTATCATGAACACCATCGATTTCGATATCTAGCTGTTGCCGTTCCATTTGTAACGATTCGATCTCTTTGGCAAGTTTTGTCATTTGTTCTTCCGAAACATCCGGTCCTGTTTCAGCAATTGACTGACCCATACCACCAGATCTAGGTTGGCCACCACCAGTCATGGCTCCATCCATTTCGATCATATCACCCTTTAAAGTTACAACTCTGTAACGTTTTTGTTGCGTTATACGTCTGGCTTGATCAATATCTTTGGCAACCAAAGTTTCACCCAATGCATAATAGAAAGCCGGACGAATTCGATCATCGTTTATCCGGATCAAATCGACTAGACGTGGAACATTTTCCGGATACGATATTGAAGGTTGCCATTGAACTCTAAGCTTATCTAACGCAATGAACGTGGCTGATGATAATTTTTTTTGTTTCAGGAATTCTACACATTTTTGCGCATTATCAATTGTATCGACAACAAAATTTTTCAATCGACCACAAGCAGTTGAAACAGCAACATCATATTCTTTATCAATGGCGCCAAGGTTGCCCAAACGTCCATATATGCCATCCAAAATTCCTTTATGTTTAGCATCCATAAGTGCTTCTCTGGTGGCATCATTCGATTTAACATTATGAATAGATCGTCGAAGATTAAGAAGTTCGGATGCCTTATGCTCGATCATTTCGGTAAGATCTTTACGTTTTTGTTCCAAAGTTTTAAGTTGTGATTGAAATTTTTTCAATTTAGCTTGATCTACTGGTATTTCTTGTTGATATTTTTCAAGCATTCGATTTTTTTCATCTGTTTCATCATGTATATGCCGAAATTTAGTTTGAAGTTGTTCATATTTATCTTTTGTTGAATCAGCTTGTTGTTTATAAACCATAAATTGATTATATGCTTCATTCATCTGATCTAATTTTGAGCTTTGCATATCTTTGAATTTGATCGATTCCAAATTCAGCTGATCTCGTTGTTTAATCAATTCGGAACAAGCTTTTTGTGCGATAGCCGTTTCTTCATTCATTTTTTCTTCAATTTGTTTCAATTCTGTTTCCATTTCTATTTTAGATTGTTCAAGTTTTTCAATCAGTTCATCATTTTGTGATGGCATATCCGTCCATTCGGCTAACTTTTTCTGATCTTCAATAATTTTGTTTTTCAATTTTTTCAATTTATCTTTTGTTGATTTCATTCGTTGATTATAATATAAATCATTTTTATTACATTCTTGAAATTTTAATTTTAATTTTTCAGCATTTTTTTCAAGCTCAGTGAATTCGATTGATTTGGTTTTTTCCTCTTCATCAAATTTTGCCTTTTCCAATCCGATAGTTTCTTCTTCTTTGTTAAAATCGTTGAATTTTTGTTCGAATATGGCATACTCTTCTTCATGATGTTGCAATTTTTTCGATAGTCTATATTGATTATATTGAACAAGTTTTGCTTTTTCAATCTTTTTCTTGTTTTCCAATACTAAAGCTTGAATAGCTTCATTTTTAGATTTTTCAAAAGATTTCAATTCATTTTGTGCATAATTTGCTCGAACAACATATTGTGTTCGTTGTTCATTTAATTCATTATATTTAACGGCAAGTTTGTCTATTGGTTCTTTGTAACGAGAGGTACCGATTATATCTTCAAGATATTCCAACATACCGACATCACTATTAGGATCGGCTTTTGGTTTCATCAACGATATCTGTTCAACTTCACCTTGAAGAATTAGGAAACGATTATAACGAAGATCAATACCGACTTCTTGAAGTTTTTTTGATACATCTCTGAACTGCATTCTACGATTATCAATCATATAATGAGAAGAATTATCTTTGTTGACCACACGACTGACAGTAAATCGAGAACCATCGATTACGTCAACATTATCATCACCCTACAGAAATATTGATCAGAATATGCAGAATCAGATTTTTTTTCAAATACTAACCTTATCATCGATCATGGCAAAATTAACATCAACTTGAGCAAATTGACAATTAGGCATTGATTCACTATTATGAATGATAGATGATATCTTAGTACAACGAAGTTTATGAGCACGGTAGCCAAACACAAACAACATTGAATCGATGACATTTGATTTCCCACTTCCATTTGGTCCGACAATTGAATTAAAACTTTTGTAAAAAGGTCCAAGAAGAGTGTATCCACCGAATGATTTAAAATTCGTAATTCCTATCGTTTCGATAATCAAACGTTCACCAGTTTGATCATCCAAGTTTTGAGGCTGTAAAGGAGGTGGAGGTATGTAGATATCATCAATGACTGAATGAAAAAAATGAATTATTAGATTAGATATCAGATGTCATCGAGAATGACACATACTTTGAGTACCACGTTCTTCATGAAATTGTTCTTCAAAATCATTGCCGATACTATTACGTTTGCCAACCGATGAACGATTAGAAGTTAAAGTCAAAGTGGAATCTTGATTTTTGGGAGCTCGAGGCATCTTTTCGAATATTTTTGAAGAAAAAATCAAAAGCAATTCGAAAATTCAAACATTTATTTTGAATGTAGAATTATCGAATTATAATTATCGTCACTCAAATTAACCGCCAATCGAATGTTGATAATCGAGCTATTTTCTTTTTGCAAAATGTATACATTTTGAATGATCCGTACAAAAATGACGTTCGAAAATTTTTTCAAAATTGCCTTGTTTTTTTCCGCAGTAACACCACCGAACGACTAAATATTCAAATAAAGATGGCGTTAAAAAAAATTGCCACCAAATGAGCATGCGTAAAAAGAAATTTTCGTTGAGCATATCACATTTTTTTTCTCGCTTTTACTCACTCCCTTTTCTATTTGTACGACATTGAGTCAAGGTGTGTGTGAATGGTTGTTTTGCACATTCAATGTTTATAAAATTTCGATTAATTCTATTTGGACGGGATTGAGTCAAGGTGTGTGAATGGTTTTTTTTTTCGTTTCTTAATGCGCGCAAGATGGAACAATCTGAAGTAATTTATGAAATCAATCAAGAAATGATTCAAACGGAACAACAACCGACACCGGAATCATCGACAGCTGTCGAAATGCCACAAATTAAACAAGAAATTACCGAAAATAATATGGAAATTGAAAATGATCATCAAATATTGATCGAACAAGAAGGTTATCAGGTATCGATCGATGATTTTGTCGCTTTTCACAATGAACAAGTAAAAACATTGAAAGAAGATAATAATTATTTGTCAAAAAGTTTTGAAATAATGTACAAGTTTAAAACTGTATTGGATCTTATTATTGACGATTATTTCAAAGATGACAAACATTTTAAATATAAAACCATTGTCGAATCGTTGGAAACCGATCTTGTCACTTTTATCGCTGATGATGAAGAAAAATATCAATCATTAATTCAAGAAGTTAATACAGATATTGTTTTGAATGAAGATAATCAGCTTGAATTTGTTGAACTTGATAATCCTAATGAAGAAGAAGAGGAAGGTATGTTATTATTTAAATAAAACAAAAGAAATTTTTACATTTTTTTCCAAAATTTATTCTCAGTTGTCAATGGAATCAACGAGTTCGGTCCATCAATCATTCGCAGACTTCCCGGGCAAAAATCTGCTCCGCTTCCAGAATGCCCGGCATGTGGATTAAAAGTTCGTTGCCGTCTTAAATTAGAAGGACATCTATTGGAACACGAAGATAATCCATTGGTTGTTTGTAATCATGAAAATTGTGAGACTGCGTTTGCGTTACATGAATTAACACAACACGAAAAAGATTACCATCCAGATGTCTGTTTAATATGTGAAATGTGTAATGAAATGTTTGATAACAAGACAACTTTAGTTCAGCATTATAAACTTCATATATCGAAAAAGGTATTTTTTCATATAAATTTTCACTGTTACAAAAATATAATTTTTGTTTTCGTAAAGGAAAAATTGAAATGTAACTTTCCGGGTTGTGATTATACCGATATATATGCTGGCCGTTTGGATCGACATAAAAAAATTGCACACAATATTGAAGTTACCAAACAATTTAAATGCGATTTTGAAGGATGTGGTCGTATATTCAAAGATCGACCATCATATTATACACATTCATTAATTCATAAAGATCGAAGTTTGGTTTATAAACACAAGTGCACTTATGAAAATTGTGGTGCCGTTTTTAAACGTCGAAGAAATCTGGCTTTACACATGCTAAAACACGGCTATGTTAAACGAAAATATACATGCATGTATGGTGAATGCAGACGAACATATGCGCGCGAAAGAGAATTAATGCGACACATTGAATTGGTCCATCGAGGTATGTTTAAATAGCCGAACGAAATATTTTTGATTGTCTTATTTGATTACGATACAAATCATTTACTATCTTTAATTTTTGCATAGCTCGTCTCAAAAGCGAACCAATTGATGGTGAAGAATTGGCAGCCAATGAAACAGAAAATGAAGATGAAAATAAAAATGATGATGATTCCAATACCGAAGATGGTATGACATTGGTTAAACGTATACGAAAGAACAAATCGATCGATAGTGAATATTCTGATTCACAATTAGATGATGATTCACCGGCAAATACGGCAAGAAAAATATTATTTATGATGAATAAAAATAGCAGTAATCCACAAGAATTGGAAATTATTGGAGGTAAGATGTTTTTTTTAAATTTTATAGTTGAATTAAAATTTTTTTGTATCTGCGAAACAGGCAGTGTTAATGACATTTATCAAGATAATGATCTTATTGGAACTGATTGTGAACTATGTCAGAAAAATTTTGGATCAACCGAAGGATTATTAAATCATTTAAAAGATCGCCATCATCAATATACGGTTAAAGCTTATCGTTGTGATCATGAAAACTGTGACTTTGCAACACATTTCCGTTCGATTTTGGGTAAACACAAAAACGATGTTCATGGTGGTAAATACAAATGTGAAGTTTGTGGCAAATTATCTAAAGATTCTGGCAACCATAATCGTCATCGAAATATTCATAAAAACATTCTTTATCGTTGTAGAGTGGCCGGATGTGATGCTGTTTATAAAAGTCCAAAAGCGTATTATGTTCATGTATTGACACATTCAAATGAACAACCAGTTTATGCTTGTGATCATCCTGGTTGCAAGTATATTACCTATTACGTTAATACATTGAATGTACACAAATTGACACATTCAGATATAAGAAATTTTTTCTGTCCTTATGAAAATTGCGGCAAAGGATTCAAACGTAATGGTGATCTTAACAAGCATATCATACATTCACATAAAGGTGTGAAAAGACCACAAAAGAAACGTCAACGTCAATCGAATAATGATTCACAACTTATAATGTACCGTTGTAAATATGAAGGATGTAATTTTACTAGCGATGATGGTGATCAAATTAGTAAACATGAAGAAGAACATGAACATGAAATGGTTCCCGAAAATGCCGAAGAAGAAGAATATTAATCTATAATTCTTTGTTTATTATTAATGATTTTGAATAAAAAATGTTCCATTATTAAAAAAAATTATACTTATATAAAAAAATGAAAATTATTTTATGAATAAATTCGATGTTTAATTTGGACAGAAATTTTTTTTGAAACATTTATTCATTTTTATTTTGGTCGTTTCGTTGATCGTTCGGCTGTTGCAAATTTGAATGGAACAATTTTTGTTGTTGGCTTTGGTTTAATTAATGGTATGCCAGTTTCCATTTTAGGATCATATTTTGCAGTACAGGCAAATTTTAGCTCTATATAGATTTATTATGATTATTAGATGATGACATGATCATTATCAAATTTTTTTTTTAAATACCTTTTTTACAAGCTGGTGTTTTACTTTGCATTTTGTCATAATAATTTTCAGTCATTGATTTGAATTTTGTCAAAGATTTTGTACCATCAATTCGAAATTTTGAATTTGAATTTGACAAATCATTGTTGTCAAGTTTGATATTTTTTGCAATAGATGATTCGTGACATGGAGTCATCTTTTGTTGTTGTTGATCATTCGGCCATTTTGAATTTTTTATCGTTGTCTTATTGATGAACATAACATTCGAATGTTTATCATCAACATTGTTGGTTAACATTTGTTGTTTGATTGTCAAAGATTTTTGTTTTGATGAATCCATTATTACAAGGATATGAAAAATAATCAGAAGAAGAAGAATTGATGAACTAATTCGAAATCGAAAAAAAACATGAATTTTTCAACAGAAAACAATTTCAAACCGAAATGTGGATGATATTCATAAACAATAGGACAAAATGGGATGGGCTATTCTTGTGGATGAATATTATCTTGAGGCAAGAATGGTCTATTATTGTCCACATATCACAATTATATACACAAACACAGACAATTCATTCTGTAATGAATTCATTGTTTTTTGTTGTTGTCGCAATATCATCATTGAATTCAATATCTAATGATAAATAAGTAGAATTATCTTCCTGATTGATTGATTGATTGATTGATGATCTCCTTCCTTTCATTCTCCACTTTATAATAACACCAAATTCATTTAAAATCTCTATTTTGGCCAGCTATCACGTCAGTCAGCATTATCGATAATCAATCAAATCAAATCAAGTAATTTTTGTTTTTTTTTCTGTTTAATGTTTTTTGTTCAAACTGGCTCGTCGTGCCAGCAATTCATCACAACCAAAAATGCCTCGTGAACGTAAGAGCGCCAAAAATAAACAATCGGCCCTTGCGGTTGATCATCATTTGGATGGCTCTGAACCACCGGTGGTAAAAGCACCGAAAAAAAGACGAGGATCAGCAGCTAATTCCGGTGCTGGTATGAGAGGTAATGCCAATCAAAATCAGAATGGTGATTCAATGATGGTTCCACCGCCACAGCCACTTGGATCTGGTTATGGTGATACTTTATATGCATCAAATCCATTCGATGATACCCCACCTATGTGTCCACCTATTCCTCCCGGTGGTAATGCACATTCTGTTGGTATGCCTCCACAAATGGGTGGTCCAATGTCGCAGCATGGTCCACCTGGTCCCGGTCCAATGATGAATCCAAATGGTCCAGGAGGAATGATGCCTGGAAATGCTCGAATGATGAATAATAGTGGTGGTCCTCGTGGAATGTCACCAGGTATGGGTGTTGGTCCAAAACCACCACCACCTGGAATGTTAGGCAGTGGTCCACCACCACCTGGAATGCCAGGTGGTCCTGGCGGTCGATCATATCCACCCGAACAATCAATGGTATTCAATGCAGCCAATCCAAATGCACCACCAATTTATCAATGTGGTTTTTGTCGAAAAGAAATTCATGATAATGATCAAGCTATTTTATGTGAATCTGGTTGTAATTTTTGGTATCATCGTATCTGTGTAGGCATATCCGAACGAGCATTTATTCTTTTAACACAAGAAGTTTATGCTGAATGGGTATGTGATAATTGTAATAATAATAAAAATATTCCTTTGATTAAATTTAAATCATAATTTTCATAAATTATACTTATTTATTATTATTATTACATGAATATCATTATTCGAATTTTTTTTGTAATAATAATTATAATAATTTATTTATAATTGCTCATCAACATCATTATATTACAAAAAAAAACTTACAAACAACAAAACAGACATCATTGATAAACATGTATTCATTGTACAAAACAAACAATCTGTCAATCGAAAGCAAACTAAATTCAAACAATTTTTTTTTGTTAAGATCTCAATGAATAGAAATTTCTTTCTTTTTTTAATTATAAAAATCATTATAATCTTCACTACAAAACATACAAAACATAACATAACATTTCTTTCTAGTTTTGATTGATTAATTAATTAATTTTTTTCTTCATTTAAATTCATTATAATCATTTTTAAAGAAAATTTTTTTAAAAAATTAATAAATATTATCAAAAAAACAAACAAACAAAAAAAGAAGAAGATTAAATTAACAAGATAATCTGGTTGTCGTAAACCATGAATCAATCCAAAGATAAAATGAATATAAAGATAATTTAAAATATAAATAACGTGTTTGTAAATGTATTGCAAAACGTTTAAAAATATTATTATTTTGACATTGTGATAAACGTTGTTCATAAACTGTTTGTATACAATAACGATTCATATTTAATAATGATCGTCGTTCATCACAACCTAAAACATGACTTATATTACGTATAAGATCATTTGTTTTCATTATTAATAATAATTGACGATCAACTTTGCCCAATATTTGTGATATATTATGAACATATAATGATGCATTTTTTCTTAGTTCATTTTTCTAATGTTTAGTGGTTGAAAAAAAAGAAAAGAAACCAAAAATTAATCATTGAAATAGGAAATTTTAAAAAAAAACATCATTTCTGTACCTCTTCACTGATAATAGTTTGATCTTTGGGACGATTTTCTAGACCACGTGATATTGCTGACCATGGTTTAGCTGTTACCATACAGGATAATAATTGTGCATCTTTTTCTTCGATACCCATACGAATGGCACGTTCTTGAATCTGTTTTAAATCACCACGAAATATTGCCATCCAAAATGCTGAATAATTTTGACGAAATTCATCGGTTAATTGCTATAAATTGAAAAGAAAAATTATTCTTTTTTTCCGAAAAAACAATTAAAAATTTTTCATTTACAGTATAAAGACCATGATCAAGAAGATAAAGATAAAAATCTTTATTGCTTGTTTTTTTCACCAAAACATTACCGGGATGTGGATCACAATGTACAGTACCATATGTATAAATCATTCTACCATACATATTTTCAAAACGATTTGCAATTTCCTGACAATTCATTCGATTTGCTAAGAAAAATTCTTTATCTGTAATGGATGTTCCTTCAACAAATTCCATCATCAAAACTCTTTTCGTTGTATATTTCCAATATATATGTGGTATTTTTAACCATTGTAAATCTTTTAATAAAATTGCAATTTTTTCCGAATTTTTAGCTTCATTAACAAAATCCAATTCTAATGGTATGTTACGTTTGGTTTCATTTACAAGCCACATTAATGAAAATTCAGGAAATAATCGATCGATTACATTGAATAAAAATTCCATTGTAGCAATATCAACTAAACTATGTTGAAATACTTTTGGATGTTGTACTTTGACGGCAACCGTTTCATTTGAATTACAAAGCTTTGCACGATAAACTTGTGCCAATGATGCTGAAGCAATGGCTTTTTCATCAAATTCATCGAATATATTATCAAGTTTATCGCCAAGTTCTTTTTCGATTACTTTTTTAATATCAGAAAATTTTGATCTTGGTGCTTGACTATGCAGAACTTTCAATGTATTTACATATTCTTTTGGTACAAGATAATCTAATGCAGCTATATGTTGACCTACTTTAATAAATACACCACCATTTGTTGAACATAATCGTAATAAACGATTAGCTGCACGTTGATGACATTGTGACCATTTTTCCAAAGTTTCTTCCGAATCATCACGTAATTTTAATACGGAAAATTTATAATCAAATGCAATCTGACCGACAGCATATGCAGCAAAACCAAAACGAACTATACCGATATGTCTTGGATTCCTATATATGAACAATGATCGAATAAAATCATGATTTAAATAATCAAACCAATTCATCTAACAAAATTTAATAATACCAATCATTTTGATGAAGAACATAACCAGTATAACCACCGATACCAGCTAATGATGAAAATTTTAAAAATCTACTTATAGACATTATTATTTGAATATCAATAACATTGGTTCATTTGAAAAAATAAAAATAATAAAAGGACACTTGTATCCTTATCAAAAACAAAATTTTCTTATAATTCAAGGGAAAAGTAAATCTATTGAACCAAGACACGTCACGACATCTTCAAATGAAAACTGGTTATAACCATTTTGATCATCAAGAAATTTAATGATCAGCTGAAAAATAAATTCACAACAACTAACAATTGTAAATGAATGCCATCTATCGAATTTGAAATGGAAATTATCAATTTAAATTTAAAATAATTTGCGCATTTTTTTAATTATTTAGGATAAAATCTTGGACAAAGTTTTTTTTTTGTTTTTTTGTTTTTTGAATAATAGAAATTGAATAGGATTATCAATCATATCAATATCATGATTATATTATCGTCGTTTTGGCAAAATAATACCATCACACCAATCTCGATCATCTGGTTTAAGAATCCAATCGATAACATGAATAACACCATTCGATGCTGCTATATCTGAACGATATAATGGTGATACATTTACTTCGACTAATCGTCCTATGATTTCAACAAACAAAAAAGATCAAAACAATTACCTATTGAATCAAAAGAGAAAAAAAAATTTCGACTTACGTGAACATCCATCAACGCGAACACCTGCCTGTAGATATTGTTCGTTTAGAATTGATGGCATAAATTGTCCATCTCTTAAATCTTGACTATAATAAGCTCCTTGAGCAACATGATACATAAGAAATTCTATTTTGAATGATTGAAAATAAATTGTAAAAAAAATGTTTTGTTTGAATTGCTAATATATAAAAAAAAATAACATTTACCTTTTAAAGCTGTCATATTTCTTCTTATCACTTCTAGATCAGTATCTGGAACTTTTTGTAATGCATCATTACTCGGTACAAATACTGTGAATGGTCCTTCTTTACGAAGAAGATCAGCAAAACCAGTTCCTTCAACCAATGTAACAAAACCATCAAAACGTCCACAAGATTTTAACGTATCAATTATATCTTTATTTGAACCTGGATAAAGTAATCCATCAATGACATGTATTAGGCCATTGTTTGATGTTTGTTGATTTGCTCGTATAACACGTTGTCCATTGATTGTATATGTTTCATTGAATGGACGATTAATAATAAGTTTTGTTTTGCCACGAGTTGTTATCATCATATTTTTAGATAATGAATCAATAGTATGAATACCTTCAATTAGATAACCATTTAACATAAATGTTTCCATATTTTTATGCCATCTTTTCAATAGATTCGGTGGTAAACGTTTGACAGCATTATTTGATGGTAAAATTATTGTAAAACCTTTTGTTGAAAAATCCATAAAATCTTGTAATTCACTTTCAAATAAACTGGATACTTCATTCAGAATATGATGTGCATCTAATTGTTGTGCAATTTCACGTATTGTTGTCGATGTATTCGAAATGATTGAATTCGTTTCTGTTGTACAAAAATCCTGTGGTGAATGACATTGTTGATTTTTTGCTGAACAACTATCGGCTGACATTTCAATTAATTTTGTACTTTTTTCCAACAATAGCTGCATCTGTTGTACTAATTCATTATCAATCATTTCTTGTTTACGAACTTTTTCCTCTAATGTATTACCATTTGGTACTAGATCATTTGGTTCATTTAGATAAGAATTTGTATCTTTTGGATTTCTTAGCGACCAAAATGTTGTTGTTGTTTCAATTGGTAATTGTGTTGTTGTACGCAGCATTTGTTCATTTGAATCATCATCATCATCATTTGTATCATAATGATTATCAAAATTTAATGGAAACATAATATCTGATGATCCATTATCACTATCATCATCATCATCATCGCCATCATTATCATCACTGAATGTAATAATTTCTCTTTCATTTTTTTGTGAATTTTTACCCATATTCATATCATTAAAATTGATTAATTTTTGCTGTATAGCTTGATCATTTTTATTGTTGTTGTTGTTGTTATTATTGCCCAAATCTACTTGATATTGATCATTTTTCAATGAACTATATGTAATTGGAATTCTTGATGCACTTGGTGGAATATTTGCCGTACGATTTTTATATCGATCATTCATTGTAGAGAAATTATTATTAATGTTTACTGTTGAATTTTGTTGTTGTGAAAATTTAGCCTGCATTGGTGATAATAATTGACCATTATTTGCTTTTTTTGCTACAACTTTGTATGGTTTTCTTGCTATTGCCGAATCATTTATAGCCATTTGATAACGGAATTTTGCTTTTTTTACAATAATTTTTTTCGGTCCATCTGGATTCACGATTCGTCTTCCAGTTATTGCTGATGTTAAGTTGTTGTTGTTGCTAAATCGATTTGAATTTTCTTGTTTTTCAAAACTGCCGTCATGATCAACATTGTCATCAACTTCACCATCATCATCGATATCATCATCATCATCATCATCCTGATTTGATTGTTGATTTTTTTGATGTGCAACAACTTTAAGACCAATATTCTGTGCCATTGGTTTTGTTGCCAATTCATTAATATCTAAATATAATGTTAATCCTTGTTCAGGTAGATTAAAACCTAATGTTGCACCATGTTTATGTGGTTTAATCATTGGTATTGGCATAACAACTGAATCGATTATTTTATTTCCTTTCGATGATGATGATGATGATTTACGTTTTGAATGTGTTGAATGAATTGGTAAATTTTTAACACTTTTATTATATTCCGTTCGTATTGATTCAGCTGGAAAAAATGCCTGTTTATATTTAGTTGGATGTATCATATAAGCATTATGTGGTGTTTGATAACTATTTCTTGATATTGATTCGGATGCTAAATATTGTGATGAAATATTGATTGAATTTTGTTGTTGTTGTTGTTGTTGTTGTTGATCAACATTATTATTATTGAAATTTGTTGCAACTAATGGAACAACTTTTGCAACAATATTTGATGATGCTGATTCACTGCCCATCGCTGATGATAGTGATGATGATGGTAATGGTTTTTGTTGCATTGATGATGATGATGGATTAATTGCTTGATATGATAAAATGGTTGCAGGTTGATTTTGTTTACCATTTTTATTTGTATTAATAGTGGTCGATGATGTTGTTGTTATAACCGGTGTCCAACCACTTGTTTGAATTGATTGTGTTTGATTTTCATTTAAATGTTTTTGTTGTTGTTGTTTTGGTTGATGATTATGGTGATGTTGATGATATTGATTTGTTGTTGTTGTTGTTGTTGATGATCGAACAATCGGTTCATATTGACTGATACTGGCACTTACATTTTGATATAAATATGTTGAACGAATAATTTCAAATTTTATAATTAATATTAAAATATAAATGAAAAAATCATTAATATTCATTGAAAACATATTATTCTTCATCATTATTATCGTTTAATAAATTTTTTTTTTCATTGGAAAAAAAATCAATTAAACAATTCACTAATTATCATTATGTAATGAAAATTACATAATTTTTTTTCAATTTGTTAATAGAAAAATGAAATTTCAAAAATCAATGTTTTTCTTTGGAATCAGTATAGGGAGAAAAAAAATTTTCAATTTTTCTCATAAATTTCATTTAACATCCATTTATATATGCTGGCTACTACATTAGTAGCATCTTCATCTGTTCATTCAATCTCGCTCTCTTTTGGCTACTGAAAATTTTTTCTTTTTCTTAAAGAAAAATAGATTTCCTTTCATTTTTGGTGACCACATCAGTTTTCTCCCTTTCTTTTTTTTTCCTTTATGCGAACAACAACGACAACTGAAAGAAGATTATAAACCAGCGATTCATGTCAATGATTTTACTGTGTATGTGTGTAAATTAAAAAGTAAAAAGTAAAAAGAAATTCATCATTATATAACATTTATATAATGAGGCTATATATACCATAGCATGAAAAGAAAAGAAGAAATATTTCATTTTTATAAAACAAAACAAAAAAAACAGCTAAATAGATTCAAGTGGTAGCAAATAATAGACCAAGAGATAAGTAAGAATCACTGATAAAGATAAAGATGATGATAATGATAAATAAGATGTGTGTGTATAGGTATGATGAGAGAAAAATGAGAACAAATGGAATGCATTTCTTTTGTTTGTTGTAAGCTATGACATCCAACCGTTCATCATCATTATAATTCATTTTTTTCTACTAATATTCATTATTAAGTGATGCGTTGATGATGGATGTTAAATATATATAATATATAACGGGGTGAATCTGCTTTTGTTTTTCTTTTCATTCCATTCATTTTCGTTTATCTAAGATGCCTGTGATGATAAAAAAAACGAAAAAAAAATTTTCAAAATACCGTTCAAAATGATTGTTTTATTTTATTTTTTTATTTTCTTGGAACAAAAAAAAAACAAAATTATCCTGGTTATAATTATCATTTGTTTTCGGTTTTTTTTGGTGTGTTTGTTTTGTTTTGTTGTTTCATTTTCATTTTTCCATTTGTTTGTTTGTTTGTTCGTTATTATTGGTCAAACTAGAACATAAATGATAGATAGATAAGGAAAGTAATGGAAAGGAAAGGAAAATCTTCAGGTAGAAAATTTGTTTTGCTTTGTTTTGTGCTTTTAAAGTGGCTATATAGCTAATATTTAGCTAATCACTGGAGCTAATCTTTGGATCTAATACTGATGATTCTTTGAAAAAAAAGAAGAAACTTTTGAATAACTAAAAAAAGAGAAAGGTTGCTAACAACAACTAATAAACTTAAGTTATTACGTTGCTGTTGTTGTTGTCGATAACGACGACTAATATCTTGATAATTTTGTTGAAAATAATGTAACAATGTTGTATAATAATAATAATGTTGATGTTGATGATTCCATGGATAAGTAGAAGTAGAAGTAGAAACAGGAGGAGAAGGAGAAAGACTATTTTCACCACCATCACCACCATGACCAAAACCATATAGCCTATGATTTAAAGATTGTTGTTGCTGTTGATAAGGTGATGCTTCCGTCATAATATTTGATGTGGATGATGCGGATGATGATGGTAATGTTGTTGTGATTGTTGTTTTTTTGTTCATCATTTTCGTCATCATCATCATCATCATCATCATTGTTGTTGCTGTCATTCGTTGTTGTTGTTGTTGTTGTTGTTGCTGATGATGAGTAGAAAAGATCGAAGAAGGATTAAGTATAGCACCTTGTTCACCATTATTACCATTATTATTATTATTATCATCATAATGATGATGATAATGTCTACGACAATCCTCAACAAAAACATCCTTTAAATAATGATGATGGTCATCATCATCATTTTTCATTTTAAAAAAATTTTGCATTATCCGATTGAAATGAAAATAATAATAATAATAATCAATATTGTTTGTCGTTTGATGTTCGTCGGAAATGATGTTTGTTGTTGTTGTTGTTGTTGTTGAACAACATCGATTTGTTTGCGGTGGTGATATTGATGATGATGATGGAAGATTATTTACCATTTCTTCGACTTGCTGTTGTTGTTGTTGTTGTTGTTGTCGATGGATGTTATTGTTGATCAACATTTTATCCAATTTTTTATCATTATCATTATCATTACCATTGTTATTCGATATTGTAATGTTTTTATTTTCATCAAACATTGTCGCTGTTGAACTTAAAATTTTATCATCATTCAGCTTCGAAGTTTTTGTCAATGATGTCATTGCTAAATCCTCATTATTAATATTATTATTGATATCGATATCTGTATCATTATTGTTTATTTGTGTAACAAATGATGATAATACTGGTGGTTTTTTAAATAATAAATTATTATATAAATCGGATAAAGGTTCTATTGCAACTGATGTTGTTGATGATGATGATTGTTGTGGTCGAAATAGTGGACGACAGGATATAGATGATGATGATGATGATTGATGCCATATTGGATAGGATGACAGGAAATGTTGCTGTTGTTGTTGTTGTCCATTCATCAAAGATGCTGTTGATGATGAAGATGTTACAGTTGCTGTAGCTGTAGTCGTCGTCATGGTAGATGATGATGTGAAATTTTCACATTCATTTCGATTATGATTATTATTAAATGCTGTTGCTGTTGTTGTAATCATTTTCTTTTGTTTTTTATTACATTGTTGATAATGGATGTTATTATTATTACAACTACTTTGTTGTTGTTGCTGTTGTTGCATCATTCTTTTGAATAAACCAAATTTTTTTGATGCCAAATTTATTACCTTTGCTGATGGTGATGATGATGATTGAGATGATGTTGTTGTTGTTGCTAGTGCATTATTCGCTTCTGATGATGATGATTGTTGCTGTTGTTGTTGATGATGATGTTTCCTTTTTCGTGGTCCACGTTCTTCCTGTACGGCTTTGTTTTAGCAAAAATAAAGATTTATGAAAATATTTATGTGAACCATGTCAGTTAGCGACAAACAAATATGTATTATTTATTCATTCAATGAAACTTATACATCCTCATTTGTCATCCTAATTTCAATTTTTTTTTTGTTTTTGTAATTTTATTATCATATCATATATGTGTGTGTGTATAATACGGCTCGTTATTATAGATAATAATTATTGTTATCCAGAAAAAAAACGAAGTGTTATATTGGAATCATAATGATAATTAAAATAATTATAATTTTTTTTTTGTTTTTTTGTAAAAAAAATGTGCGGTCATTATAAATGTCTAATGATAATGGTTGGCTGGTTGATGGTTTCTTTTTTTTCCTGCTTTATAAAAATTAGTAAATTTTTTTTTTTTTGAAAATTTTGGCGTCACGATGATTCCAGGTTGACGAGAGTAATTTGGCTGTCTCTCTTTTGGATATGTAATATGTTTTTTGTAATTTATATGATTTACTATGATTATTATCTGTTGATTATGGGATAGAAAAATTTTCAAAAAAACAAAACATACCAAATGGATTCATGTGAACAAGAAAACATTTTTGTAAACGACAAGATGGACACCAATTACGTCTTGTTTTATCAATCGGGCAGGCATTTGTTGATGCTTTGTTTGGATTTTTTTGTTGCGGAAAAAATGTGTAAATTTATCAACGAAAAAAATTATCAAATTATCAATTTATAAACATTATCACTTACAAATACAACGATATTGAACATTTTTTCGTATACTACGTTTAAAAAAACAGCTACAACCATCACAACAGAAAACACCATAATGTTTTCTTTCATTTAAAATTAGATAAACAAACAAACAAACAAAAAATTTAGTTAATCAATCAGTCAATCAGTTAATCAATTATCATTAAAATTTACCCATAGGATTTATCACCACAAACTTGACATAAAACCGGTACCGGTAATGTTCTTCCCATTTTTTTCTTCCAAAATTAATTTGATCAATTGACATAGTCTCTCTGGAAAAAAATTCGGTATTTATATACCGATCGAGCCAGCCAAAAAAAAATGATCCCATCAAATTCATAAATCGTTAATAATGTTGTTCTTTATTTGTTGATAATTTGACCGGTATATCAGTATCGGTGACAGAATCTTCTTTTATCGATTCTTTTCAACAAAAAAAAAACCTGAAACGCTTTGTTGATGTTCATTTTGGATCACTTTGTTCATTTCATTCATTTTTATTTATTCTTTTCTCTCTCTCACAATTGATGTTGATTTTGATTGATTTTACTTGTATTTTTTGACTAATTTTTGTTGTTGTTGTTGTCGTTAAAAATCTAAAAGGTTAGTGTAAATTGACCTGATGATATATATTGATTGGATCTAAATAATTCATCAACGTTCCATATGTGTTTGTATTGAATTTTTTTCCATTGTCGATCATTATTGATTGAATGAAATAAAAGAATAAAAAGTGTTTGTGTGTGTGTGTGTGAATGGAGCATCAAACACACACTTTATTCATCAATGACATGGACACTTTATCATTGATATATCAAACTTGTCAATTGATCAATCAATTATTGATCAATATATCAATAATACAACCAAGAAAAAAAAAGAAAGCAATGTGTGTTTGATTGAATAGCGTTGATGCATCCATTCATGCATCCATTCATTCAATCATTCAGTTTGTCGATATCAGATATCAGAATTTTTTATTTTTGCTGCTTTTTTTCTGGTGTTGTTTTTTTCCCAATATTTTCTTTTTTTCAATTTAGCCATCATCATCATTTTCTCATCCAATTGATTATTAATGCAAATTAAATGTTGTATTTTTTTTTGGTCGTTTTATTATTTATATATTCTTGGATCGTTTTTTTTTGTGCCAAAACATCATTTACAAATGTCATTAAAAAGTTTTTTTTTTCCTCAAAATGACGAACACCAAAGAAAAAAAATCCAAATTACACTTGAAAATTACAACTAAATCAAAAAATGGAAAAATGAAAATTTTTGATCCAAAAATGCTAGTGAGAGATGGTAGGATACTTGAAAAACACACACGTGATTTTTGTTTGGTCGTATGAATCTCGTAATTTTATTGTGTGTGGTTCGTGCGTGTGTGTGTGACCAACATTTTTCTCTAAAAAATCATTTCAAGGGTCATTCGCATTGATTGATTGATTGATTTTTTTTTTGTTGAAAAAATCGATAAATTAATTCGTTTTTGTTGAAAATATTCGAGGGATTTCTATTTTTCTGGTTGATAAGAATTTGTTTGTTTGTTTTTTGAATTTTCAAAAAACGCATGATGTTCAATGAACTAAAATTGAATGTGGAAAAAAAACAATCATTTCTGTTNTTATTGATCAATATCAATAATACAACCAGAAAAAAAGAAAGAAAGCAATGTGTGTGTGTGTGTGTGTTTGATTGAAAAGCGTTGATGCATCCATTCATTCATTCATTCAATCATTCAATCATTCAGTTTGTCGATATCAGATATCAGAATTTTTTATTTTTGCTGCTTTTTTTCTGGTGTTGTTTTTTTTCCAAATATTTTTTTCAATTTAGCCATCATCATCATTTAACCATTCCATTTTTTTTTCTCATCCAATTGATTATTAATGCAAATTTAATGTTGTCGTTTTATTATTTATATATTCTTGGATCGTTTTTTTTTCGTTTGCCAAAACATCATTTACAAATGTCATTAAAAAAGTTTTCTCCAAAATGACGATCACCAAAGAAAAAAATCCAAATTACACTTGAAAATTACAACTAAATCAAAAATGGGAGAAAATTTTTTCGATCCAAAAATGCTAGTGAGAGATGGTAGGATACTTGAAAAACACACACACGTGATTTTTGCTTGGTCGTATGAATCTTTGTGTAGTTCGTGTGTGTGTGACCAACATTTTTCTTTGGCTTTAAAAAAATATTTCAAGGGTCATTCGCATTGATTGATTGATTGATTTTTTTTTGTTGAAAAATCGATAAATTAATTCGTTTTTGTTGAAAATATTCGAGGGATTTCTTTTTCTGGTTGATAAGAATTTGTTTGTTTGTTTTTTGAATTTTCAAAAAACGCATGATGTTCAATGAACTAAATTGAATGTGGAAAAAAAACAATCATTTCTGTTTGTTTTCGTTGTTGTTGTTTATTATCATTATTATCAGGAAAAAAAAGATTAATCATTTAAATGAAATGTTGTTTTTTTTCAGTAAAACAATCATAATATGCAATATGTTATTGGATTTGTTTACGCGTTTTGATAATTTGAAAATTTCATTTCTTTCAGTGTTTTGAAGAATGAAGTGAATTTCTTCTCGAATATTTTTCCATGCTATCAGCACCATCAACATGATTGAATGATTTTGTTTTGCTAATCAAAGAAAAGATTTTTGTAAGATTTTTATGAAAACAAAATTGATTTGCAATTCGTTTTTCAATTTATCTGTCTGTCATTTGAAAGAAATTAGACAAAACAGATCCATTGGATTTCAACGTTGTTGTTGTTGATGATAATGCTTTTGTTTTTGTTTTGGTTCCATAGTGATAAATTATTTCATTTCATCATCCATATTCAAAGTGAAACAAACTTTGAAAATTGAATGGATTTTTTTTCGCTCACTTTCTTCAATGAAATATTCATTTGGTTTTTTTTATTTAGGTGTTTTTATTTTACCCATAAGTTTGCACACAGTGTTTTTATCATTAACCAAAAAATGGTGCTTGATGATTTTCTTTTATAAATCCAGAAAAACCAGAAAACAAATTGTTACTTTAAAATGTATGTCGTATTTTTTGGTGACCATTTTTTCAATTTCTAATTATGATGCTAATGATGATGATAATTAAAAAACAAAAAGTAATAAACCTTGAGTTTTTATCTAACGGGATTTTCTTTTTTCATTAACACATTTATCTTTCCTTAAAAAAAATAAAAAATTTGGTTGTTCCATGCAGAAAAAACGTCAAAGCATCTTATTTTCCGTATAAAATTATGATGATTTTAGTCTATTTTTCTCTGTTGAATATTTATTGGTTGTAGTTTATGGTTTATAATTCTTTCTTTTTTTTATTACAAATGGATAATTAATTTTTATTGTTATTATTTCATTAATTTACAAATGATAATAATATAATCATATAATCGATTATGGCCGAGTTTCATTGAAAATGATGATGATTATCATCATCAAAAATCTTCTTGTAATAATCTTTAGACTTTGATTATAAAAGAAATCTAATTTTTGTTTCTTCTCTGCTTTGCATTTTGGTTCGTCTCTAGATATATATAAAAACAACAAGGAAAAATATTTATCATCATTTTCATTTTACGAATGTGACCATCGTTGGTTTGTTTAAATTAATCAAATTTTTTTTTATCAATCTTTGTCTAATCAATTCATTACCACCACCACCACCATATTATCTTTCATTTTCTTCATTTATACATAAAAAAAACTTGATTAAAACAAATTTCATTTCAAAAAGAAAATATTCCAGATTTACTTGATATCACTGGTTATTTTTTTTTGCAAAATAAATGGAAAAATTTTTTCATTTCCAACTGTAATGTGATCATTTTCATCAACAAAATATCAACTATATAATGAAAAACTAGATTTAATTTTCTGTGCCGCTTCTTGTTTCAACATTTTTTTCATTTCTTCATTTCATTTCATTCAAGTTCATCATCATCATCATCATTTGATGATTATTTCGTCTGTTTCGGGTATTTTTCGCTGTTGTTGTTTTGTTTTGATCATGTCATTTTGTCGGGCCAATGATCGCTGATCAACTATAATCACGTCACTATACACGTTGTTTTGCTGTGTGTTTTTTTTTGTTTCATTCGGCGAAAAAAACAAAACAAAAACAAAATTGAAATTAAACCAGCACTCTTTTTTCTCTATCTTTGTTTGTATTTTGTGTGTTTTTAATGAAATTTTTACATATCAACAATCAAATTAAATATGAATTGATCAAATTGAATTTAAACAACAACAAAAACAAAAATATTTTTCCATAAGTTTTTTGCTTAGTGCGTTTTCAATTCAACGATTTGGTTATTTTACATGAAAAAAATTTCAATTCACACACATCACACACACTAAAACAGACAGTCAACACGTTAACGTTATCAATCATCGCTGTTTTTAATCTTCATCGCATTCTTCATTTTTGACAACAAAAAAAGAAAGGAAAAAACAAACAAGATGGATATCTGTAAAATGATAACCCGTGAAAATCCATATGATAATGCCGGTATTGTTAAACGTAATTTCTTTAGGTTAGTCATTTTATTTCATTTAAAATAAAAAAACCATTTTTTAAAATTCATCTTTCATTCATTTATCATCATTATCAACAACAGTTGGATAATACCATTATTCAATGTTGGCTATAGAAAAGAACTGGAAGTAAGCGATTTATGGAAAAATCCAAAAGTAGATTCATCTGAACGTCTTGGTGCACGATTACAACAGTAAGTGATATTCTAATTTTTCATTTTATAAAGGAAAAAAAATTTTATCATATAATTACCATACAAATTATAATAATAATCATCATCATTTGTCTGATAATGTTTACTATTGTCCATTTTAATCCTTTCTTTTGAATGAGCAAACATGTCTTTTCCAAATTGTCATCTTTTCTTTTCTCCACAGTACAATCTGATGATGAGATTTTATTTTTTTAATATTCAGAAAATGCAGTTCTATTTTTATAATTTCATTTCAGATTTGACTAACGAACAAACGATGACGACAACGATGCTTTCCTGGTGCACATTGTCCATATATTAGATATGATAATTTTCCTTTTTTTTGAATAAAAAATATTGTTTAAAGATGCCAAGATAGTGGACACTATTATAATGATGATGATTATTATTATAATTGAAATTAAAAGATGCTAGATTTTTCTTTCTTAGTTTTCTTTAGTTTTTCAATGAAAAAAAAAAATTTTATCTACATCATAGTATTTAGGTGACATCATTATTATTATTATGATGATTTGTTTTTTTTCGGTTGTTTCGGTTTTTGTTGAATAGACACCATTGATGATAATAATCAAAATATTTTAACCTACAAAAGGATTGTAAATGATGATGATGATCTAATTGTTTCTATCTGGTCTTATATTGTTATAGCAAATTAGCAGGTTTTTTTACAAACAAAATTACAAACAAAAAAAGAAAGAAAAGGATTTGAAATTTTTTCTTGTTTCATTCAAATCATGCAACATTATTTGGACGATAAAAAACATATATTTCAATATTAAGATATTTTTTTTTTGTAAAAAAATCATTGATAAACAATGTATCACATTTCTTGCTTATCATGTTTTTTTTTGAATATTTTGTCAATCAATATTTCTCATATTGCTTATCATTATTTATTTCATCATATACATCAGAGAATGGGATAATGAAATGAAAAATAGGAAAAAATCGCGGCCAAGTTTTTTACGGGCAATTATTCGGGCATTCGGTTTCTGGTATTTTATGTCTGGCCTTTTATCAATATTATCGGTAAATTAGATTTAAGAAACAGAAACAAAATTTGAAATATTAAAATTTTTTGGATATGATTCATTGTTTTAGGAGGCAATAATTCGTGTTCTACAACCAATCGTAATGGGTTGGATGATTTATTTTTTAGAACGATATTCTGAAGAACCAGAAGAAATAAAACATCTGCATAATTTTTATATAAGTGGTGCTGCAGTTGTTTTACTTGGAATTTTATATGTACTACTTTATCATCCATATTTTTTCAAAATGACAAGAAAAGGAATGCAATTACGAATTGCTTGCTGTAATATGATTTATCGTAAAGCATTACGTTTAAGTCAACGTGCACTTGGTCAAACAACTGTCGGTCAAATGGTTAATCTATTATCGAATGATGTGAATCGTTTTGATTATGCATTTATATTTGTACCATTCATATTGACAGCACCAATACAGGCAGTGATCACTGTTGTTTATCTTTATAAATTTAATTTTGGTTGGTCAGTTTTTGTTGGCTGTTCTGTTCTTGTAATTTATCTACCATTCCAAATGTATATGGGTACATTATTTTCAAATTTACGTGGAAAAACGGCCATTCTTACTGATGAACGTATACGATTGATGAATGAATTGATTCCGGCAATGCGTGTAATCAAAATGTATACATGGGAAAAACCATTTGCCAAATTGGTCGAATTGGCACGTCGTAGAGAAGTATCGGTTATTAAAAAAACAGCACTATTACGTGGCGTCAATATGGCATTGTTTTTCGTTTCATCCAAAGTTATTATATTCGTTTGTTTTGTAGTATTTATAACATATGCGGGTGGTGAATTTACACCGCAACATGTTTTTGTTGCTATTGCTTTGTTTGCAAATTTCCGTACTTGTTTGACATTATTTTTTCCATATGGTGTATCACAAGGATCTGAAGCATTGATTTCAATCCGAAGATTAGAGGTAAAATTTCTCGATTTTCTCAATAGATTCTTTTCATTTTATTAATCAATATTTTTCATGTCCTGTAACAGAATTTTCTAATGCTTGAAGAAAAAGAACTTGATTCCGAACATATAAATAAAATTTCATTACCTGTCAAAAAAGAAGATTGTGGTGTTTGGTTAACCAATATGGTTGCATCATGGAATCTAAAAGGAATGGAACCAACATTAAAGAATCTAAATTTTGATGTTAGACCAGGAGAATTATTAGTCATTATTGGATCAGTTGGTAGTGGTAAAAGTTCAATTTTGATGAGCATTCTATCGGAAATACCAATTTTACATGGTGAAGTTAAAGTACGTGGTAAAGTATCATATGCTAGGTAAGTTTGCATTTTTTTTTTGAAAAAATTCCAAATTTTCATTCAATATTTTTCATGATTAATTTAGTCAACAGCCATGGAATTTCGCCGGTACAGTACGAGAAAATGTATTATTTGGCAATTCATATGATGAAGCTAAATATCGTAAAGTTCTTCATGTTTGTGCATTGGAAAAAGATTTAGAATTATTTGAATTCGGTAAAAAAAATAATTATCACCTGTGTGTCATAAGCATAATCATTTTTTTCAAATTTCTTAATTAAGGTGATCAAACAATTGTCGGTGATCGTGGTGTTTCATTGAGTGGCGGTCAAAAAGCACGTATCAATTTAGCTCGATCACTTTATGATGATGCTGATGTATATTTATTGGATGATCCATTAAGGTAAATTTGATTTTGATTTTTTTTAAAGTTCATAATTTTTCTAATTCAATTCAATTTAATTAAATTAGTGCCGTTGATGCTGCTGTTTCGAAACATATCTTTGAAAAATGTATTCGTGGCTATCTTAAACATAAAACTTGCATACTTGTTACTCATCAATTACAATTTATCAAACAAGCATCTAAAATATTGGTATTGAAAAATGGTAAAATACAAGGTTATGGCCCGTATGCACATCTAATGAGTTTGGGTATTGATTTTGTTAAAATTGCCGATGAAGAAAATCAACAGAAAACAAAAAAACAACATGATCAAGAAATTTCATTGAAAAGAAGTCATGAATCGTTACCTAATGCATTGATGCATCATTCATCACAAACATCACTCAATTCATCAATTGGTGGTGAAGATTTAGCAAATTTTATTACTGGTGAAGCATTACAACAAACAACCGGAGAAATGGGTACAACTGGTTCGGTCAAAGCTCGTGTTTATTGGACTTATGTTCGAGCTGGTGCCGGTTTCTTTTTACTATTTTTATTAATTTCCACTAATATTGCTACACAGATTCTATTCAACGGTAGTGATTATTTTCTTTCCCTTTGGACGGATAAACAAACAAATGGAACTAAAAGTGAAATTATCAAAGATTTTTCAACAAATGATTGTATCATTGTTTTTGGTGCACTTGTTGGATCATTATTTTTACTATCACTTGTTCGTACGACAACATTTTTTTCGATTTGTATGAAAAGTTCGATCAATATTCATAATCGTTTATTTGAATGTTTAATTCGTGCACCCGTCACTTTTTTCGATAATAATCCAATCGGTGTATTGTTAAATCGTTGTTCACGTGATATGGGAATTGTTGATGATCAATTACCACCAACAGCTTTTGATGCTGTTGAAATATTTGTTCAAATGATCGGTATTTTAGTTTTGGTTATCATTATCGATCCTTGGATTGCCATTCCAACATTTATATTGATTTTTATTTTTCATTTTATTCGTAAATATTATATAACAAGTGCCCGAAGTATTAAACGATTGGAAGGAATCACTCGAAGTCCAGTGTTTTCACATCTAGCCAATTCTCTTTATGGTCTATCTACAGTTCGTGCTTTTAATGTACAATCAACATTTGAAAAAAAATTTGATGAATATCAAGATTGTCATACTGCAGCTTGGTTTCTATTCATATCGGCTGCACGTTGGTTTGGTATTGTTCTCGATTGGTTATGTGTTGTTTATTTGGCAGCTGTCACATTGGCATTATCAATTACATATAAAACAAAATCACCAAGTGAAATTGGATTGGCCATTTCTTATGCCATCACATTAAGTGGTATGTTTCAATGGGGTGTACGACAATCGGCCGAATTAGAAAGTCAAATGACGTCAGTCGAACGTATCGATGAATTTAGTCATTTGGAAGGAGAGAAAAATCTAGAACTTCCGCTAGAAAAAAGTCCACCCGAAGATTGGCCCAGTCTTGGAAAAATTGAATTCGATGATGTCAGTTTATCTTATGCTCCGGAGGCTCCACCTGTTTTGAAAAATTTAACATTTACAATTAATCCTGGTGAAAAAATTGGTATCGTTGGTAGAACTGGTGCCGGTAAATCATCAATGATATCTACATTGTTTCGTTTATTACCACCAACTGGTACAATTAAAATCGATGATATTGATACAAGCCATATATCATTGACATGTTTACGAAATAAATTATCTATCATTCCACAAGATCCTGTTATATTTGCCGGACCTGTTCGACAAAATATTGATCCATTCTATCAACATAATGATGAACGTTTATGGCAAGTATTGGAAGAAGTACAACTGAAACATGTTGTTCTTGAACATTCAAATGGTTTGGATTCGATTATTGCTGAAGGTGGATCTAATCTTAGTGTCGGTCAACGACAATTATTCTGTTTGGCTAGAGCAATTCTCAAACAAAATCGTATTTTAGTTCTTGATGAAGCTACTGCTAATGTTGATCATAAGTATGTTTTGTTTGTTTGTTTTTTTTTGAAATTTCAAATTTTTAATTAATTTTTATAATTTAAACAGAACGGATTTATTCATTCAGGATGCTATAAGAGATAAATTTTCTCATTGTACTGTGTTGACGATAGCACATCGTTTACATACAATTATGGATTCAGATAGAGTATTGGTATTGGATGCTGGTCGTGTAATTGAATTTGATGAACCATATCAATTATTACAAAATGAAAAAGGTTTATTTGCCAATATGGTTAAAATGACTGGAAAAAGTATGGCACATAATCTAAAAGAAATGGCACGTATTGCACGTGAATTAAGAGAAAAAAATTCCAATACCGATTATAATCGTGGTCATCTTCGTGATCTAAAAGGTTCATTTATAAATAGTCCAAGAAAAGAAGATATTATTGAAGAAACTATTGTCAATAATGATGATCATGTTAATCATCATGATGGTGAAAATGGTGAAATTGAAAATGATAATTCTAAACAACTTTGATTTTTTCTAAAAATATAAATATAATTTATTGTTCCATTGATAATTTTGTAAACTATATATAATTTTACAATTAATTAATGTTTTTAATAATAAATAAAAATGGTATTCTATTATAATCTTGATTCAAAGTTTTTGTTTATTTAATCCAATAGATTCAAAATCTGTTTCATCGGAAATTCCATGGTTACTAAATAAATATAATGAGAAGAAAAAAAATATTTGAAATTTAATTTTTCAATTGTAATTGTAATTCAATGGAAATTGATCAAACCTATTATCGGATTCGATTGGAATTTTTAGCATTTTATCATTTTCACTATTTTTATAACCAAGTAACCAATATGTTGCAAATTGGCCTCGTCCTTTTAGCGAAATACTACCACGATATTTAATTATAAAACTATTGTTTCGATTAAGCCATTTTTTTGTCGAATGACTTAAATGTATTGAATTTGGCAATCCGCTTATTTCAGTTATATATAATAGGTGTGTCAGGAAGAAAAAGGAGGGAAAGAGAGTGAGAGAGAGAGAAAAAAAATAACAAGGAAAATACAAAATTAAATTGAACTGTGAACTTCTTTTTTTATTCAATCATCATACGTTGATTCTAATCGTGACGCTACATTGACGGAATCACCAAATAAACAATAACGAGGATTATTTAGGCCAACAACACCAGCTATAACGCTTCCTTTTTTTTAAATAATAATAATAATAAAATTTTACTTTAATAGTAATTAATCAATTTGTTGGATAACATTCTTTTAATAAATGATAATATATTGTTACCCGTATGTATTCCCACACGTATTCTTAACGGTATGTTAGGCATATGTTCAATCTTAAAATGTGTTGTCCAATCAATAAATTCTAATGCTAATAATGCTATTTGTTCAGCATGATTTGTATTACGATTCGGAAGTCCTATGGTTTTTTTTGATATCATATATAAGAAAAGAAAGAAAAAATTACAAAGTTTTTTTTTTGGTTACATCACATAAAATGAAAAACAAAACAAAAACAAAAAAAAACAATTTTTGGCAAACCAGAAACAGCCAAATAAGCATCACCAATTGTTTCCACTTTATAAACATCATATTTGTTAACAATTTTATCAAATATAACAAATAAATTATTTAAAATGGCCATTATTTCAAGTGGCTAAAATAAAACAAATAAAACAAACCAAACCGACAATTAGATTATCAAATCTAAATTATCCAATGATACATTTACCTCTGAATAGGAAGCAATAGTTGTAAAGCCAACAATATCGCTAAACAATATGGTAACATTATCATATTTTTCCGGTTTAACATATTCATCATTTTTCAATGATTTTACAATCGATCTTTTTAGGTTTATTAATTTCACAATTAGTTATGATTATATATCATAGATATACTTGACTTACTTTGGAAACATTCGATATAAAAGATCATTAGATTTTTTATTTTCAGCCATTAATATTTCTGTACGTTTTTGAACACGATCATCAATAATATAACGATATTTATTCAATTTATTAATCAATGTTTCGAATGTATTCTGTCTACCAGTAAAATCGTTACAATAATTACAAAATTCAATTGTTTTTCAATTTCATACCTAACATTTTTAAATGTATTTTGAAAATAATTATCAATCATTTCAAAATCAGGTCGTTGTACGGGATCTTCATCACTACAATAATCAATTAATTTTGCTAAATATTGATATTTTTGTTTAGTCATTAAATGTGAACATAATTTTGGTCGTAATGGTATTGATTCATTACGTAATTGTTCAGGTATCATATTTGGTTTATTATTTAAATAAACTATACCATATTTAATTAAATTTAATATAATTTCTAAATCATCTTCATTATTATTACTATTAATATAATCACTATATGGTATTCGTTGACTTGTTATCTCATATATAATCATTGCAAAACTATAGACGTCATTTTTCTTTGTAATTAAATTATTTGAATATGATGATGATGATGATGATGTACGTAATAATTCGGGTGACATCCATAAATGTAACCATTGTTCAATATTTGCTATCCATAATTTTTGTTGATTAAAGTTATCAATATTGTTATTACTGTTATTATTGCTTTTACTATTGTTGCTTTCATTGGTCAAATCTAAACAAAAATTATGAATTTTTACTTGCCAATTTTCATTTATTAAACAATTTCGTGAATTAAGCCATCCATGACCATTGATAAATTTACAATTATGTAAATATTTCATGCCCTTTATCAGCATAAATGAAAATAAATAAAAATTCTTGATAAAATGTAATTTGAAAAGTAAAAATAGACTAATAAAGAAAGGACACTGACCACTACAACCAACACTATGAGATGGTCATTCATTATCTCATTCAATTCACTATGTTTACATAATAATTTTCCATACCTGAATTATATCATTGATAAATGATAATTTGATTGGCCAACTAAGTTTTATATTACTAACATGTATAATATCCAATAATGTTCTATAATAATTATGTTGACATTGCCAAACAAAATAATTTTTTTGTAAATTTATTCGTTTTTTAATTGAAATTTTTTTGGAAAAAATATTCCATCGTGATTTAATGTTGTTGTTGTTGTTGTTGTTTGTTGATTGATTTTCATTATCGTCATTGCCATCATCATCATCGTCATCATGATTTTGTTGATTGCAATGTTTATTCATTACATTTTGATTATTTTGATAAATGTCATTATCAATTGATAAAATCCCAAGAAACATGTTTATATTTGCATTTGGATTAGTTTGTAAATATTGAAATAAATTTCTAAATTGCTTAGTATTATGGAATTTAATTTTACCGATTCCAAAATATTCTAGACGAACATCTAAGCTCTTCTTTTTTCGAATTGAATTGAATGGATGGTTGTATGGTGAGGTTCATTTTCACCAGTTTTCATGATTATTAATAGAAGAAAAAAAAACGGAAGAGAAAATGTAAAAATGTAGGCAAAGATTTTATCAATTAGTCTTTAATTCCTTCTCATCATCACTCAATATCTAATGTTTATTTACTTCCTTTAGTTGAGCAAAATGTCCATGTTGTATGTTGTTGTCGTTGGTGTTGGAATTCAATAATCTATTTTTATCAATATGAATATCATCATCACCTATTAAAATACATATATAGATAACAAAATTATAAACGAAAACGCAAAACAAAAAAATTATTATAAATGGCTGCACCGAAAATAAATAAATAAAACAAACAAACAAACAAACATTTCTATAAAAAAATAGAAAATAAATAATCAAGAACCTATTCTACATTGATGACAATCATAGATATTTCCAGAGAATTTTTGTTGCTGTTGTATAAAATCAATTGGATGATCATTAGTTGAACAACAACGAATCCATTTATTTGTTAACTATGTTTGTTTGTTGTGTTTGGTTGCGAAAAAAAACGAGAAGAAAAAAAAGAGATGATAATGATGATAATGATGATGTAAAAAATATGAAGTAGAAAAAAATTGTGCATAATAAAGTGGAAAAATATTTAATGTTTAAATATATTTCTTCTTGTTTCATGTTGCTTATTACTCTTATTTTTCTTCTTACCCCTTTTTCATTTTACTTTCGTTTGCCTTGTTATATATGTAAATCATGTAATAATTATATATGCAAAAAAAAGAAAAGAATCTCAAATGTGTCTATATTTGGTTTTGGTGTAGGTAGTTATGATAAAGGGTAATAATGAATTTTTTTCTCCCTTCGTTTTTTCTTATATTCTCAAATGATTTTTTTTTTTGCTTTTTGAAACTATAACCGAATTCCTTTTCGTTTCGTTCTAGTTTTTTTTTGATACGCTAAGTGCATTTTTTAAGAAAAAAACATGGGATGCTTATGTTGTTTTTTTTGTTGTTGTTGAATGATAAGCTTCATTAACCTTTTCTTTTTTTCTCTCACTCGTTGGTTCGCAAATAAGAATTTAAAAAAAAACTTTCTATCGTTAACTGGTGTGTGTGTAATACATTTACTGTTACGTTTGTGAATGTTGTGCAAAAGAATTTTTACAATATTTGATTTGTTCATACCTTTGATGGCATTTTATTCAATCGATCGTCATCAAAACTTTGCTGTTGCAGTTGTTGTTCATTATTACCATTATTATCATTATTATCAAACATTGTTGATAATTGTAAATCATTATAATTGAAAATAAATTTTTGTCTTTGTTGACGATATTCATCGACAATTATTTTGATTGCTCTTTGAATATTATTATTTTGTTTCAGGTAAATTTCATTTCAATTGAATTTCAATGTAGAAAAAAAAGCAGCAGCAACAACAACAGGAAAAAAAGATTATTTTTTTTTTGAAATCCCGAATTAAAAACAGTGGAAAATACCTTATAATTAATGATATCGAAAACAATAGTATAAATAAAACAATAATAAATATCAAATAAACAATAAATGTTGTTGAAAACTTGATTCTTTCAAATAAATCCATGATTAATGATGATGATGATGCAAATAATGATGAAAGTATATAAATTGTGTTCAAAATAACTTTCGAGAATAAATTTTCATTGGTTTCATTTGAATTTATATATGAAAATTTTTTTTCCCAAAATCTTTTTTTTTACGGTTGCTTTTTCAATTCATTTACTTTTTCAATTGCAGAACACACACACAGATATTATAATTAGTTTTATTAAAATTAGTTTTTTTTCTTTTTCTTTTTCGGTTCCAAAAATTAATTCAGAGCAACCAAAAATTTCAATATCTTGCCATTTTGAGGATTTTCAAATTCATATGAAAATCATAACCATAACAACAAACAACGACCATGATTAAGAATTTAAAGAGAAACGAAAAAATATTCAATTAAATTTCAATCGGAGATACAAAATAAACTTCATAATAACAATATACTCCCACCAACAATACACATTTTGGATAAACTCATTAAAATTTAATGAAAAGAAAATGGATGATAATCTTTCAAAGTATGTTTATTCTTTGGAAAAAAAATATATATTCAATTATTATGATTAAACATTGAATAAAAAAGAGAGAGAGATAGAAAGATAGACCAGTAGGAATCAAAGAAATCAAATATAACATAAATAATCAAGTTCAAGTTAGTGGATTATTTTCATCATCATAATAATCATTTATTTTTCATTATCAATTTTATTCGTATTTTGGTTTTTTTGGGTTGTCAATTTAATCAACAAATATCACCAAGACCAAAAGAAAAAAACAACAAAAGAATGGGTGAATCCAGATGGTTGATAAGTGTTTTGATTAATCAATATCGATATTAGTGAAGATACAGCGATATTTTGAAGGTTTAATGAATTTGTTTGTTTTGTTTTTGGTTTCATTAATGAATGTTGTGCAACAGATCTTTTTGGTTTTTTATTGTTTACCTTTAATAAATAAATATCTAATCATAATTCAAATCATTGTTTGTGTGTGTATTTTTTTCGTTCATATTTATTTAGTGTTTTTTTTTTCATCATTTTTTTTGCTGAAGATTCAATCAAATTATCTCTCTGTGTGTCTGTGTGTTCGTTATTTGTGTGATTATTATAGTGATGATGATGATGATCTTTTGAATCTAGATTTCAAAACGAAACCAAACAAACAAACATAACACACACCAAACAAACAAACAATGAAATGAAGATTAGATTCAGGTGCAGGTGATGCGAGAGAATTATTAATCATAAAAAAAAGATGTGAATTGAACAAATCGAAATCGAAAATGAAAATAGTAGATATTCAGTGTGTGTGTGTGTGCGTCTCTGTTTATGTATGTTTTATAAAGTAAATATTTATTTAAAGATGGCCATTACCGGTCATAATTCTATGGATGTTGTTGCTGCTGAATGAATGAATGAATGAATATATTCTATATACTTGATATATTTTGTTTTGAAGTACTTTTTATTTTACAAAATGCCAAAATTAGTTTTTTGAAAATTGAAAAATTCAAGTGAAAATTTCCATCAGAAATTTCCGAAAAAAAAATATAGAATAATCAGAAAAATAATCAGAAAGTTTACTAGATAATTTTATTATTATTATTATTACGATTATAATAATGATGTTTTTTGTTTTGTTTTTAAAATAATGATTACGATGATGATACAAAAAAAAAATTTATATGTAATGTATATGTAGTGTCTATCTGTCTATATCTATCTATGTATGTATGTTTTTAAAAAGAAGGAAGAAAAGAAAAAGGAAAAAACATTTGTCCATTATATAATGTGTTGAAAATTGATATGAAATATGTGAATAGAGTTGGTTTCAATTATTTCCGTTTTTTGTTTTTTGTTTCATGTGTGTTTTTTGTTTGTATCATTTTGAATCAAAAATGGAAATGGATTATAATGAAATGAATGAAATTAATGATGATGATGAGTAATTTAATGTTGAGTTTATTACGGGAATACGGAAAGAAAGGAACGAAATGGAAAAAAACAAAAAAAAATCCAAGATCAAAAGCGAAAAACTTGAAGGGAAAAGGGAAAAATAACAATATGATGACAATATGATGATTGTTTAAAATGGAATAATTTTTTTTGTTTTTTTTTTTGAAATAGAAACAAACACACGCACACAAACAAAACATCAATTCATTTCAGTTACTTAAAAAAAACATGATAAGATTGTTGTTCGTTCGTTCGTTCATTTGTTTTAAACACATTTCATATTATATAATGTACCACTATTTTCTTTGATTACTTCATACGCCAAACGTATATCTTTTGGACAATATTTGCCTGGTGGACAACGACAATGTCTCCTTTCGATTGTTGTTTCAGCTGTTTCCGTAATTGATAAACAAAATTGTTTACGATTGCATCTTGGTGCCTGGTTTGTTTTAATGGAATTAAAAAAAATGAAATTTTAAATGGAAATTTTTTTTTCAGTTAGCTAAAAATAGATTTTCAGATTCTAGATTGTTTTCAACAATAATAAAAATGATCATTATTAAATTTACCTTTTGACAAATCTGTTCAGTACCATAAATATATTGTGTATCGGTCATTTCAAACATTGTTTTATTTGTTTTTAATATAAAATCATCATTACATAAACATCTCATTTCTTGAATATCCGATATTTTTTCACCAGTTATTAGATCAGTTTTACCAAAACTAATATAAGCAATTTCATTTTCATGACAAGGTAACAAATCATTTTCGGATATTTGACCACAAAATTTATAAAAATCATTTCCATGTTTAACAATACGATTATCGAATATATTCCACCAAAGATGGCAATCAATATTTTCACATTTACAAATTGGTATTTTATTCATACCGACATGATTCAATTGCATATAGCCACAAATTGATTTCTGATTTTGACATTTTGGTAAATCCTGTGTGTTTTCAAATGAAAATTATATATAAACAGAAACAAACAAAAAAAAAAATGTTTACATCCAATTTCCATTTTATAGAATAAAATTGATTACTATTTCTATCAAATACACAAGCACGAACATAGATCTACTTGAAACTTTTATACTTCAAAATTATTTTTTAGTACAAGATGATGCAAACTTACCTTACGAGAAAAATCATCATCAAAATCAAAATAATTTGCTGAATTTACTGTATGAAATGATAATAATAATATGATTAAAGTAAAAATCGATATATTGGTCAAATGATGATGTTGATGTTGATGATGATTGAATTGATTATGAGAAGATTGTAACTTATTTTCTGAAAAATAATTGAACATTTGTTGTTGTTGTTGTTCTGGTTGTTCCATGATGTTACTGTTCTTTTTTGTTGTTTCAAATCGTTATGATTCAATCGAATAAGAGCTGGAATTGTTGTTGTTGTTGTTGGATTGAATTTTCAATTTTATCTGTTTTCGGTTACGTTTTTTGTTGCACAATCAAAACAAAACAAACAAAACAAGAGTTATGGACGATGAAATTAATTAGGAAAACAAATTTTTTTTTTAATTTTCACTGAAATTTGAAATCATTCAACATTTCGATTCTCTCTATGCGTGTGTGTGCGAGGGATAATATTTCGTTGATTTATGTAGTTGAATTTTTTTTTCATCAACCAAAAAAAAAATAATGGAATAAAAAATGTGAAATAAAATATTTATATGCTGATCATCATGTTGAAATGAACAGAAAACAAACAACAGGCCATCATCATTATTAGCATAAAAGTTTAGAATTTCTAGATTTGTTTTTCTGGAGTGGGAAAATGGAAAAAAATGAAAAAGAAAATTCTTCATTAAAAAAAAATTTCAAATGAAAATCCAAAAAAAATGTCGACAAATCATAATTGAATTAATCTTTCGGGGAAAAATTTTTTCTATCTTTTTCTGCTTGTTTTTTTCGTTTTTTCTGTTTGTCAACATCAACAACGACATCAAAAACAAGAATGTGATTGAAAAAAGAAGAAGAAGAATCGCTTCTTAAGATTGATATTAAAAAAAAGATCAGATTCTCAATCCGTGATTTAGATAAATTGTTTGTTTGTTTGCACAAAATTTGGCCTCCTTCAATTAAAAACAACACCAACAAAATGACAAAGAAAATTTTCTCAACAGAAAATTTTGTCTGATCAAAAAGAATAAGAAAAGAAAATTGCCATGACAAATATTGATTTTATGCAATACTTTGATGATGATGATGATGATGACACAATCCCACACAGCCTTTTTTTCCTCAGAATATGGTGAAGAAAAAAAAAGAAGAATAACGAGAATAACGAGAATCAAATCATGTTACTCTTTCTCTATGCGTGAGTGTGGGAATTAATATAATGAGTCAATCGACGGAAATATAAAAATTGACACATTGAATTGAAATGTTTTTGTTTTTGTTTTTTTGTTTTTCTTCGATCGTTGACGAAAGAAACAAAGAATAAATAATAATGTTTTCATTATGACGAATGGACGTAAAAAAAAGGCGTATTAGATACCTCTGACAAGATTGAAAACTGCGAAAATATTATTATTAAGAAAATCTTTGAATTTAGGTCAAGCCCAATAATCAAGTTTTTTTTGTTTTCTTCTTCTTCAGATGAAAACAAAAACAAAATGTGACAGCAGGTTTCCGGAATTTCGCTTTTTGTTTTCTACATCTAAATTCCTGAAAAAGAATTCAGTTTTTTTTTCACTTTAAATCATGTCATGTTATTATGTGGATGACAAATGATATTTAAAAATTTCAATTTAAAAAAAAATTGGCGAAAAAAGAGTTTTTTTTCGGTACATTTGTGAACAAAAAACAATTAGAAAACACTTACCTTGTTATGTAATTTATGAATTTTTGAAACAAAAAAATTTATTGATTCATTTTGGAATAAAGAAAAAGTGATGAAAATTTATTATTATTAAGGACAAAAAAATTGTCAAAAAATTAAATTTCTTCCGATGAATGATTTTGAAGTGGAAAAATGAAATTTGATTCTTGAATCACTTGAATTTTCTATTCGCTTGTTGTTGTTGATATTTGTTATTTGTTTCTTATTTTGGAGAAGCAAGAAAAACAAAACTTTTTGAAATTATTATTTATTTATTTATTTCTTGGTGTCTATTTGTTTATGGAAGGAAGGCAATTTCAAAAATGACAATCATTTTCATTTCGGAACGAAACTAAATCTATCGGAATGTGTGTGTAAAAAAATATTTATAATATAAAAAAAATATGGTATTTATAATGGTTGTGCGTAGTAAACGAGAATAGCACATCTGAACATTTTTGAAAAAAGAAGTAAACCAAAAGAATAACGCGGGCATAAAATTAAAATAACTAACGTTATTATTTTTTTTCGTATTGTATGCTTGGTTGAGAGTGATCGCAATATTGTACCAAATTTGTGATTCGACTATAGAGAATTCTCAAATTCTTCAATTTTTTTTCAATTCTTGGTTTAGTTCAACCAGAAAAAAAACAAATATCCAAAAAACTATATTGATCATTGGTTGTATATATATGATGTGTGCGTATGTGTAGGTGGATATGTAGATGGGTGTGTATAGAAGTTGATGTGTGGGTGTTTGTATCATTGAACCAACAGGCAGCATACATCAATTTTGACGAGTGAAAAATTGAAATAATGAAAAACAAAAATTTTTTTTGTTTTCATTCATTTTTTTTCCTGAATTTCATTAATTTCGTTCATTTTTTCGTACATTTATTCATTCACTTGATCACTATTTTATTATAATTATCTTTATCAATTTGTTGACTGATACACATTTTCACATTATTTTTCCGGTTTAGTTTATCTTGTGTAATAGTAAACAATAATATAACAACCGATAGCAAAAATTTAGAGAATTGAAAATTATCCGCTGCTTTGTTGTTGTAGGTGGTGTTATTGTTGTTATTGTTGTTGGTAATTCACGATAGCTACTAGATTAATTGATTTTTTGTTTGTCATCGATGAATGCAAAAAAAAACCTATTGTTCCGATTGAAATTTAATTGAAAAAAATAGTGTTCCAAAAAGAAGGAGCCAACATTATCATCATTATTTCACAATGACGATGAATGAATGAGAAAAAAAAGGTGTTTGAACGAGAAACATCGAGAAGAAAAATAACAAGTTACCATTGTCATTGACAATAATAGAATAATTTTTAATGATATTTAAAAAAAATTGGTTTGAAACATTTTCATTTTTATTTTTGTATATTCAGTTGGTTGTTGCAGTATTATGATAATAATAATCTTTACAGTATAATAGTATTATGCGTGAATTTTTTTTTTCATTCTTGGTACAGGGTTTTAAATTTAGAAATTCATTCAACCATTCTTTTATTTTTGCCTACAAATATTTACCTTTAGTTTCAATGATAATGATGATGGTGATGATGATAAAAAAGAATCATCAAGAATTTGTTATTCTGTCGTCATAGACTAAATTCTCGTTTAAGTTATTTTTACAACAATAAAAACAAAATGAACGTTATAATAATTAAGAAATTTTTACAGAAATATGCACAAAAATAATTTTAATGAATGAAACAAGAATTGTTTACAAAGAAAACAAAATGATAATGGAAAATCCATTTACATTTACGATTCTTAACGTTTTCGTTGTGTGTGTGTGTGTGTAAACAATTTAAAAAGTTACATAATGAATTTTTTTCCCCTGAAACAAAAAGAAAAAGAAAAACTAATGATGAAACAATTACTACACTACTGGATAGATTTACATTCCTAAAATTTTTCAAAGGAAAAACAAATAAGAAACGAGACTAAACGAAAAACAAAGATTTTCTCCACTTTATTCAATTTTCTGTTGTTAAATTTAGACATTTTTTTTCTTGTTTAACGATATAAAAATAGTATTTGATTCATTCCGTTGAAACAATTTTTTTTTAATATTTTATTTTCGTGAAAAGCACATAGAAATATTAATAAATAAATAATATTATGATAAGAATTCTTAAAATAAAATAAAATGTTTATCTTGAAAAAAATCGAAACAAAACAAAATCGATCTTTGAACTTTTGAATGGGAAAAAAAAGAATCGTGATGCATCATACATTTAATGATAAACAGAATCAGAAATGAAAATGTGTGTGCGTATGTGTGATTTCATATTACCGATGTTACTGATGTTATCCATTCTAAAATTTCAATGCTTCAAAGTCTGATAATGGTATCCGATTTATACCAGAATTAAAAAAACTTTGAAAGATTTTTATTTCAATTCCGTATATAATTAATGCTAATGACCATTATGAATATCATCCGGAAGTATTGAATTACCATAAAAATATGAATAATTTCATTGCGACAAAAACATCCAATTAAAAATCAATTTTTTTTCCTGAAAACAATAACACTGTAGAATCTACACTGTAATCAATCATTATTTTTTTTAAACCATTCACTCACTCAATCATCACCATTCATATGAATGAATGAATGATTATAATTTATTCATCATCAATAACGGATATTATCGAAATAAGGATGCTAGGGAAACAGGGAAAAAAAATCAAAATTAAAATTTATAAACAAAAAAAAAACAAACAAAACTGAACGAAACAAAACAAAACAAATTGATAAATAAAATAAATAACTTTATATTTCATATATAGATAGACAACATTATCAAACGATTTATCAAGATTTTCATTTTATCAAGACTAGGTTAATTATTTTTTTTGTTTTTGTTTAGTATGTATTTGGTATTTCTGGATTATTATTATTATTATTATTGATGAGAGATTAGTTTGTTTGTTAATTTCAATTTTTGTTTGAAATAAAAATAAAAATAAAAACTTTTCACAAATTTCATTATTATTATATATTTCCCATTTCAAAGACAGATTTATAAAGAAAACCAAAACAAAAAAAAAAGTTTTACAAATAAAAACTTTTCCGTTTCCATTTCTTTTCCCTATAAAAAAAGAATGTCAACGAAGGAGAGGGGGAAAAAACAATACAAACACAACAGACAATATTTGTAAACAAACAAAAAAAATCCTCATTATTATTATTGGTGATATTCCTGACATGTATAAGGAATGTTAAAATGATGAAGAAGGGAAGAGAAAAAAAGAAGAAAAAAAAAATAGAAATCTTTTCTTAATATTTCTTCTTTATAAATCAATGATCTTTATAATTGATTCCCAAAAGATTGTATTATAATAGTAATAATAGTAATAATAACAATCAGATTTCGATAATATAACTTCTTGTTTGTTCATGATGTGATCGGTTTGTAGATGAAGATGATGATGGTGGTTGTTGTTGTTGTTGTGAAACGTCAATTTGTGTCATATCAATTGCCTGTCGAAATTGTTTGTCTAATTTATTCGGTATTCCTTTTGTTATACTTGTCAATGGTGATAGAACAAAATCTTTTTTAACGCCCAATGATGATGTGAAATTTGAACTTGATGTATCAGAATAATGATGTTGATGATGATGTATACTATCATTATCATCTGAAACTGATATATTCGATACAGAATTTGTTGGAGGTAAATTTAACGACATAAATGTTTCAGATGATACCTTCATTTTTGTTTTGTTTATATTTCATTATGACAAAAAGAAAGAAAAGAAAATGAAATTGATTACATTTAATGAAATAAAATTCATGAGCATTACTTACCTGTAATGTATTTGAACTTCTTGATGTTTTTAGGCCAGAATTTGAAACATTAAATGCTAAATCTGAAAAACTAAGTGATGTTTCTTTACAAAAACCTGACATTGTTGTTGTTGTATTTGAATTGTCGACAAAATTTTCTACATTACGCATTGATGATGATGATGTATTTTGATTTTTTTCCAAATAAGATTCATATAATTTTGTTGAAATAGATTCATTACCAAGTGATTTAAAATCATTATCATCAGGATATGATAATGCAGCAAATGATGATGAACTGATAAGTGGATAATCTATTATATTATTGTTAGGTAAAGAAAAAATACCACCACCATCTGTTGTTACGTTTATACTATCACTGCTGTTACTGAACTTATTATTCGCCATTTCAATTTTAAGTGTTGGTTGTGACATTATTGAATTTAATGCCAAATCTGAATTAAAAATACAACGGTTTGATTGATGACCACTTGATAAATCAAAATCTTTGTTATTGTTATTGTAAACATTTTTTTGTATATTTTGTGCGTCCATTATTGTTGAAGATGATGATGATTGAATCAATGATACTTGTGATTGAGATCTGGCTTTATTACGTATATGACGCAATGATGCTTTTTTCATTGAATCAATTACAAAATCATCAACATCATGTAGAACAGATTTTAATCGATTATTTTCATCCGATGAACCATATTCATCTTGAATCAAACTAGATTCTGAAGGTGTATAACGTAATGGTGGACTTGTAGCTAAAATTCCACAACTTTCCAATACACGATCCATACAATCTTTTGTATGAATAAGTGCATCATCTAAAGATGGTGAACATATTTCACTTATAGGTGGTAAAATTTGTTCAGAACCAAATTCAGAACATTCGGATAAATCTAAACTTAATGTTCGTTCACCTGAATTTTGCCTTTTTCGTAAATTACTCATAGAATCTTCATCATCTGATTCATCGATATCTAATTCTTCGGATGATTTTCTAAACTGATCATTTTCTCTCACTTTCAATCCATCTATCTGTAAAGTGGATCGATTACCAACAACATTTTGAGGACCATTTGAATTGCCAGTTAATTTTCCACGTAATCGAGAAAAATGTGAATAGACACCGGTAAATATTTTCTTCGAATTAACCACATACGAATTATCATTGGATGAATTTTTCATACGATTTACATTATCATTTGTTTCGGTTTTAAATGAAGCGGATAATATTCGTTTACTTTTTCTTCGTTCCAAACGACCAACTTCCAGAAAAGGAACATTCAGAGATTTAACACTTAGAGCCACTTTGAATGATTCACAAACGGCTTTCAACGATTCAAGAGCCTCTTCTCTGGTTCGTATCGGAATGGCCATATTGTTGAAAAAACGTGTATTAGTCGAACGAAACATATGAAAATAGCCAGTTTGATTACCAATAGTATAATGAAAACGAACGGCATAAGAAATTAAGGGACAATTTTGTGTACGCATTGAACTGAATGGACCATTTGTATAATTGGGTTCAGCACCGATTTCAATTTTTTCTAAATCTTCTAATAATACTTTTTGATATTTGATTATTCGATCAGTTTGATCATCATAATCAGCAACATAATAACAATCTTTGGTCAATATTAAAACAATATCCATTTCACATTCAGGTATTTCATTATTGATTCGTAACGTTGATAAAAGAGTACCGGTTGTTGGATCTGCATCGACTAATGGCCAGCCACCAAGTATAACTTCATCTTCCGGAACTAGAATCTTTTTACAATCTTCAATAACCATTTTGATTCGTTCATGATATTCTTGATCATTATTCATCAGTAAATTGTTGGAACCAAGACTTTTTCTAGGTGATTTTTCATTTGGTGATAAAAGATTTTCATCAACTGGATTTCCTTGCATTATATCAATCACAGCTTGACGATATGCATCTTTGAAACGATTCAGATAATAACGATTAGCTGAATTAACGCCATCACGAACAACACCAGAAAATTTTCTTTCACCAGTTCGAGTATAATCACTTTTTAATGCAGCCGTCCCTGCATATTGTCTTGAAATTGTATCACCATTTCTGGCCCACATTAGTTGAAAAACACGTCGTGAATTGGCTGATAATTGACCTTCAGGTGGAAGAAGACCTAAACGTACAAGCTGAATTTGATACAAAAAAAAAACATAGTGATAAAAAAAATTCAATTTCCATAATTGAATTATAATTATCATACCTGTATATCCATAACAGCTTTTGCAATTGCAGTCATTACAATATTGGTACGATCCAAACAATCAACACAATTGATACGAAATACACCACGTTGTTCACAGATTACACCATCATTATCGATCCAACAATATCTCATTTCTTTGATTAGATCATAGATTCGTTCAATAAGAATGGAAACATTTTCAAATTTCATTCCACGACTAATATGAATGTAATGTATTATTAGGTTAAAAATTTTATTGAAAAAAAAAATTGAATTACATACCAATAATCATGAAAATCAAATGTAACAAATGTTAGACGAGGATCATCCATTTTTATCACATGATTCATATAAGCATCACATAATACTTTTTCTCTACCCGAATGTTCGATTAGATTTACTGCTACAACTTGATTTTCATAGCAGGTGAATTCCTGTTCAAAATGTTTTCGAAAAGCTTCTTGATTTTCCGATTCGGAACGTTCCATTAATGGTGGTGGACGATATTTATAGCCTGGTTGTGACCAAAACAACGGTACTGAACCACGAACACATACAAATGAAACCGTATGAAATCCATAGCTAAAAATTTGTTCAGTTTCAACATAATTTGCACAGGTTCCACTTTCATCAAGACCACGTTTTTTGTATCTAGTTCCGGCACGAAAACGACTTCGTCTAGAAATTAAAGCCATCCAATAATAATCATGTGTTTCAAAAAAAGAATCAACAATTTTTTTATCACTTGGATCATCATTTTGATTAATGTTTGAATTGATAATACTAGGCATACATCCGACCGGAAAATTTTCCGATAAATCGAAACAACATTTTTCAATTTGTATAAAACCTTGAATGATTGGCAATATCCATAGATGACTAAAACATTTACGTTGTCCATCATTATCATTATTCATGATTTCGATGATTGATTCTAACATGTGTTTGTTCCAGAAAAAACGATCATCAACTCGTTTCCAAAGCGGTACAATACGTATATCATTTGGATCTTGATTTGTTTCAAAAGTTTTACGTATTTTTTGCTGTCTTTGTATAGAATTTGTTAGATCACCGGTTAATGAAAAATAAAATGAATTTGTTTCATTAAACATTTTGTATACTTCTTCCGTTAAACGGCGATCTAATTTTTCTTTTTCTTCAATTCTATTCAACTGTTGATTATTAGCATTCGTAATCATTGAACTAACTTTTGGTTTAACATTAGAAGCAGTTATTTTTAATTGATTCCATGTACGTTGAACACTACTAGCCGATATTAATGTTTGTGAATTTTGTGCGAATAAAGTCGGATTAAATTTTATGCTTGATTCATCGATAATAGAATCTTTGAATGAAGCTTGAATGGATGGTTGATTTGTAGGAGTTACAATCATTGGTTTCGTACAGGAATCATGACAACATTCATCCAAACCAATATCAATAGAATTTTCACCTTTTTTTCCATTCAATGATATAATGGAAATTTTCTGAATTTTAAATACTTCATCACGAGAACCAAATGGTAATCGTCCAATCGAAATTGTTTGTTTAATTAATATTAATTTATCATTATTAAATAGACCAATTAAACCGAATGCTAAACCATGACAAGTAAAATCTTCGAATACAGTATCATCATTTTGATCAATAATTTTAAATTCTGGTCTTATCTGTAATGATTTTGTTTCCAATGAATAATTTGTTTCACTATTTGATTTATTCGATGATTGTTCTGATGGTAAAGAACGTGGCCACCATAATGTACTTGTACCATTTTTAAGTACGACAAATTTTTCACTGATAAGCACCTCAAATCTCATTGTTATTGTTGATGATAATGATGAATTTTTACATTCAATGTTTGTTTGTTTCAACTAGTCTTTTAAAAAAAAACAATGGATTATATTTGGAAAAAAATGCGACGTTTACTCACAATATTACGAAATGATGATGATTATTTCATGGCAAACATTTCAAATGGATAATTTAAAATTTCAAAATGTTATACTCAAATATGAATCAAATACTTTATTTCTTTTCGAAAAAGTTAAGTAGTGTAATTAACATTGAATACAGAAAAAAAATCAAATCAAAGGAACTAATATTTTAAAACAGTTTTTATTGCCATTAATGGATCATTGATGATGATGATGACAATAATAATAATAATAAAACAATACTGACATGTATTGATGGTGACAACAACAACAACAACGACAAAACAAACGATCAACCCATCAACAATAACAACAACAAAAAAATGAAAACGAGTATTCCCATATTTTTTTTATGGTTGGATGCAATAACGACATCATTATTTCAAACAAAAACAATCCATCATCAACAATAACAATAACAATATTTCCTTCTATCATTTGTTATATAGAATTTTTTTCTGTTTTTTTTTCTCAAGAAATTTTTTTTTCTGTGTCTCTTTTCTATCTCTGCGAATGATAGNTGATTTTGTTTCTAATGAATAATTTGTTTCACTATTTGATTTATTCGATTGTTGTTCTGATGGTAAAGAACGTGGCCACCATAATGTACTTGTACCATTTTTAAGTACGACAAATTTTTCACTGATAAGCACCTCAAATCTCATTGTTGTTGTTGATGATAATGATGAATTTTTACATTCAATGTTTGTTTGTTTTTTTCAACTAGAATTTCAATAGGCAAACCTTTTTTTAAAAAAAATATAATGGATTATATTTGTAAAAAAATGCGACGTTTACTCACAATATTACGAAATGATGATAATGATTATTTTGGCAAACATTTCAAATGGATAATTTAAATTTCAAAATGTTATACTCAAATATGAATCAAATACTTATTTCTTTTAGTCTTTAAGTAGAAATTAACATTGAATACAGAAAAAAAAACAAATCAAAGGAACTAATATTTTAAACAGTTTTTTATTGCCATTAATGGATCATTGATGATGATGACAATAAAAAAACAATACTGACATGTATTGATGGTGACAACAACAACAACGACAAAACAATAACGATCAACCCATCAACAACAATAACAACAACAAAAAAATGAAAACGAGTATTCCCCTATTTTTTTTATGGTTGGATGCAATAACGACATCATCATTATTTCAAACAAAAACAATCCATCATCAACAATAACAATAACAATATTTTCCTTCTATCATTTGTTATATAGAATTTTTTTCTGTTTTTTTTTTCTCAAGAAATTTTCTGTGTCTCTTTTCTATCTCTGATAGCCATTCGTGAGCTTTGGGATTTTTTTTGTGTATTCCAAATTTTCAAATAAAGATGGCGCGTTTTTTTTGTTTGGTTGTTGGCTTAATTTAATTTTAATTTTTTAAAAAATCACAGTTTTTCTAAAAATCCAGATTCAATGCAAATGCAATATCATCCGGTGATACATTTAAACGTATTCGTCGATATAAATGTGATTGTGATCGTTCTAATAATATTATTTTAGCTAAATCAAGATTTGTTGCCAATTTGGATAGTTCAATTGTATTTGGTACAAAATTTCCTTCAAAACGACAAATATCCGAATGTGTTTTATACAATTCAATAAATTGATATTCTTCAAGACCTGTTGAACGAAAATTCTGTAAAAATGCACGTAAAAATATCTGTTCCTGTAACGATGCTTGCTGTATTCGTGTTGTTTTTATTGAATTGAAAATTTCTTTAAGCGCTTTATCAACATCGGTCATGGTAACTTTTGTATTTCCATCCATAATGCTTATCTCTATTGCTCGTCTACAAATATCCAATACACGACGTGCATCACCAGATACAGCCGATACTTTTCTACAAATCAATTCTAAAGCATCTGGTTCGAATATCTCCATTTCATTCAAATCACCAAGTCGAGATAAAACAATTTTTTCCAATTCTTTATACGAATAAGGCTGAAAAAGTAAACGTGTCAATCCAAGACGTGATGAAACTCTGTTAACCATAATTCTTTCGGGTAAATCCATTGAATTAGCAACAGCCAAAACAATTAATTTGGAATTTTTTCGACTTGGCCAATCAAAAATATGATAAAGTATATCTTGTTTTTTTGTCTTAAGATAATCCAATTCATCGATGAATAGAATAACAAATTCTTTTGAAGGATCCATATTACTAAATCTTTCGGCCAAAATATTTGTAGCTTGATAATTGCTTTTTTCAATTCCATTCAATTCCTGTTTGAAAAAAAATGAAAAATCAATTTCAAATTAATAATGATAAAACATATTCAATTATTATTTACCATAAGAAAATGTGAACAAAATCGATTCGGTTGTGCAAGTTTCATTCCATTGATTTCAATGAATTTAAATTTTGGTAAATTTTTTGCTTCTTCATTCAATTTACGTTTAACTTCGCATAAAGTTGCCGTTTTACCAGTTCCAGGAACGCCACTAATATACATGCAACTATTTTTCATTTTATCAGATTTTGAAAAAAAAAATTCCAAATAACTAAATTTACCAAAAAAATAACTTACCCTCCTTCATTTTCGTATAATTTTTTCGTAATAAAATTATGAATATCATTAAATTGAAATTCACGACAAGGTAATGATTCAGGTACCGATGATGAATGTAATCGTAAAACAATATCTTCTAATGTAATTTTTATTGTATTCTTTTTTGATTGTTTTTTGACAACATTTGATTTCGATTTGATTATTGATTTATTTTTTGATTTATTCGGTTTATATGATTTATCAACTTCAAAATCATCATGTTCATCATGATCATCATGAACAATTATACTTTTTCGTTTACGTCTTGATCTGGTTTGATTCATTTTATTTTAATTGAATAAAGAAAAATATTTTATAATCGCGCTTTTTTCTCAAAAAACAAAACAAAACAACAAAAAACAAGCGGCAAAGCTGTTTTCGAATCATTCATTGAATTGTTCGATAGATGGCATTAGTTATTTCAATTCTCAATTGAATCGAATTTTTTTTTTAATTATTCGGGCTAATTATTTAATTATTCCATAATATTTAATATAAATTGAATGTTTTTAGGAAAAATTTTATGTGTTCCGTTCCAATTACATTGACAGTGATTGATTGGATTCGTCATCAATAATGTTTCGTCAATTATTTTGGTGTTGGAAGAAAAAACCAGCACGTAATAAACGTGTTAAAAAAGAAAGTAATAAACATGAACGGATAACAATGACAAAACGACATTATCGATCAGATTCAAAAAGAACTAATGATTGGAAAAAAGAAGATTCATCCATACGATTATCTACACGTTCAGGTTTTGCACATATACCAACTACACCAACAACAACATCATTTATGCCTGCTACATCAATTGGTCAAAGTATTCGTCAAGCATCGCCTAAATTATCAAGACCATCGACACCATCACAAATGAAAACCGTTGATATTACAAATATAATTCGTCATGATCCAATCGAAACAACCGTTGAAGAAATTTTACATTGGAATGGATATAAATTAGAAAATGAAATTGGAAAAGGAAGTTTCGGTTCAGTGTATCGTGCTCGTGATCTTATCAATGAAACAGTTGTTGCCTGTAAAGTAATTGATATAACAAAAAGTTCAAAAAATCAAAGCCTTTCGGTTCGTAATGAATTATTCATTATGGAAAAAGTTAATCATCCACATATAATCAAACTATATCGACATTTCATTATTGAATCACCAAAATCTCGCCAGGTTTATATTTTTATGCAGCTTGCAAAATCAAAATCATTATCGGTTTATGTTCGATCATTCAAAACTGGTTTGCCTGAACCAACGGCAAAAAAAATGTTTGCACAAGTCGTATCGGCTATTAATCATTTACATAAAAAACATATAGCACATCGTGATATTAAAATGGGAAATGTATTGTTGGATGAAAATAGTGATTGTTTAGTGACCGATTTTGGATTAAGTCGTGTTGCATTTCGAGCATCAAAGGGTAAAAAAATATTGACAAATAAATTCTGTGGTACAATGCCATATATGGCACCGGAAATTCTATTAACTCGTGATAATAAATTAGTTTATGATCCATTTCCAGCTGATATATGGGCATTAGGTGTACTATTATATTGTATGATAAATCGTGGATATCCATTTCCAAGTGATAGTACAAAAATGTTAGAACAACAAATGTTACATAAAATACGTTTTGGTAAAAAAATGCAATTCGATCCAACTGACGATCTTATCGATCTATTTCAACGATTATTAGAACCAAATGCCGAATTACGTTTACGTATGGATCAATTAATGAAACATCCATATCTAATTAAAGATATAAATCTTGTTGAACAAAATGTACGACAATTATTAAAAGATGATCCAGAAAGAGAAAATCTTTCTTTATCATCAACAGTAAAAACGGCTAATCAATCAATGTGGGCAAGAGAAAGTTTTCTTGAAATAATTGCACAACGTAAAATGGCTATACAGAAAAAACTTCGATCATCATAATATTTTATTTTTTCTGAAATTGAAAAAGAAAACGAAGAAAATAATGATTGTATAATGATGTGTATATTGGTGGTTGGTCTCATTTTACCATTTAACAATCAACAACAACATTATCATCAACGACATAAAGGTTCAATAAATCATAAAAATAGAAATATATGAATCGCACAAACACACACAAACTTACCACACACACATACATTAAAAAACGCGAATTTGTTAATATCTATAAATGAAAAAATAAAATGAATAAACAAATTTTTTTTTGTTTGTTTCAATTTGTCCAAATTCTAAAAAGAAACAATGAAAAACAATTAATTTTTTTCACAATTGTTTGTTACAAAAAAAAAACAGTTCCTGTTGTTATATTTCGTTAAACTTTTGTGTCTTTTTTTCTTTTCGGAAAAAACAATCACATTTCATTCAATTCAATTTACTTTAAACTTTTTTTAAAAATGGTTTTAGATTAATTTGAATAAAAAAAACTTCAAAATAATAATCCGATGACATTGAATGAATTATGAGGATTGTCTTTTGTTTTGTTTTGTTTTTGTTTCCACTTGAAACAAAACAACAACAACAACAAGTTCAAGTTCACAATTATCATCAAAAACAGAATCTAAACAACTTCATCTGGGTTAATGCAATATTTATTCGCGAATGGTGATGGTGGTGGTGGGGGGCGAATATTGTGTAACGAATGAAGAAAAAAAACTGTTTCTTTTTTACATAATCCAACTTGAAAGATCTATAGATCAAATCTAATGTTAGAGCTGTCTTTGTCAATCAAACAAGACAAACAAAATATATAACACATTTCTTCCTCGAAAACATACAGTGAAATTTTTTTAATGGCACATTTTGTTTCGCGATTGATAGCATGTTGTAACTGCAATAGACATATACATTGAAAAAATGGGAAAAAATAGGATTTTTTTCTTCTTTTTCATCATTCAAAATGGTTACATTGACATTGTTTGATTAAAGTGATTCGGGTCTTGTGAACAATGGACAACAGATAAATAAATAAAAAGAAAGAAAGATGTTGAATGAATGATTTTTCTTTTTCTTTTTTGTTTTCTTTGATTCAAACAAAACATTACTTGTTGTTGTTGAGAAAAATCAGTGTTATTTTTTTCAAGATGAAACACATATTTTCGACAAAGTATTTAAACATGATATTTTTATGGTTGGTTTTGGAACGATTTTCGTTTTCTTTTTTAGTTTCGAAAAAAAAGTTTCGAATAGTAATGGCGGCTATATTGTCAATATTACCATTTGGTATAATAATAGCCATCATATTGATTATTATTGTTAATATTATCCGGTTATTCTTCATACAATATCGATCATATCATTGTTTGAAAACAATTCCCGGTCCTGATTTTCATAATCCATGGATTGGAAATCTTAAATTATTTATTGATATTATTTGTAAACCTAATTATCGTCCATCTCAAGGTGAATTTTTTTTATTTAAATATCCTCATCATAATTTTTTCGGTTCTGATTTTGTTTGTTGTTTTGATGATAATGTTTAGGATTTTTTAGCTTATTGAAAGATTTAAGCGATGAATATGGTTCAAAATTAGGTCTTTGTCGTGTTTGGTTTGGACCATTTATACCGATTGTTGTTGTAACTGATGCTAATATTGCACAGAAAATTTTAAACAGTGAACATCATTTGGATAAAGCAACACCATATCGTTTAGTTCGTTTCGTAATTTTTGATGGAATTCTTACCTGGTAATGTTTTAATTTTAATGATAATAATCTAAATAAATAATTCAAATATTTTGGATAATTTAAGTAATACGGAAAAATGGCGTCAACAAAAACGTGAACTACAACCACATCTTAAATTAAAAGCATTACATTCATATCTACCAAATACCAAACATTATCTAACAATATTGAATGAAAAAATTGATCAATGTATTAAAGATAATGATGGTAAATTTATGGATGCTAAACCAGTTGTTTCGACATTTGTTCTTGATGTTCTTGGTGGTAATATATCAGTTTATATATTATGAATAACCCCCTATTAGTTTTTTGTCTCATTTTTTGTTTCTTTTCAAAAGCAAATTTTTTCAGTACAGAATTCAATTCATTATCGGCCGGTTTTAAAGAACCAAAATTTATTGAAAGATTTGAACGAATGACTGATTTAAGCTATGTAAATTTATTAAAACCATGGACATATTTTTTCCGTTATGAATGGCTAAATTCATTGTTATTGTTTATGACAAAAAATATGGATAATTTGAAAAGTCTTTTTCTTATTCTACGATTTCAGCGATCGGTTCGTGAGGTTTGTTTTATCTAAGATCAATCGAGTCCATAGCGTTATTAAACTTATTACTTAGATCATAAATAATCGTTTGGAAAAATTGCGTAAAAATAAAGACGAAAAAACATCAATGATGCTCGACACAATGATCGAATCAAGAAGGAATCCAAATTCAATGAAAGTTTTAAATATTAAAGAAATTGAAACGCATATGAATTTTTTCATTATTGGAGGTATGTTAATTTTGATTATGATTAAATTATTTATACCGAAAAACTTTCATAGGACATGATACAACAACAACATCATTATCATGGACATTATATCTACTTGGTCATCATCAACAGATACAAGAACAATTACGTGATGAAATTGATCAATATCTAGATGAATTAGAAGCTAATGATGAATCAATTACATTGTTAAATATGAAACGTTTAAAATATCTTGAATGTTGTATACTTGAAGCATTACGTCTTTATCCATCGGCACCGATTGTTGGTCGTCGTGGACGTTCACCAATCAAATTGGACAATGGAATCATCTTACCTACACATGTTAATTATCTAATAATCATAGCGAAAATATTGAAAGATCCAAAATATTTTCATGAACCAAATCGTTTCTATCCAGAACGTTTTCTTTTGAATAATGATGAAACAAAAAATTGGTTTACACATTCGGCTTATTTTCCATTCAGTGCCGGTATTCGTATGTGTTTAGGTCGTGAATATGCAATGATGCAATCAAGAATGTTTTTTATTAATTTAATTGGAAATTATTCAATCAAATCATTGGATAATTATGGTGAATTAAATCCAACAATGAATGTATTACATGTACCGGCACATTTTCCCATTCAATTTGAACATCGAACAAATTGTAAAATTAGAAAATTTATGATTTAGATTCAGCTTAATAATGTGATTTAGATTTTTATTTTTATTTTCATTGTATAAAATATTGTTTTATTAATTAATTTTCATACATTGTTTGTTTTTGAAATAATGATTGTCATTTTGTTATCAATTTTTTCATTAACATTGTTAACAGTGGATAATATATGTTTTTCTTTCATAATATTGAACATACATACAATTGGACTTTCAAATAACAATGTAAATAAGAATCCAAGTGAATAGGCAAGACATATTGCCGATACGTTTAACATTATTATTGATGGATAATGTAAATGAAAAAGATTACGACTTGAATCACGTATAACATATATAACAAGAAAATGTGTAAGAAAAACTGAAAATGTCATTCGTGATAATGGTCGAAAAAATGACCAAGATAATATTTTTGATATAAATGATTCCGGATCAGTAATACAGATAAATATAATTATTGTTAATATCATTGACCATAATAATCCATTTAATGGTGATATTAATGCTGACCAAATAGGTAGATATGGTAGACCAGAAAGCCATGGATATGTATCATATATACAAATTATTATTCCTATAATAATAGTCATCCATGCCATCAATGTTTTCCACTTGATTAGAAGATTGATAAAAAAAATTAATAAATATTATTTTTTTGGATAAAATTATAAAAAACGAATTATACTAACTTTAGTCCAATGAAAATGATTAGGTTTGATTTGTCGTAAATGATAACCGAAAATAAAACCAATAAGAAATACATGTGCATGACTCCATGGTTTATCATAAAATTTTAGAAATTTTCCGGATTTATTACCGACACGAAAATCACCAGGTGAACTAACAATTGCACCTGGTGGTGAATTTTCTAAAATAATCCATATCATTTGAAATAAAATGGAAATTATTATTAAAAATTTACTGAACAATAATCCACGTTTTGGATTTTTCAATAGAAAGATTAACGGTAACAGCGATAACCAATGTAATTGCATATCAGCAGCCAAATACCATAGATGTGGTTCACACTTGTGAATTTATTTGTTGAAAAGATAAAAAAAATAATCAATTTTTAAATTAACAAAATAGAAAAAACAAACAAACAAACCATATCATCGGAATTGATTAGATTTTGTAAAAAGATTAAATTTTTCCACCAAGATTTTTCACATGAATCGATCATCCATTGCATACGATATTGCCAAACAGGTCCATCAAACAATGGTGGTAATATTGTTATGATGATCATGAATGCCAATAATTGTGGTGTTAGTCGTAAAAATCTTATCAAAAGAAATGGTATGATACGAAAATTTTTATAATTACCATTGGTTAATCTTATTGTTGTATATGAAACTAACATTCCACTTAAGAAAAAAAATGTTTCAACAGCATAAAATCCTTTTAATAATGGCTGTGAATAAATATTGATAATTTCATTTTTCAATAAAAATAAATGTGAAAATCGATTCATATCAAAAAATGGAATAATATGACCCATTATTATCCAACACATACTCAATACACGAATTCCATGTAAACAGGTTAAATCTTGACCATCCATTTTTGATGATAAAATTTTTTCCATATTTGACATTGGTGAAAACCAAAGTAAACATGTTGTAATTGTATTTGATTTTTTCTTCACAATAAACCAATCATAAATACCCGAAATAATTGTCATTAGAATAAAAAATCCGATAAACAATATGGATAATATTTGTACATTGTTTGGTTGCCATGATTTTGTTTGTTTTGTAGTGCAAATCATTTTATTTATTTTCAAATCAAATATTTCTCTGCCGAATCCTTTTTCAGTAATGATTTCAATATCTTTATCAATACAATCAGTTGGTAGACAAATTCCTTTACGAATTGTTGAATAATAAAAAAATGATGACATTTTACCCAAATCATAATAAAAATTTCCAGACATTGATTTATTATTGATAATTTCATTAGGAAGAATATTTTTTGTCGTATGAAATAGATTATGCATTGATGGTCTTGGCATTGGCATTGGTATTGTCATATCAATTAGACAATATTTTACAATCAAATCAGAAGGATCAATACTCATACATTGATCATAATCACCATAATCGGTCATAGTTCCAAGTATCATACCGACCGGTATAATTGATGATGGCCATGAATTGAATAAACGAAAAGCCCATGTTTTTCTTTGTTCACCAAACATTGAATCACGAATATATATCAAATTTGTTAGACATTTTTCGGTTAAATTTTCATTTCGAAATAATGGTCCATCGGTTTCGATATAATTTGGTAAAAATATTTTGGCTAATGTTTCATTCGAAACATTTAACAAACGATTCCAAAGATAAAAATCATTTGAATTGGTTATCGATGCTGATTTATCGATAAATATTAATAGGAAAAAAGTAATTAATAATTTTTCAAACATTTTCACATTCATGATTGATGAATGATTGATTGAAATTAAAAACAAAAAACTAGATGTCTAAAATTACAAAACGAAAAAAAAATCGACTTTACATAATACACTACTATTACCATCATTTTAAATGATTTGAAAAATGTTCACATCAAATAAAAGCAAAAAAAACAAAAAAAAAGAAAAGAAATCCAAAACTTTTCAATTTTCCAAGAAAATTCATTTCCTATAATTGCAGCAATAAGGTAATTGAAATTTTACAACTTCACTTTAATATGGTGTTATTCAAACGCGAAATGAAAAAAATTCGTGAGAATATTGAATGAAGGTGTGAAAAAAAATAGTGCGCAAAATAAATACCCAACAAAATTAAAAAAAAATTCAAAAAAATTCAAAAAACAAAAAAAAATTAGATTGAACAAGAATCTTTTTTATTAATCATTTAACATACACGCATACACAGTACACAAACAGATTAGGAAAAACCAAAAGTAATATTATCATCTTTTTAAAATAAAATTTTAAAAAAACAGTAAACCAAAAAAGAAAAAGAAAAAAATCTAGAAACAGATTCTAATCGGAAACAATTATTTCTTCTTTTCCGCAAATGATGATAATGGTTATTATTTAAAGATCAATTATTAATCAATTTCTTAAAATCAAATTATTATCATCATTATAAAATATTAACTATGTTTTTTGTTTACCCAAAATTTTGTTTGTAAAAAGTATAAAAGAAAGGGTAATGATGTACGTGTATTTGTGTATGTATGTATTTAAAAGAAGTAGATCACAATTAATTTTCAAAGACAAACAAACAAACAAAAAAAACCAAATGTTTCACAATTATCAATCAACAATTTCACGACGTCTATAGAATAATAAATAGGCTTTTGATGTAATAACTTCACGATCGTCCATTATTTTATCCACACAACTATCATCGAATAAACGCCAACCTAAAATGAAACAGAAAAAAAAATCATTATCTTCATGGAATTTTGAAAAGATAAAACAAAAAAACATACCAAATTCATTTGAATGAGATGAACGAGCAAATGCAGTATAATGTCCCCATGCTGGACGACCTTGATGATTGACCACAGCATAAAGTTCATAGATTGGTGATGGTTGTTGTTTATTATTATCATTATCATTATTATTATGATGGTTAGCTGTATATTTTTCCAGATTCAATTCGAATGGATATTTTATCATATAATTAATTTTTTCATGAAAATAGCTTGATGAATGTGTCTTTAAACGTTTTAACTGTATAACCAGTATGGATGGTAGACTCCAAAATGATAACTGTTTTGAAGCTTCACGAGGTACTTTACAATTAGGACAACGCCTGAAGAAAAATAAAATAAAATCATTATAAACACAATATGATTTAGTATAAATTGCAACTTACCAACAATTTTGTGGACCTAGAATTTCTGGTTCAATAAATGCCTGTAGACAATCATCAAGTGTAACATCATCTTCATCATTTCCAATATTTTCATATTCAATATTTTTCTCCAACGAATTCAATTTTACAGCAAATGGATATGAAGGAAAATTTTTGACTGTAATCCAATCCATACCAATGAAATAAAGATTGTTTATATCGAGTAATTGATCATTATCAGCGGAAATGATTTCATCTTCTTCATATTCATCTGTCGATTGTTGACATTGTTGTTCTTGTTCATCATTTTCTATGAGAAATTCTTCTTCACCTTCTTCTTGAAGTGATGATGATGGTTCATGCATTGGTGAATCGTCACCATTTGTTGATGTGGACGAATTTACATCACCATATTCATCATCATCTTGTTCCATATCTACATTTTTATAAGAAACAGATGCCGGTGGTGTTATTTCCGTTTCTTCAGCATTCATATCGAACGACAATGTCATGAGTAAAAATGGCGCAATCGTATCGTTTGGTTGTGGAATTTTGCATTTATGATATATTAAATGTGGTAATGGATCATTGGTTTCCATATTATTATTATTATTAGATGATTTTGCTACATTTTTTGGCGTAAACGAATGAACATTGAATCTATTGAGATTGCCAAATTGATTTGGATCGAGATCAGATTCATTGTTCAAAGCCATTGCTTGACGATAGGCGATAACCGAAAATCGAGCATATGAACAAAGTACTTCACAAAGATGACTATATGAGAAGCGAGATTTTTTTATAGAACAAACAAATGGCAATCCAATTTGATGGCTACGAAAATCAGAATTTTCACGTAATTCTCTTTGTACGATACAAAATTCAACATGTTCATTATTATCAACATTTTCGCTATCTGACAATAATGATGGTGGCACTTCGAATAACAATAATGGCTGTTGATTCGATATATTCAATGATGAATGATTATTATTCATAAAACTTGATTGTTGAGGTTGTTGACAATCGGTAAGTAGCCAATTAGAATTGAAGAATTTCACGGGCATTATATCTCTTAAATGATGATAATGTGTTTGTTGTGACCTTAATTGTGGCTGCATTATTCGAACATTTTTCGTTGGTATAATTTGTTTTTCTCGATATAATTTTTCCAATAAATCATTTACCGTTGAATTTTGAGCAACACGAATGGAAAACTTTGAAATACTTTTGCACATGTCGGTTTGATTATCACGATCAAAATAAATAACATTATATATTAATTTAGGGGGTGGAATCGGTAACGGTACAAATAGAAATGGATCGAATATAATGCTTTTTTTCATACAATCCGGACATGTAAGAATCGATTTGAATTGACCACAAAATAAATCGATTATGATCGAACTATTTCGTAAACGATATTGTTTCCAAGCACGGTCGGCAATCTCTTTAATTCTTGTGAATATTTTTTCACGAATTTCATTTGATGGACAATCATTTATATCATAATCCAGTAGACTATCATCGTCATCATCATTATTATTATTTTTATGATTATCCGTCTTTGTTTCATTTCGATTAAGATCTTCATGAATGGCATCCAATAAAAATGACATTAATTCCTGAGCATCATGTTGACTAAACCCAACAAATGTAATCACTTTTTCTCCAATCAATGATTTCAATCGTGTTGGTGATATTGACGATTGTTTACCCATCCACAATTGTAAAAGAAATTGTGCAAATGCTCGTGCCATCATACCTTTCATCCCCAAAGGATTTGTAGTATTTATATCGTTAAGATATTTATTAGCTAAAAATATTGAGCCAAAATGAAATGATTGAAAATTATTTTGAAAATTAAAATGATACAAAAATACGTACAAAGAAAATAATCTTTTAACGGGTCAGTATTGGCCAAACATTGTAATACAGCATTCATGAAACAAGTATTGCCCAGATTATCTAAGCCAGTATATCCACGAAAACGACCATAACGATTTGTATTGACGGCCGATTCGATTTCTCCATTATCATTAATATCTATTGTGATAATAAAATTCTAACACTTTCAATTCATAATAACAAAGAAAAAACAACAAACCATTATTATTATCCGAAGATTTTGATACTGTTAACATCATATTATCTTGAGAAAATCGACAATTTGAATCATTGGAAGACGATGATAATCTGCACGGGGTCCATTTATTTAGGCTATATGTTGACAATGGTGATATGGATGATGATGAAGATGATGATGATGGTGGTGGTAATGATGAATTTGAATCAAGTATCATTGGCGTTTTACTAACAACCGTATCTGTTGATGATAATAAATTAGGTGTAATACAAAGTTCTTTGATTGTACCCCATGTAATAAGAATTAATTTTTGTATACGAATTTCAACAGTTTTCTTTGAAATTTTTACCAAACATTTTTCCGGTACAATTTCATTTCTATTTCATTTTAAAAAAATAATTAAAAAATATTAGCATAAAATTTAAATTTTTTCAACAACAAAAACAAAAAAAAATTACTTACTTAAAAGTAAGATTTAATAGATAGATATAATTTCTTTTCAATTGAATTGGATTAAGAATCGGAATCTCATTATTATTGATATTAACATTTGACAACAACAAACAATGATCTGTTTCAAATTTCAATTTCATTCCATTACGATAAAATTCAAATTCACAATGCTTTACATTTGTTATATAAAGAAATAATAATACAAAATCTTGAAATTCTGAATAATTACTTTTGAGATCGGTTAATTGAATTTCAATAATATTATTATCAATATTATCATCAATATTGTTATCATCATTATAATTGTTGTTGTTATAATTAGCATTCGTTTCAACATCAATATTTGCATTTATATCATTCAACAATAATGGTGGTGGTGGTGATGATGATTGATCATTATCAGAAATGATTGTATCAAATTTATCCGATGTTTTCCATAAAACATTTGTATCATTAAATATTTCATCATCATCAACCATTGTATTTGATGAATTATTATTATTATTATTATTATTATTTATAAAATTTGTTGGATTAGAATGATTAATATTGAAATATAAATTATTATTATCAAAGTCTTTATTATTAAGATTCTTATTGCTTGCTGATGATAATGATGGAGATGATAATGATGATGATGTTGATGATGATGATGATGATGTAGAAGTTATATTTTCTGTTTCGATAATTTTTAATTTTTTATTATTCTGTTCTTGATTATCATTATTATTATTATCTTCATGATGATCAATATCACGATTTAATATTATTGATGATTCTTTGGTTAATGATTTTTGTGATGAAATAATTGTTTCCGATTGTTCTAATAATGATACTGGACAAAATAAATTTTGATCATCATCAATTGCTGCATCAATCGTATCAATATCCATATCATTTGATTGTTGTTGATCAATTGTTTGATGAATATGATTATTGTTTCCATTTTCTTGTTGTTGTTGATGATGATGATGATTGATAAGAAATCCATCGATATTAAAATGATGACCATCACCATTTATATTCAAATGATTAGAATCAGAATCTTTATCAATCGAATCATTGTTGACCGGTTGCTGTGTTGATTCAACATTATTCATCCCATTATCGGATGAAAACATTTTCATCATATTTTTACGATTATTATTATTATTATTATGGATATGATTACAATTTTTAATCTTCATTAGGCCAAGATTTTGAAATTTATTTCGAACAACATCAAAATCTTTAATGTTATTACAATTGTTGTTGTTGTTCGTAACAATTACATCATTATTATTATTATTATTAAGTTTTTTCAAATTAATCACATTATTTATGGCAGATTTTTTTTCATTATTCGAAATTACATCATCACCATCATTATTATTACTATTATTGAGAATAAATAATTTTTCATTATTCGTTGAAGATTTACAATCACTATTCGAATGTTCGGACATATTTTGTTGTTGTTGTTGATGTAGTTTTGTTTCTTTTTTAAAAAAATATAATAGAAAATAGAAATTCGATTTTCACGCGACAAACAATGACAAACAACGTTCTTTTTTTTCTGCTTTGTCACAATTGATGATAATAATGTTGATGTTCATCTCGTCATCAACCATCAATTATATCATTGTCATTATCAAAATCGAATATACGTAGTTTTTGTTACCATTTCTTTTTTCTTGATGTAGTTTTTTTTTGTAGAAATATCTTTTTCATCTGAAAAAACAACAGACACACCTCACATAAGATTTTTATTTTTATTTTTGGTTTTGATCAATTCTTTTCTTTTTCTTTTTTCTTTTCCTTTTAAAAAAAAAACATCAATAAAGCAAACACAAACACAGAAATAAACAACAACAATTTGGAAAAAGCAACAAAACAACAAAAAAAAAATCTAATGAAATCAAGAGTGCGGCTTTCGATTATTGATGGATATTGTTTAATACGCATGCACAAAATATATATATCACAGTGGTTTTCAATTTTCAAAAATCATTTTTATCAATTTCGAATTTGAGGAATCGAATTTCGGATTCGTTTGGAAACCACTCGATTATCATGAATGAGGCGAAAAAAATAAAGGGGTTTTTTTTTCATACAACAACCATTATTTCCACAAGATCGGTTGATTTGTGTGGAAATTGATCATTTTGGATTCAATATTTGATGATTCGATCATTTTTTTTCTTTTTTGGATAATTTCTTTTTTATCGATTTTGTAATCTTTATATTATTTTTTTCAATGACACTTTAAATACTCCGGATGTTTGTAGTGGAAAATATTTGATTGAATGTGATAAAACAAAATGAACCTGCATTGCCTAATGTTTGTTGCTAAATAGATTAGAGAAAAAAAAGAGAAAATTTACTGTTTGTTACTTATGGTAATATAAAATAATACCTTTTCCATTTTCATAGATCATTTACTAAAAAATTTACCAAATATGTTCAATATATATCAAATATGTGACATTTGATATTTTGATTGTTAATGATGATATATAATCATTATCATATAGCAACACTAATATTAAATGATGAAATTGTTTTGACAAAACCCTTACTTACTTTTTTATTTCAATTGAATTCAACTGTTTTTAATCAATTCACCCAGTTATTATCAACAAACAAACAAACAAATGATGATGATGAGGAAGAACATTTTAAATTTATTTTAAATTCATGGCTAAATATATGTAAGTAAATAACTTTTCTTTTTCTTTTTTCCATTATCATCATTATTATTCGATTCATTCAAATGGTTAATTTAACTCATCATCATTTTTGATTTTATGACATTGAGTTTAGCATAAAGTAAAATTAGCGATTTAGATTTTGTGTGTGTGCGATGTTTATAATACTTTGTTGGATATTTGAAATGAATGTGTTTATACATTTTTTTCTTCCCAATTCATTATCATCATGATTTCATTTCAGGGAAAACAACAACAATATTAGCCTATATGTTTTTAATCATCTGTCAAAAAATAGCCAGTTTATCATCATAAGGATTTGTTGTTGTTGTTGTCGCCATCGATAGCTGATCGTTTTTTTCCATATCATCTTTGATTATCACAAAATTCACAAGTGTTTTTTTTTTGTCTTCCATTGCCAATTATATATATTTTTTTCCATTTACATTGATGCAAAGATTAAATAAAATTAATTTTGTATTATTTATATAATCAATAGAATAGAGAAAAAAAAATATTACAATGGCATCCTCGTCATCATCCAGTATGGATCTATTATCATCAATGATTTGGTCACCATATCATGCAATACAACAGGCTGTTTTACCATTTTATCATCGATCATCTGGTCCAATTTCTATTATCGACCTCAATAATGATTGTTTATGGACAATTTATTCATTTTTAGATTTTGATGATCTTGTTCGTTGTCGACGTGTTTGTCATCGTTTTTTATCAACAATTGATGATTATTTAAAATTAATGAAAAATTTTGTCTATGATTGTCATTTAAATGGTTTACAACTTCGTCATGGTCAATATCAATTCGATATTCGTTCATTTGAATTTTGGTTAGAACATATGCCATCAATTCAACGGATACGTTTTGAACAATGTCGTATAATGCGTAATGCTCTTACACATTGTCAATTTAATCTATTCGATTCAATATCGGCATTAGTTACCGATTTAAAAGAATTACATCTTGGACGTGCTTTATTCATCAATCAACATTCATTATCACAATTGATTCATGCATTTCCATCATTAACACATCTTACAATCACTATTTATGATGAACATTTATTATCACAAATTATTTCAGGATTTCAACAATTATATTATCTAAATCTTGATGAAAGTATTCTTTACAATTTTTCATCAGCATTGAGAAATTTACCATCATCTATTCGTGTATTGATTCCACCAGTAGATTTAAAGAATGAAAAATCTCAAGTTCTCAAATCGATTTGTGATGGTAATAATCAAATTAATTTTTAAGGTTAAAATAATTCATTTGTTTTTTTTGAAATAGGACACGGAATTAATCTGGAACGATTGGAAATACGCGCAACAATTCATAATTTATTTGATGATCGTCATTATTTCGATATGATTGGCCAGATGCTTGTCAAACTGCAATGGCTTCAATTGGATCTTTCTTGTGCGGCCATTTTCCATCCACAATTAGCATTAGATGGTCATCAACAACAAGAAATCAATAATAATGATCATGAATATGGACAAAATAATCACCATCCTCATGATTATGAACCGAATTCTGATGAATGTTTAAATTTAATTTCTGGTCTTCATCATCTTGTTAATCTTCGTGTATTGATATTGAAAGAAAAAGATTATTTCGATGAAAATCATAATGATGATCATGAAGATGATGGTTTTTTGACGATTAATCAATCTCAACAATATCGTAGTCTGTTTGATGATTTTTCCCTGTTGAAAATATTTAAAAATTGTTCAAAATTAATAATGCTTTCAATATCATCATCACTTTGTTGCAATCGTAGGGATTATGCACATTATACAATGAATCGTAAACAAGATGATTATACTATAAATCGTATATTGAACCGATGCTTTAGTCAACTTCAAAAACAGCAAATAATAGATGAAGATGGCAATAATTGTGATTGTGATATACCGATAAATCATTCTAGTCATCATATGAACAATAATAAAAATGTCTATGATTCAAATGATAATAATAACTATTCAAATATAATTGTTTCATCTAAATTGTCACCGACATCAATCAGTGATCATTCATTATCTACATTAAATCAATATCTTCCTGATTTACGAATTTTAAGACTTCGTGGTGTTTGTATTGGACAACGTTCATTATTAGCCATACAGAATCTAAAACGTTTACAATTTCTTCGATTAGATTCGATACGATTTAATCGTCAGGAAAAATCTTCAATCAAAGAATCATTCAGCGAATTAATGCAAACACTTACATCCGATATGTATCAATCGAATGAACATTGTAAACAACATCGTCAACATCGAACATCAATTCATTTGACAAACATTCCAATGATTTAAAACAAACAATTGTTTATGTTTTATACATTTCATTTTCAGACATTTTTTATAATCATCATTTTATTCATTTAAAATGAGTTTTATTATTATTATTATTATTATTATTGCTTGGCTTATTCAGTGCATTATCATTTCATTTATAATGACTTTTTTTTGTATATTTAACTATAATGGTGATTTTTGAATTCATTTGTTTGTGTGTGTGTGTGTGATCTAATAATAACATTTTTCTGTTCTAAAAAAAATAATTAATGTCAAAAACAAGTTTGTGATTTAAAAATCCGAATTCTGTAAATACATGGTAAAATAGATAAAAAATGGAAACAATAATGCAAATGTGACAAGTAAAAAACGGAAAAGTATTTTATAATTATCATTAATTGATTTATCATTCTGTTTGATGATGGTGGTTTCTTGTTGTTGTTTGTCGTTGAAAAGTCTTGAAAATTGTCCTTTAATTAGTTCAAATTGTTCACCAAGAAATTCTTTTGAAAATGATGTATGTTGTGATAATGAACTTGATATTAATATACCAGGATCTTGATATAATCGTTCTAATGTTAATGATTTTGGCAATGTTTTATACCATATATTTAATATTGGTATACGATATTCACGATATAAACGATGATCAATACCATGTGTAATACGAATTGATCGTACTGTACGTTTCAATAATTCGGACCAATATTTTATATCGATAATAATTGTATCCAATGTTGTTATACTACCACTTTCACGACTTTTGTTTCGTAATCCATTCGATTCATCATCATCCAATGTATAGTTTAATAAATTCATATTTTGTAATTGTTCACGAAATTCTAGTTTGAATAATAATAAATTCATTTCGATAGCCATAAATGCAAATAAAAATCGCGACTTTTCTGGATGTTCAAAAAGATATAGCTGTTGATATTGTTCATCTAATCGTCTAGCTAATTGTGACATTTTCAAACATTTTTCCTGCAACAAAATTTTATCTTCATCATCAATATTCGAAGTGGTACTAAAATTTAGAAAACTATGATTTTGTTGACCAGAATCAAAAAATTCATCTTGAAATTGTGTAATAAATTCTTGTTGTAATGAATGAAAAAGTTCTATATCGATCATATCATGACCATCATTTTGTTCTTGTTCCGAACAACGTATACAGTCACAATCATCAATATAATAATTACGTAATTGTTTTAAACGTTCAATACGTGATAATGAAATATCAACATAATTAATTGATAATTGTTCATCATTTTCAATTGATTTCATTGATCGTAATTGAATTACAGGCCCATAATGTATAAATGAACAATTCGGAATGCAAGAATGTCCACTACTAATTAGGCTTGGTTCAAGATATAATCCATAAGCGATAGCATCTTTTGAAAATAATCCGGCCAATGTTTCATCATAAATCGGTACAGCATATGACCAAAGACGAACAAATATTTCCCATAATTCAAATATTTTATCATCATCAGAAATCATAGCCGAAATTTCATTATCATTATCGGCAGAAGCATCAGTACAAAGACGTAATTCATCAAGTAATTCAATAAATTGTAATAATGCAAATTCTTCTGTTGTCATATCAGCAGTTAATGACTGTCCAGATTGTTTATCATTATCATCCGGTTTATTGGCAAATTTTTCATAACATAATTCTATACGTTGAGCAAGTTCATTACATTCGATTATGATAGTCTTATCTAAATGTTCGAAATTGATCGGTTCTTGTGTTAATGGATTTAATATTGGTTGAAAATGTATTGATTCAGGATTTTTGATACGAAGATAAAGACGTATAAATAATCGTGAAGAACTGGAAAGAATGTGTGCATATTTCTTCAACAATGGACATTCAAGATTATGAACATTTTTAAATATACTTGGTGATCGTAATTGTTGACATGATCGACAGAAATGAATTTGTTTACAATCACGACAAACATTAAGATTATATGAACTAGTTGGCTGTCGAAGACAAAGATCACAAATTTTACCACGCCATGAATCGGCAATAATATGAATAAATGGACGACAAGTGACCAAAATATCACCTTTTTCGAATGCTAACGATTTAGATAATCGTATATCATCATCATATAATCCATTAATACTTGATCTATCGGTCGAAATTGTTGAAAAAGAATCTCGGAACATGTTTTTTTTGTTGTTGAAAATTTTCGCTCATTAACCGCGATGTGAAATAACTGAAATAACTAAAATATTTGACATTATTATAACGCAATGTGATGCATAAACAGCCGTAAACATCTTAAGTATGATCTGCCATCTATCGATCAAAGCAATTTATTCTTTTTATAAATCGAATTCGAACATAACGAGAACAACAAAAAATTATCAATTTTTATTTTCAACAGCCAAGAAAATTGAATAAAACAAAAAACAATTTACAAATATATCTGATATTCACAATAAGTAATTTATACAAAAAAAAAGAAGAAGAAAAAATTCAAACCGATTTGAATCTCCTGTGTATGTGTTTTTTTTTAATACAAGAAATGAGAAAAAATAGACAGTTTTTTTTTGTTGTTTCGTCTTTAAATTATTTGTTTTTTACAAGGATTAAAACATTGATTTATCATAAAAAAATGGCACTTTATGGATTCCAAACACTTTTTCCCGATTATCATCGCGATTGATCAATACAACAACAACAACAAAAACCAATTTCCAACCATCCAATATTTTCATCATGATAATCATCACCAATATTGATCAATTAATCCCCGATTGTCGATATTGTGTTTTATAGAATCGATTTTATTTTTCCATTTGTTTCATATGTGTATCATCAATTTGATTATCAATCTGATGATGATTATTATATTGTGAATAATCATTCCATATTGTCAAATCCATTTGATCGACAGATGGCGTACGTTCATTATTATTTTTATTGTTATTATTATTGTTGTTGGTAAATGTAATCATCGAATTATCCATTTCCGTTGATGATGATGAAGATGGTATTAAATCCATTAAACATTGTCGATCGTTATTATTGATGGCCATTGTTGCTGTTGTTGTTGTAGTTGTTGTTGTTGTCGTATCCATCAATGAAACCCGATGATGATGATGACGATTACGATGACAATCATTTTCGGTAATAGAAATTTGGCTATTGTCATTCGAAACTATTGAATTATTGTTGTTATACAGTTGTTGTTGTTGATGCAAATGTTTTGCCATATGAATATTTGTTGTTGCTGTTGTTGTTGTATCGAAACGATCCATAACCGGATCAGTCAATGTGACATAGATAAAATTTTTATTATTATTATTATTATTTTCCGAATGATTCAATATATTCATTGATGGATCGGATATTATTGAACGATAATTTGATTGTCGACAATGATGATCATGATCAGGATGATCAAAATGTTGTTGTTGTTGTTGTAATAGATTCAATCGATTTGTATCGAAATGTAAATTCTGATTGATTAATTCATCATTTTCACACAATGAACAAGATTCATCATTGTAATGACAATGATGTTGTTGTTGTTGTTGTTGAGATTGAATTGGTAAAAATTCATTGACAATAGTATTCGTTGTATTAGTAGTAGTAGTAGATGTTGTTGTCATTGTTATTGATTCTATTGTTGATGTTGTGATGGATGTTGTTGATCGATTAATATTGTTAACCAATGATGATAATGTATTGTTTTCATTATTCATTCCTGTTTTTTCATCATTTTGCGTTGGTATTATGAATAAATTGTTGTTGTCCGATCGTTTTTTCAATGTATTCGATCGATGAATAGTATCATTCCATAATAGATTACATGATTGTTGTTGTTGTTGTTGTTCACAAATCGATACATTATCATTCGAATGTAAAATACCTTCATGATGATGATGATGATGATAATAATTTGATAACGGACCAGATGCTTGTAATGTATCCATCATTAAATCGGGTAACATTTCTCTATTATTCTGTTGTTGTTGAGGTGGTGGTAACAATGAATGACCATCAAATGTATCGAAATTGGTCAATGTAAACAATTTAATTGAATGATGACCATCATTATCATCATCATCATTATCACCATTGTTCAAATCATCATTTAAAATCGATGAATTGTTGTTGTTAATTAGCAAATTATTTGTACTGTGAAATCCAATTTCCAATTAAATTAATGTACCAAACACGTTTATTAAGTGTGTGTGTGCACGTTAAATATTTCCAGATAAAAAAAAGAAATCAAAACAAACATTAATATATTTTCGTTAATTACATTTCTATAATGATAATGATGGTCATTTACCTGTTATCGATTGTTTGTTTTTGTTGTTGTTCATTACGATTATTCGAATCGGATGTTGTTGTTGTTATTATCATCATTTCTTGGCTTAAACTTTCAGATAGATTATCAAAACGAACAGTTTTTGATCGTTTTTTAAGGCTATTCATAGTTGCTGTTTTCTGATCACAATGTTTTTGTCGTCGACTTTTTTGTTGTTGTTGTCGTTGTCCATTATGAACTTTGATCAATAATGTTGCCACCAATAATGATACCAATAAAAGGATTATAATAATAGAAATTATAACAATCCATATGAATGGTAAATGTGTTATATTTAACAATGATGATGTTGATGTCGATGATGTTGATGATGTTGATGTTGTTGTTGTACGATGTGCTGCACGATTAGTTTTTGTAACATCCATATTCGATTCTTTATTATCACCATCATGATCATCATCAACATCGTTGTCATCATTATCATCATTTTGATCATTATCATCATTCTCATGAATATTGGTTGAAATTTTCTTATATCTTGATACAGTACTAGTCGATTGATTATTCATATTCATATTCATTCCATTATTATTAGTTATGGATGAATCCTGATTGAATATTATTCTTGTTTGTGATTGTGGATCATCATGATTATATGATGATGATGATGATGATGATGAAAATTCTGTTGCTGATCTTCGTGTTGGTGGTGGTGGTATACGAAACGAAAGGCTTATATCACTTATTGAACGACCATTTATCTGTGCTGAAATATGCATCAAATAATTTATTATTATTGCTGCTGTCGTTTGTTGTTGTTCATTTTGATCACCACCACCATCAACAACATTATTATCATCGTTGTTATTGAATTGTTGTTTGGAATCGAAATTTTGATGATGATGATGTGGTGAATGATGCTGATGTGGTGAATGATGATGATGATGATGATGATAATGTTGATTATGACCTAATTCATCTACATGAACTAAAAATTTTGGCTCAATCGATGTAATATTGATCAGTTGTTGTCTTTTGGATATTTGAAAATAAATAAAAAAATCATTGAAATGAAAAAAGATTCCGTCATTTTTCCATAAACAAAGAAAGAAAAAGTCAGATAAACTTACTTGTCTTTGAAAATTTTAAGATTATAATGGATCGATGGATTCTGATGATTTTGTTGATGATGATAATGTTGTTGTTGTTGTTGTTGGCCATGATAAGTCATTGAATCATCTTGGATATTTTTATCGATCCGTTTTGTCGAATCATCATTATGATCATCAACATTAATCATCATCGAATCATTCATTTTGGATAAAGTAATAAACGAACGTATAATCATTGGATTTGGTTGTCTACATTCAACTTGTATCAATTCAAAGGATATTTTTGTATCACAAATCAATTGATGATTTATTGGATTTTCTATTTGTTTGTTTTTGGTTTTGGTAAGAAACAAAAATGCAAATTAGAAAAATGATTTTCAAAAAAAAAAATTCAATTTCAATTTTTAAAAATTCTCCCATAATGAATATTGTAGTGTTACAGTATTAATCCGATTGTAATCAATTTCGAAATTTACAAATGAAAAAAAAATCAAATATTTGTTTCATTATTGAACACAAACAGAATCAAAATTGATGATTTTCTTTCTCGATTCATTGTTTTTATTGCTGTAATTTGCTTACGTGCATGCATACATTCTGGGCTTTTGTTTCACAAAAATTTCAATTTGATTTTTTTCATTATTCTTTTTTTAATTTGTTTCCCGGCTATTTACTGGGGTGTGCGGGTGATTTTTGTACCTCATTTCAGAAAAAAAATCCATTAATTTGAATATGTTTTTTTTCCATGTTTTTCCCTTCGGTTCTATCTAATTAATTAGATTTTATATTTGATGATGAGAATTTTGTGGGTCATGTCGTTTTTTTGTAATTTAAATTTAAACAAAAAACAACTGAAACCGCAATTTAACCTTTGATAAACATTATGATTAAAGTGATTTTTTTTCACTGCAGAACGAAACACGAAGATAATTCAATATTCATCATCATCAATGAAGATAATCTGATTTTCGACTTTTTTTTTACGTTCAACCAATGCAAAATTTCAAGTTATTTTTTTTCTCTCTTCAATATTTCCATTACTTTCTCTCTATCTATATCTATCTATGTTTTCCTATTTAGATAAAATAAAGTACATTTCATTTTTCCAAAAAGAACTTTCCAACTAAAAAAATTCAGATTGATCACGTAACAAACAACGTCGTTTTTTTTATCAAGAAAATCAATTTAAAATTTCTTAAACTTTTTCATATTTTCTATTGATTTTTTTTTTGGCTGTAAAAGTTATTTAATTTAGTAATGATCATGATGATCATCATCATTACTGAGGAATCGTTCATAAACATCGTATCGATAAGTTTTTTAAATAATGAAAGAAAAGCAAAATGAAAAAAAAACATTACCATAAATATTATAAAAACAAGGTTCAATTTGATTACCGGCCAAATTTTTTGCCCAACATTGATATTGTCCATAATCATCATCCGAATCGATACGTAATTCTAAACGATTTCGTATGATACGACGATTATTATTATTATTCTGTTGTTGTTGTTGTTGTTGTTGTTCACCGTTGGACGATGATGATGACGATGATGATGAAAATGTATTCGATGAACCCATAATCAATAATGATGTTTCAGTTGAATATTTTGCCTGTTGTTGTTGTTGTTGTTCATTATGATGATGATGATTATAATATGATGTTGATGATGATAATGATGGAAATAATATTTCCTGATGTTTTGTACGCCATAAAAATGTAACATTTGTTATTGGATTAGCATCAATTTCACAGATCATTGTTACAATACTACCAATATTGGCCGGTATTGTTTGTGTTGGTGTCACGCAATTTGGTTCATCTAATAATAATAATAATAATAATATTCATCAATAACATTCGAAACATTCGAATATTGAATATTTTGTTTTTTCAATAAAAAAAATAATGTTAATAAATAAATAATTCTTATCAGTGAGAAAAGAAATGGAAAATAAAAATGAATTTTCAAATATCAAAAAAATCTGTATGGACAAAATAATGATAGGTTTTGGTAATGAAATGTTGTTTACCAATGTGTTTGAATATGAAAAACAAAAACAAAAAAATCGTAAAGAAATTTAGCGTGACCAAATAGAATTCAAGAAAGGAAAAATAAACTTCCTAACATCAGTTTATCTCTCGACACTATCGCGAATCGAACAGGCAAACAAAAAATTATAGATTTTTCGGTCTTTCACAATTTTCTAAACGTTTTTCCTGACGATGGACAACAATCAAATTATCAGTATAATTATTTGGATAATTGAAAACAGAAATGATTCGCAGTAATGCAAAAAATTCTCAGCAAAAAAATAAAAAATTAATTGACCAAAAATATAAATTTAACGGACCTTCATCCATCCACCCGACTACGGACAGCGACGGACACAAACAAAAAACATCCCGGGAATATCTTATATGTAGATTTAAGATTCGTATTTGATCGATGATTTATATAGCGAATGTGAAAAGTAGCTGTACTGGTTCTTTCTGGTTGTTTTTTCATTTCAATCACATCTTAATGCTATGAACAACATGACAAAATAAAAATCAAGCCAATGACCATTTCATAATGATGATGATGAGAAAGATAGTGGATGAGAGAAAAAAACGTAAAAGTAAAACAGAACTTTCGGAAAGTAAATATTGAAAAGTTTAGCTCCAATTGATTCGATATTTATACAAACAAACTGTGTTTAGAGTCTGTTTAGACAGAGATGGAGAGATTGAGATCAGAAGAAGAAATCTATTTATTTTTTTTTGATTAGAAAAAATAAAGTTCCAAAATTGTTGTTTTGATTTTTTTTCTCAAAAGAATTTGAATCGTTTTTAACATTTTGTCCGATTACCGGCTTTTTCAATTGCTCTTTGTTTTCAACCACACACAAATTAAGAATTCTTTGGTGCTGATATTTTAAACAAACCAAACAGAGAAAATGATGAAAAAAAAATTTCAAAAGAAATGAAAAATTCAAAACTTGAAATTAATTGAATTTTTTTTTCTTTTGATTACCTAAAACTTTTTTCTTTGCAATCATTTAAGATTGTCATTCATTTATTCATTCAACATTACATCAAATTAAATTCAGTCAGTATAATGAATATGAATTATCAAGATTATATTATCTGTAAACAACCATAACAACAACAACAAAAAAAACATGAATTCTGTTAGAATTGTCATCATTGTGTATTGTTCGTTATAAGTGGAAAACAGCAAAAAAAGATTGGAAGAAAAAAAAATTTCCAAAGAAACATTATATGATAATAATAATAATGATGATGATGATTAGGAATGATGATCATCCAGTCTTTCATCTAGTTTCTCTTCATTTTTTTTCCTCATTTCAAATGTACTTCATTTCCGTTTATTACTTGAAACGATTTTCTTCGTAATAATAATAATAATAATAATTTTCCCCCCAAAAAAATAGAAACAATAGAAAGTAATCAAGGAAATTTTTTTCTTTTTTTGTGCTCATCTCAATGATAATGATGATTATTATGATTATTGTTTCTCATCATAATAATCACAAACGAAAAAAAAATTCTTGTCTTTTGCTTTTCCGTATCCAATCTACACTCCGAACATTCAATTCCGGAAAAACAACAATGTTGAAACTAAACAGAAAACAGCAAAACAAAACGTTTGTGAAAAAAAATTCAATAATGAAATTTTTTTTTCAATTAGATAGGTGTTGTGTGTTTGTTTGCTTTTCATCAATTTTTGTTTTGTTTTTCGCTTTTGAATTTCTATCTATTAATATTCTTTTTTCGCATCTAATTAGATCATTACTTCATTAATATTAATGTTTTTTTTTCTCACACTTTTAGCCACTGTGTTTTGTATCATCATCATCATCGTTATCATCATAATAAATTGGTAGGAATAATTTCAAGTTTTCATCACTTGAAGAAAGTGGTAGTAAACCTCTAGTGTTGATTATGATATCATCATCATCATTATTACTTTTTCACTGAGATAATTGCAAAAGATTATCTTACATTGGTTTGTTGTTTAAAACAGCCGAAAAAAACAACAACCAATTTTAAATATTCTCTCGGTTTATAATGTAAAAAGGAAATTTTCATTTATTTTAATTTCTAGTTTTTTTTTCTTCTTCTTAAAGTGAACAAATAAAAAGTTATAAAATGATTCAGGATGAAACAAAATGAATAAAATACCTTCATACCAAGAATGTTTTTCCGTTTTATTCACATTTTTGTTCATGTTGGTTGTTCAAAGAAAGAAAGAAAGAAAAATTCTTCAATAATGAAATTGAAAAGACAAGATCCATTCTGCAGTAAATATAAACCGTTTTTCAACCAAACAAACCAAACAAAATTTATTTATTTTCATGGAAAACATTTATAACATTGATATGATTGAAGCCATTTCATTTCCAATCAATTTAATACTTTATATATTGTAAAATATTTATTGTGTTCAATGAATATCTCTATGAAAAAATCTATGGAAATTTTTCTTTTTCTTTTCAGTTGAAAAACACATAGAATATGTAGGAAATCTTACTGGTGGGGAAACAAACAACAACCGAATCTTATCCAATGTCATAATGTTTCAATGGAAAAATATTATTATTATTCAAAATAATGGATCTTAGGCTTTCTTTCGGTTGTTGTTGTTGTTACCACACACATATTATCTTCAATGAAGAATTTTTTTTTCATCTTTATTTTGGATAAGAAAGAAAAAAAACCCAATAGATAAATTGCTCCATTGAGATAGCGATGTGTTAGTTCAGAAATGGATTCTGTTTATTTATTTTGGTTTAGGGTTAAATTTTTTTCTTTGTTGAACAAAATTTGTTTGCTTTTAAATCATCCATAGGTCTATTTATCTAATTTTTTGACTTAACACATTTTCAACCAACCATTTTGCCATCTTTATTTATTTACTTTCCAAAATCTAAATGAATGGATAGTCATTTAAAAAAACAGTCAAAAAAAACGTAACATTTGTTTTCGTTGGAGAATATCCTATGAGAATTATTTCGAAAGAAATTTATAAATATAAATCCATTTGTTCTTGGGAGAGAAAAGAAAACAAACAAATTTCAAATCTAATCTCATTTGAATATCAACTTGAAATGATAATTGATGTGTGTGTGTGTGAGAGAGAGAGAAGGGTTAAAATGATTTTGAAACAATGTTACAAACAACAAACAAAGGGAAAAAACCCTATCGAAAACAAATCGATAATATCAATCGATATTAGTGTTATGTTTTTTGACAGTTATTTCGTTTGTTTGTTTGTTATGCTAAAAATTATAATAATTTTTCATTAACCAATAATCAAATTATTTTTTTACCATCACAACAACTGATTTCTAATTAAAATTTAAAGCCAACTTCTGAAAACATCCAAACAAACAAAAAAAAAATCAAAACAAGTTAAGGAAATTCCCATACATCCCTTTAATCATATCAACTAATGGATATTACTATTTTATGCTTTTTAAAATATTGATCAATATCCCTTTTTACCAAAAGAAAACCGAAAGATAATGGCTTTCGTTTTTCGTTTTCGTTATTCATTCATTCTTGATATTTTCCTGTTTGCTGTTTTTTCCCCGGTATTAATAAATAAACGTATTTTTGTTGTTCTCCATTGAATCAAGATATATTACTGTATTCTTTGTTTTTCTGTTTCTTGTTGTTTGAAATTCAAAAAAAAAAGAAAAGAAAAACCGAAAACAAACACTGTTGTTTTCAAATTCATAGATTTATTTTTATTTTTTCTTTACCCATCATCGATCATGTCTCTTTTTGAATCCAATTCTGTTTTTGTTGTTGTTTCAAAATGGTTATTTTTTTTGTTCATCATAACCTTGTTTTTTTCCTTTTTTTTCGACCATTATTTATGAGTGGCCCATACTCGAAGGTTACTCGATTACTTTTTCTCATTTCCTTTCCTTTCACTTTCCTTTTCTTTCACTGATCAATCCCGGTCAGTCCAATTAACGTGTGTGTGTGTGTATGAACAACAATATGGTCAACAACAACAACAACAACAACTTTCTTTTTTTTCAACTTATTCTTTCTTGGGTTTTTTTTGCGTTTTGATTTATTATTCATTTTGCAAAGAAACGAAATGATCCTCATAAACAGCAGCAGTAAGATATTCTCATGAATATCCTCGATGTACATTAAAGAAGAAGAAGAAACGTGAATTAGAAAGCCAAAACCTTTTTTTTTCTGGATATAGAAAATGAACTGAACTTTTTTTTTTTATTTATTTATTTCTCACTTTATGATGTTTATGGTGTATGTGTGTGTGTGTCGTGATTAATGAACCAAAATCTCGAGAATATTTTTGCCCAACTTTTTTCAAACATTATTTTGTTGTTGTTGTTGTTGTTGATGTTTCACAATGTTCCACGATGGAACATATAATGAGTGGCCCGAGAAAAAACAGAAAAATCAAACGGCCAGAAAAAAACGTTTATTTTGGATAAGAAAAAACAAAAAGTAGGAAAAGAAAATTAACATAAAATAAGAGAATATTCAAAAGAACCAGAATGATAATGATGGTCAAACTAATGGAAGGAAATGGGCGTTTGGCTGTATCACTGGATGTAAACATTCGAAAAAAACAGTAACAAAATTTATGAATTAATCAAATTTTGTAAAACAAAAAAAAGTAAACAAATTAAAGAATTTTTTAAATTAAATTTTTTTCCCCTGAAAAAAATCATTATAAAAGTTTCAAATCAAACAAAATTTTAAATTCGAATCTCTCAACCACTCTTTATCGATGGTATGGGATGTTTGTGTTGTAAATGTTGTTGTCCTAGCCAACAACCAAAACAAACCGAAGGTGAACAATATCATGGTGGTGATAATAATGATTATGGTGGTGATTATAATGATTATATTATCGATGAAAATGGTGAATTGGTTTATATTGGTGAAGGTTTTGATGATCAACAACAACAACAACAACAACAAGAACAGGAACAACAAGAACAAGAAGAAGAAGAAAAACAACATCAAGAAGAAAAACATCAAAAAGAAGAAAAACAACAAGAATCACCAAAATCACCACATCAAGAGAAAAGTAAACAAAAACAAAAACATCAAGATAAAAGTAAAAAAAATCAAAAACACCAAGTCAAATCAATCAAAGAACGAAAAAAGAAAAAATCATTTGAAACATCATCGAAAATTGTTGTTGATATATCAAGAATACCAACAATAGATGTAACACCTGTATTATCATGTAAACCGGATGGATCAGATGTTGAAAAAATAATTAAACATATTGGTTATCGTTTAGAAAAAGAAATCGGTAAAGGTGGTTATGGTACTGTTTATTTAGCTAAAGATTTAAAAAAACATCGTAAAGTTGCTTGTAAAGTAATGAAAATTAGTAATAATCGTCGTGATCAATTATTAATTAAAAAAGAATTATTTTTTTTACGTACAATTAGACATAAAAATATAATACGTGTTTATAAACATTTTATATTACAATCATCAAAAGAATCACATGTTTATATATTTATGCAATATGCTGAAAAAAATGATCTATGGCATTTAGTACGTAAAAAATTAGATACAGGTATGAAAGAAAAACATGCAAGAAAAATGTTTAAACAAATATCATCAGCTATTTATTATTTACATCAAAGAAATGTTGCACATCGTGATATAAAACTTGAAAATATACTTTTAGATAATCATTATAATTGTTTAATAACTGATTTTGGTCTTAGTATTATTGTTATGCAAAAAGATAATCGTGCAGTGAATGCACCAAATTATTGTGGTACATTACCATATATGGCACCAGAAATACATTTATTTATAATAACAAGAATTATATTTGATGTTTTTCAAGCCGATGTTTGGGCATTAGGTGTTGTATTATATTGTATGACAAATCAAGGTAGATTTCCATTTTCAATTGAACAAGATATTATGATACAACAACAGCTTTGTGGTCAATATGAATTTACTAATTCAATGTCATTTAAACCGGATGAACGTTTTCAAAATTTAATTGCACAAATGTTTCAACCAAATCCAGTAATACGTATACGTATGGTTGATGTTGTTTATCATCCATGGTTATTAGATTTACCGATTGAACAAAATTCTTTATATGATCAACAACAACAACAACAACAACAACAAAAACAACAGCCACAAAAAGAATTAGAAGCGGCTGCAGAAAAAATAGCAAAACAAAATCTTAAAACAACGATGATGAATAAAGGAAAATTATTACAAAAACAAATGCCAACAAATGCAATGATTATGATGACAAAGAAAAAACGTAAAATTAGAAAAAAATTAAAAGTTAAAATAAAAATGAAAAAATTTCAACGTACACCAATAATGAAAATGTTACATCAACCAAAATCACCACATATTCATCAACAACAATCACCATCATCACCACAACATGTAATACCAATATTGGTAAAAGGAAAAACAATGTATGCTACTAAAAATCAACAACAACAATATTTACAATTTATGCAACAACAACAAAAACAATCACCAAATCAATCTTCAATTTCAACTTCAACAATATCAAGTGATACTAGTAATACAAGTAATACTAGTAATACTAGTGATAGTGATTAGAGAGAGAGAGAGAGAGAGAGAGAGAAAAGAGAAAGAATCGAACCAAAAAAAAAATGAATCGAATAATTAACACAACGATGGAGAAAAAAAAATTCCTTTGTGATTTAAATAGTATCAACAACAACAAAGAACAAAATGACTCCAACGCAACGACGACGACTACGATCAATCAATCACAAAAATGTAGAAAAGATAAATAAATTAATAAATCTGATAAATGAATTTTTACAAAAAAAAACCGTGGCAACAGCAGCAGCAGCTTCCCAAATTAATAATAATTACTTTATTAATAAATCTCAATTCTTCAACAACAAAAACTATTACAAACACACACACATATAACAAACACATTAATAAACAAATGGATTCAACAACCAAACAAACAATAAACAAAATAACGATGAATTAATTACAATTAATAAATAAATCAATCAATCAACAATGTATAATTTCTAGTCTCTTGTTTTTGATCCGGGTAAAAAAAAAATGCGAAATTATTTTCCAATCAACCGAATCAATATGCTTTTTTTTCTTGGGTTCCTGTACTGTTTTTCTATTTTTTCGGGTTCCTGGGTAAATCTTTGAATTTTCAATCAATTTTATTTCCAGTAAAAACAAAATTTGATATTTTTTTTTTATTCAACTTACATAAAATTTGGACCTGAAATTGATTACTAAAACCGGTACCCATTTGATTTTGTGCAATACATTGATAAAATCCTTGCCATTCATCGGTCACTTTTGTAATCAATAATCTTGTACCATTATGTGTGAATTTTATATATCCACCACCACCACCACCACCAGCCCCACCAGCATTATCAATATTACTGCCTGATGTTGTTCTGGTCGTTGTTGTTGTTGCTGTTCCTAGTCGAAAAAACAAATAATAATATCCGATATGAAAAAATGTATGATTAATATTGATGAAAAATGACGAAACAAAAAAAAAATGAATGAATCATCCGGAAATCTGGCATAAATATGTAAATGATGTTTTTATTTTCATTTTGAAATATATTTTTCTGATATGGAAAAATAATAGTAAAGAGAGGGAGAGAGAGAGAGTCCGGATAATTATTTCATTACCGGACTCTATTTATCATAATTATTATTAATTTTTGTTGTGATTTCGGTTATTTAGGCACATTGATTCTTGATTCTTGATTCTCAATTTCATATTTTTGTTATCTATTTATTTATTTTTTCTGCCTGCAAAAAACTAAGCCAAGCTAATTCGATTTAATTTAATAAAATGTTTGTTTTTTTTATTTCAAAAATCAAATTTTTCAATAATGTTGATTCGACTTTTTATCATTTTTCTGTTTATTAGGCAACGATTTTCTGAATACTTACCATCACTGTTGCTAATGTTCATATTATGATTATCATTGATTAATATTGAATCTTTATACCAATGAATATCAGTAGCTAAAACTAATGGATTTGCTGATATATTACAATATAATTGTAATTGTTGGCCACGTATTGCATAACCACCACCACCACCATTATTGATTATTTTCATTGTTGAATTATTGATTTGATCATTTTGTTGATCATCATATAATTGCTGTAAGGTTACTTTTGGTGCGACTAATTTGATAGTGAGGAAAGAGAGCAAGAGAAAATGGAATTTAATTTTAAACAAACAAAAAAACAAAAATTTTCAAAATTTATTTTTTAAAATTTCATTGCAAATTTGCGAAAAAATTAAATAAAGTTTTCCGCATTTACTATTGAGTAAAATAGGGTAATTTTCTAATATCAAAAAGTTTACTACGTTTTTGCAAATTTAAATTTGTTGTTGCATGTATTAATGATCGAGTTTTTTCATCCGATATTGAATCCAATTTAATTATTGTCCAATATCTCCAATCTTCACGTGTAAATTTTTTATTACTAACAAAATTTGTCATCATATAGATTAATAAACCAAATGAATAAACATCGGCTAATTGTGGATCAAATGGTTCTTCAAAAACTTCTGGTGGAAAATGATTATCCAATAAACGATGTTTTGAATCAAATGGTGGTAAACGTAAAAATTTCTCTGTATTTGAATCAAAATAAGTTGCAGCATTACCAAAACCAGCAAGTTTAACATTATTATTATTATCAAATATAATACTTTCACCACGTATTTTTAAATGTGCAAATGCACGTTGATGCATATATTCTAATGCTGATAATATTATAAACATTTGTTTACGTAATTCATCCATTGAAATAAAACCTTTACGTGCACGTTGCATTAAATTTTGTGAATCACATTCTTCCATAAATGTATAAACTTTTAAATCGGTTATAAATATATCATATACTCTAACAAATGCTTCATGTTGTAATTCTGGTTGTTCAGGTGTTGTACGGCAAAGAAAACTACGTATTTTTGTTGATTGATTAACATGATGTTTATAACGTACACTGCGATCAGTTAAAACAACAATTTTAACATAACATGATTGTGATTGATATTGTGCACGATATATTATACAAAATTTTCCAGCCCAAATTGATTGTTTATTAATTGTTACTTGATAACGTTTCATACCGGATTCATCAGCTAAATTTTTTGGATCCGGAAAATTTTTATAATTTACCATAATTTTTTTAACAAAATCACGACGATCAACATCATCATTGGTAACAGTTGTAACACGATTTAAACGTTCAACTTCAGCTTCAAATAATTTACGTTTAGTTTCTAATTCATTATCTAACATTGCTTGTAAACGTTGTTTATCTTGTTCTAATTTTTGTTTTTTTGCTTGTATCATTTGTTCAATTTTTCTACCCAATTCGGTACGCATTTGTTCGGCTTGTAAAGCAAATTGTTCACGCATTGATTTAATTAATTTTTCAACTTCTTCATCAACATTTTTTTTCTGTCGAAATGATTCCGCTTCACAACGTGCTTTAATTTTTGGTAAATCTTCTTCCATTGTTGTTTGAATTAACATTGTACGTTTATCGGTTAATTTTTTTTCAAAATTTTTTCTTTGTTCAGCTTCTTCTTGTTCAAATTTTGTCAATGCTTTTTCATATTCTTCATTTTTAGCTAATTCCCTATGAATATTGCTATGATTGTTATTGATTATTGTTACATGTTGTGAACTTGAATTATTATTAACTTCTTCTCCATCAGAATCGGCCATTTTTTTATATTTCTAAACGACTATTTTCTTGATTACTTTTCTTGATCTTGGTGATATATAACACAAACTCTCAAACACTGTTAATATTTTCAATGAATGGATATTAATTGAAAATCAAAAAAAAAAGAATGAAAAACGAGAGCAAAAAAAAAACGAATATAAATTAAAATAATAAAACAGTAATAATAAACATCAATATGGACTATACTAAACTAGCTAAATACTAAAAACTTTTTCATTGTTATTCTTTCATTCATTCATTGTGTGTGTGTGTGAAGAAAATTAATTGTATTAACACATGGTTAATTAATTTGTAACCAACATTCAACATTCAACAACAACAATGGGTAATTTACAACAACAACAACTATTTTTCTGGATACTGGATGGAGAACATTAGTAAATATTTTCCTTTTTTTTTTTTGCTCCATGTTTGGACAATGTAATATGAAGAGAGAGAGAAATTAGATTAATTAATTACATTAATTTAATTTTGTCCATTGAAAGTCAAAATCGAATATTCGATATTTTCATACACATGAATAATTTTCAACACTGCAGCCGCCACCGCCGCCCATTTCCATCCATCCATTAATTCATTTCATTGGAATTTTTTGTTTTTTCTTCACTACAAATTTTGTTTCAATAAACAAAAAAATGTTGACATATTTTTTTTGTTTTGTTTGAACAACAAAATCATTCAATAATCAATATTTTCTCATTGAATTTCATCGATATTTGGTATCAATTAATAAGTGAATAAACAAGAGAGGATTACAAAAACGATAATGCAGACTTTGAGGCCAAAGGCGAAAAACATACATCAAAGAAAAGAATCTCCAAACAAATCATCTTCCGATCCAATCGATCAATTTCAATCAGGAAAATGTCTAAACAAAAAAATATATATCAATGCTTGAACAGTTTCAGAATTTAGTTTTCAAAAATTTTTTTCATATTGAAAATTGTCCACAAACCAAAAACAAAAAATACATTGTATCGATTTAGGTCATCAGATTCTTAGGCTATTGTATATTTTAAACTTAAAAGAAAAAAAGGGATAAAATACCACAGACGATTATTATTAGAAGAAGAAGAATGGTTTGAACAAAAACCAACGACGAAGACGAAGAAAAAAAAACAGATTAAGTTGTCATCATGGATTCTTTTCTTGCTTTCTTTTCATAGTTTTTTTGCGAAAAAAATAAATTCTTTCATTTTCTTTCTTCCTTCATTATATGATTATAGTTTATAGCAGCAGTAGTGTGTGTGCGAGTGTTAATGTCAGAAATATTTTCTCACTTTTACTTTGGGGTCTATAATGAAACGATGAAACGAAAAAACGGATGGCAAAAATTTTGAGGAAAAAAAAGCCATCGCAGAATTTTGAAATGGAAAAAAAAATGAAATTTGCTGTTTTGGCTGGATTTAATTTTTTCATTTCTCTTATATCATCCACAGAAACTTATTATTATTAACGTTATTTTAATTTTCTCTCTTTACGGATAAAGTTTTCTCAGTTTTTTTTCTTTCGCTAAATAACAAAGATATATTTGAGACATTTGAAAATAAAATCCCAATGTGCGTTTGTTTGTTTTATTTTGTTTTGAATTGGAATTATAATTTCAGAATTAGAAATCGGTCATTGGTTTAGTATATGGCTTTTGCTGTTGACATCTTATAACATAGGATTTTTTTTTTACTATACATATGATTGAAATTCAATACTGTCAACCAACCAAACTGATTAACTAACTAACTAGCTAGCTAGCCACAAATATAAACGATTTAAGCACTTAAAAGATTAAAAGTGAATATAATCTTTGAGTGAGAGAGATTAAGAATCAGGAAATTCGTTGGCAGAATTCTCAATTTTTAATCGCATCTGAAATTGATCATCATCATCATCATAATCCGATGAATAACAATATGGTTCAGCTTCAGAATTCGCTTCAGCAATACTTTTCTTTGTAAATTAAATGAGAAGAAATTTGATTATAATTTCAATAATGAAGAAGTAAAAAAAAATTGTTTCTATGTTAATTTTTATGTTCTAGAACAGCAAAAAAACATCAACAACAACAGAAATAATAATGATAATTTTGATTGAAGGAAAAATCTCGAATCAATAAAAATAAATAAATAAAACTATGATTATCATTATTATAATGATAAGTTATCATCCAATGTAACCAGACAGACAGTGGAAAAAATTTCCATTCATTTAAACAAATGCTTTCGAGTGATATTTTTGGTTCTGTTTTTATGTACTTTGTTTGTTTTATTGTAAGAAGATTGGTATTTAGTTTCGACAACAACAACAACAGCATTTTTGTCAATGTTATCATTGTTTTTCTCAACTTTCATTCAATCAAAATGATATAAATCATCATCATCATTCGATTTTTTATTGGGCAGCACCAAAAAACATCATGGAAAGAGAGAGAGAGAGAGATGTTGTTGGCAAGGTCATTTTTCTTTTTCTTTTTCTTTTGGTTGCTGTTGGCAACAACCAGAAAGAAAAACTTTTTTTCAAGTATAAATATGAGCACTTTTTCGAGCAAAAATTACATCATTTATACATTTCGAATTTGATTTTATTGTGAAAAAAAACTACAACAAACTACAACTAAAAAAAATGAGTGAAAAACCAATTCTGGGATATTGGGATGCACGTGGTCTTGCACAATCAATACGTTTATTATTAACATATGCTGGTGTTGATTTTATTGATAAACGTTATAATGTTGGTCCACCACCAAATTATGATCGTTCGGAATGGTTAAATGATAAATTTAATCTTGATTTAGATTTTCCAAATGTAAGTTTTTTTTTAATTTTGTTTTTTGAAAATTTTCTTTAACTTTCCGAAACTTTTCTCATTCAAAATGACCAGTGTCCATATTATATTGATGGTAATGTAAAATTATCACAATCGATTGCAATTCTACGTTATATTGCACGTAAACATAAACTAATCGGTCAGAATGATCGAGAAGAAATTCGTGTATCATTAGCTGAACAACAAATTATCGACATGAATATGGCTATTGGACGTATTGCATATAATCCAAATTGTGAAAAATTAAAACCCGAATTTTTGAAAACATTACCCGAACAAGTAGAATTATTATCTAAATTTCTTGGTGATCAACCATTTATTGCCGGTTCAAATATTTCTTATGTGGATTTTTTACTTTATGAATACCTTACTAAACTTAAAGTTTTAGTACCCAATGTTTTTGGTCGATTTGAAAATTTGAAAAAATTTCATGAACGTATTGAAGCATTACCACGAGTATCGGATTATATTAAAAAACAACAACCAAAATCATTTCATGGTCCAACATCATTATGGAATGGTACATATGCTTAAATCATCATGCTGATGATAATTTTTCCTTATTCCAATGAATTTCAATTCAATTTACAAAACAAAACAAAACAACCTTATTTTCAATAAAATGATTTTTGTTTATTAATATTTTTCTGGTTAACGAAAAAAAATACCAAACCGAATTTTAGTTTCAGTTCATTCAAGATTATGATGTTTTTTTCTTTGAGAAAAAATCAATAGACAAAATTCCTTTGAAAATGATTTTAAATCAAACAACAACAACAAACACAAACGACACAAACACATCATCGAGGCTATTTATTTGAAAATAAATGGTTTGTTTGTGTTGAAATCAAATGATGATAATAATAATTATAATTGGACACGAACTACAGTTATTTTTTGTTTGTTTGTTTTTTACAATTCAATTCCATTTTTTTGAAAAGACATGTTTTTCATTTTTAATTTCATATTTTCAATAATAATGGGAGATTAAGACCATATATTTTTTTTAATATGTTTTCTTTTTTTCGGGAATGGCCAGAAAGGACAACCAGGGATAAATAATAATTACCGAACGGTAACTACCAAAACAACTACCGCCTAACAATCATCTTTATTTGGTCTAACTCGCTACACCTGGACTAGAATGTTAATTTTTTTCCCCACCATCATTAACAAATCTAATTAAATTGAATTTAAATAAACAAAAAAACAAGAACAAAAAAAATCATTCGATAAAATACAATGTTAAAATGAACAAAAAAAACGTTCATATTTCATTTGATTCATCCGATACATTCATTCATCTCGGGGATTGAATTTCACGTTTCATCGATAATCGAAAATCATTCATTCATTTATTATCAACTTTCTTAAATCGATACATTTACTTTTTTTCTTTACTTATCATCATTATCATTAAAAATGTTATTGTTAAAATCATCATCATCATCATCATAATAATGAAAATAGTTGATCAGATTTCTTTCATTACGTTGATAAAAAGATATTACAAAGTGAGAGAAAATAAAGAAAGAAAGATGCTCTCTCAGTCTATATTTATGAGAAAATTAAGTAAACATTTTCCTTTTTGGTATTTTCATTGATGATGATGATAATGATACCTTTTCTCTCTCTCTCTCTCTCTCTCTCTCTCTCTCTCTCATCATCATCATACTTTGGTCAAATGGATTTGCTTTTTTTCGGTTGTTTGATTAGAGAAGAAGCAGAAAAAAACAATGGAATTGAATTGACATTTTAAGAATGAACAAAATGAATGAATGTAAAAAACATTTTCTGAACCCGAAAAAAACATCTTTGCTTTGTTTTTTTTATACAGAATTTCTATATTTTTGTGTTTTGGTGACCTTATTGCTTTTTTCACATATAAACATTATGTATGTGATCCTTTTAAATAGAAAAAAATGGTCGTTTTGTCTTGGCCAAACAGTTTTTTTTCTTCTGTATCTATATATCGACAAATGATGATGATACTGAAAGGAAGAAGAAAAATGAAACGGTATAAAATTCAATAATATAAAATTCCATTAATGGAATTGAATGTTGATGAGAGATTGAAAATAAGAAGAAACTAAAATGAAACTGACCAAAAAAAAAGTTGATGTGATTTGCCATTTATGGATGTTGATGATCATCATCATCATGCTACATATTTTAAAAAGAAACCCCGAAATTAAATCATCATTTCGTTTTGGCCTATTTTAAAAGTATAATTTTTCCAGAATTTTCAATACATCTATGAATCGAAAATAAGTGAATTTGATACATGTGATGTATGGATGCCGCGTGTTTATCATCATCATCATCGTTGATAATAATAATACCGGTAGTCGTCGTCTTCGGTTGGATTTTTTAAAAAAATATCCAATATTTTCAAGTTTTTCACGTTTTTCGGAATCGATTCTTTTGATTTTCATCATTCGATGTTCATCGATCCAATGATATGTTTTTTCATCTTTTTTTTAAAAAAAAACTCAGCATTTCTTGATGAGTTTGCAGCTTTATTAATTCGAACATTATTTGATTTTTTTATTATCATTTTCCTTCTTTCCAACAAAGGCTGTGATGTTTTTTTTCGTTTTTGCTCAACAAAGTTTTTTTTTGTTCTGATAAATTGATGAGCCATTTGGGAGCAAATAATGATAATAATAATAATTTCTCGGTAAAGCCAAATGAATCAATCGATTTGTAATCAAATTACTATACAGTATCGGCAGATTTATCCAAGTTTCTTTGGGGTTTTTTTTCATTCACTCACGTTTTACGTTATTTATTCTGGTTATTTATTATTCTCTGTTTTGATCATCATCATCATAATCGCCATGAAGATAGAGTTTTTTTTGCCAAAAATCTTTTCATCACGTTTATAATTCAATGAATGAATGAATGAAATAATAATGATAATCGAAAAGTAAAGATTATTGTTATTGTTGTTTTACCGGGTCGAAGAAGATCAATCGATGAGAAAAATACAAACAAAAAAAAATGAAAAACCGAAAAAAATTTCTTGGAAACAAAAAAAAAAATCTAGTTATTCGGTTATGGTTGGAACTTTTTTTTTTGCTCGTTCCATTTTTTGTTGTTGTTTGCGAGCAGAAAAAATATCGATTGTATCGATTTTTGATCTTGTCGATTCAATAAGAGAAACCAAAACAAAACAAAAAACAAAACATCATTTCATCGAACCAAAATGATAAAATCAACTGAGTAAATAATTTGAATATGGCAATGATAAAAAATGAAACAAACAAAAGAATATTTTTCAACTGTTTTCAACTTACAAATAATATCCAAACGATATTTATTTTCAATGTATGAATTTTGTTTCCGTTTTCGTTGTTTGTTGTTATTATTATTATTGTGGTTGAGCAATATATTTTCAGCACGACAAACAATATCTTGATCATTATTTTCATTCTGTACATTCATTTGAATGATTGATTCGGTTATCATTGTTGTTGTTGTCGATGTCGATTCGTTGAAGATCATTTCATCATCATTATCATTAATAATGAAATTATCATCATCAAATTGAAATTTATCATTGTTGATTATATCATCATAGTTTATAATTATTACTTCATCATCATTAGCATCACCATTTTTATTATTGTAATCATTTTTAAATTCTGCCATTATTTGTTGTTTTTTCGTCGAATGAAATAATCGTTTTCTTTTATTTTCTTCATATTTAGATTGTTGATTTCTTAAATCATTATCATCATCATCATTGTAAAAATGTTTTCGATGTTTTCGTTGTTGTCGTCGATGACGACGACCAGTAATGATTACATATTGCCTAAAGCAATGAAACAAAAGAAAAGAAAAGAGAATAAATAAATAGGAAACAACAAAGAAAGGAAAACATTTTTGTGATTAGATTACAGATCAAACATTAAAAGAATGTTTTCTTTTTCTTTTCTTTTTTTTAAAGAAAATCATCATCATTTGTTTTCAATGGAAGAATGTTTTGGAATTCAATTTTGAATCCAGTAACCAACCAACCAACCAACCACAGCTATATATTGAACGAATCAAATTCAAGAGCCAGAATTGAAAGAAAAGAAGAGACATTCTCTCCAATCACCAATGATAATTCAAGCCACAAGATTATCAATTTTTGAATATAAATTACAAATTATTTTCATTTTCATTTTACTTTTTGTTGTTGTTGTTTATACACGATAAGTATATGGTGGTAATAGAACAAAAGAAGAAGGAAGCCAAAGAAAAAAGAAGCAAAAAATGATATGAATTTTGATTACACTTGAATTAATAAATAATAATAATAATGAAAAATGAAAATCGAGAATTCTTGATTGCCATTTTTGTTTTTCTCTATGATGATATTGTCATTGTTTCATTTCATAATCAATCAAGAATTTATCAGGTTTTCGATACTATCGATTGATCGATATTATCAATCGATAGTATCGAAATTTCATCTATATTCGATGAATCGAATGTTTTTGGTTTTGGTTTTTTTTCATTTGAAAAAAATAGAGCGATAAAATTTGGATGAGAAACCGAAAAAAAACGATGAAAAATTCAAATTAAATTAAAAAATTAATTTGAATATCTAACCAACCAGAGAATAATATGAAAATTTATTATTATCCACGCACAGCCTACAGGGATAAGAATTCAGCAACAACAAAAAACAAGAAGAAGAAAATGATATTTTGTGTTTGGGTTTTTTTATTATCATCGGAAACAATTTTTTTTCTTTTCAAAACAAACACGAAGAAAAAAAACCGTTTAAGTAATTTCAAATGATTCATTCATTCATTCACTAAGGGAAAAAAACGGAAACTATTCTTGGTTCTTGATTCTTGTACATCCCAAAATAAACACCCCAAACCCACACCAGTATTTTTTCATTTGAAAATTTTTAACTTTCATCATCATCACGAGAAACTCAAACCAGAAAATGAAAAAGAAAAAAGTCATTGAGAAATATAGATGAAATGAACGCCAAATGAATGTATGAAAAAATCCATTTACAAATTTCATTTTTTTTTCGTTAATTCAATTGTATGCAAATTTTATTTTTTTGAGAAAAATTTCATAAAAATTGATGCCTGGCCATCATGATGGCTCCTGGTTTCAAAAATACCTTCCAGGGAAGCATACATTTCACTCTTTCTTTCATTTCATTTCTATTCATTTTTTTTTTGAATTGTTTTTACATTTTCCTTTTTCTCTTCAAGCAATTTGAATAATTTTTTTTTTTGTCAATAAAAATTCCATTTTCATTGTAATTCAAAATTCATTCGTCAAGTACACACAAACATTGGGAATGCAAAATTCCGAAAAAATTTCCTGAAAACTTCTTTCCATTTTATTTGTCGTTTGTTTTGTTGTTTTTCTGGGGAAATTTCCAAAGAAATAAAAACTTTTGAAAATCTAAATTATCGGTTTTTCGGAAACTGATTGATTGATTGGTTTTGGTTTGGTTAGTGGGATGTTTTTTTTTTGCGTTTTGTGTTTTTCAAATGAAAATGAAAAAACTACTTACTCTAAAATCGGTATTGGCCGATAGCCAGGCATCAAATACCAGCTATGATTTGCCGGTGGCCTTGATCCATACGAACGACAACGTATTATTATTTCCTGTCCGGATATAAATGATTGTTTTGATGTTGCTGCTGTTTTTGTTGTTGTTTGATTTTGATTGAAATTTGTCGATAACGGATATGCAGTGATTTCTACACGTTTCGGTTTTGCTATACGATGGCGGTGGAAATAGGAAAAAAAGAATCGAAATGATCAATAAAACAAACAAATAAAAAACTGGAAATTGAAAAAAAATCCACTTACTATTAACTTTCATTAAAATTTTTAAATTTAAAAATGTTTGATTATCATTACTTGACAGACATTTAAACCAACAATTATGATCATCGGATTTGATTGGTGTTAAATGTAATTCACTTTGTAATGAATTATTTTTTTCCGTTAGAATATGAAATATTTGTTGTCGTATTATCTGGTTATTACGATACCAATTTAATAATGGTAATGGTTTACCTGTTGTTTTGTTTCAAAGATGAAATTAAACCGAAAAAAAAGGGTTACTTTTTAAAAGTTTTTTTATTGGTGGTGGTGGTAGTGGGATAATCAAGGCCTGATTTCAATATTCAAAATCAAAATAGAAAATTCTTCACAACAAGAAAACTAAATTAATACGTTTTTACTGGGATTGTTTCACTTTCTTCTGTTTGTTGACTAATTATAATTAATACATTTGTGATTTTCATTGATTATCATCATCATCATCATTTGGGCACATCATATGTGAATAGAATAATAAATCAAGATAATATTTAAACAATTTTTCTTCTTTCCATCTCTATTCATTATAATCATTTATAACTGAATGGGAGAGAGAGAGAGAGAGAGAGAAATATTCACAAATGATAATGATGATGGTAGTTTATGGAACGAAAAAGATTAATTGAGATTAATTAGTATGTTTGTGTGTGTGTTCCAGAAGTAGCTGAAACAAGTGAAAAACGAAAAACAAAATCCAAAAAACGAATGAATCTTCCTATATATTACATTCCATTCCATTCATTATTTTGTTTTGTTTTGTTACAACAAGCAAACGAAACAACAAAACTACTATTTGGTTGTTGTTGTTGTTGTTTTAAATGAACAAATCGAAAACAAAAAAACGAATCGTATTGAATTTGAATATAAATTCTATTAGCAACAATGTGAATAAATGAATGGAATGGATGAACGAATGAATGAAAAAAAAGCTTTAGGTTATCATTGACTAACATACATTATAGACAGCTAATAATGTTAATTAATTTATTATCATCAAACTAGAAAAACTAAATGAAAGGTAACATCATCTAAATGAATGGGGGCATTCATTCATTATTCATACAACAACAAAAAAAATAGAGTTTAAAAGCCTAATAATAAATGAAACACAAAAATATATATATAATTACCGCCTTCGGATAAACAAATCAATGTTGTCGATTCATCTTCATTCAACACGATTGTTTGATTTGGTTCCAATGATTTTAGCATAATCATTTTATTATTATTATCATTCGAAATGGATGATGATTTTGTTTGATGTTGTAATGTTGTTGTTGATAAATTCGTTGTTGTTGTTGTTGTTAAGCTCGATTTTTGTTCATGATTTTCAAAATCATCATCACCATTTCTTGATCGATTTAGTTTTGTATTGAAATAATTATTTCTATCCATTTTCAATAATATCTGTAGTTGTCTTGGTGGTACTGTTAAAGTGTTAAATTTTTTTTAATTTTTAGAAAAAACCAACATCAAAAAGGATACATACCAATCACATTTAATGTTACAGTTGAAATTGTTGTACGTTCCCATTTATAATCAACCCTACACCAATAAAGACCAGAATCTTTTTCTTCAATTGGCATTATATAAAGATGTGCTGTTGATTTTGAAATAGGTTTCGATGTTATTGTCGGTAATGTTGTTGTTGTTGTTGTTGAAGGCATTGATGATGTAGTTTTAAATTTTGATTCCATTTCTAATTGTTGTTGTTGTTGTTTTGATGAAGAATTATTAATATCACCCGATTTTTGTTGATTTATTGTAAAATTTATTGATTGTTGTTGTTGTTGTTGATTTAATGTAAAATTCATTAATTGTTTATGTTGATAATTTTTATGTATAAAATGTTGAGCATATTCAAATGATTGATGACGAGCATCAACACTATAAATTGGTGAACCAGATATATCATCACCACGATACCATAATACTAATGATATTGAATCAGATGGATTTAATTGTCGTACAAAACAAGGTAAACGTATTAATCGTCCATCAATTGCATTTACATCACTATAAACTTTTTTTAAAAAAGAAAAATTCAAAACAAAAATTAATAAAACAACAATGGAAATATATTCTCTTCAACCATCATCTTGATCAACTTTCATCTAATTTTTTGTGCCTTGATTTTATGATTAATTTACCCGGGAATTCTACATTATCCCGATTATTAATAATAAATGTGAATATTACCCTGATGATATGTAATTTATAATGTTTGATGACAATATTGATAATGATGATTAAATCACATTGTAAATGCGGAAAAACAACAAGACAGACAAAAAAAGCCATCCATATTTTTCATTATTCTAATAATAATAAATTATAATAATAATAATAACTTGTAACATCCTATACCTTTAGTTTTTTCATTTTATTTTCTGCAAATATTATTATTATTATTATTTTTTCTCGGTAATAACGTTATTATTATAACAAAAAACATGGATCATCATCATCTGTTTCCGTTTTCATTTTGATATTTCGTGAATCTTTGTTTGATTACATTGTATTATTATTGTTACTTTGGAACGAAAATGAAGAAGCAGCTAAAATGTCACACTTTGCTTGTTTGTTTATTTTATTTTATTTTTTTCGTAATAATAATATTATTATGGTGGATATACATTGAATCTAGTAGTTTCAGAACATATATTACACACACAAAATGACATCTGCATGTCTGAATATATTTTCGTTCGTTTTTTTCACTCATTCTGTTCTATCTATGGAACACTGCTTCTGGCTTTTTGGATTTTTTTTTTGTTTTTCATTGGCCATCCATTTTATTTTGGAAACATGATGATGATGATGGTATTTGCATAAATGTTTTTTGCTTTCATTCTTTTTTTTTTGGTTCAATATTGATTGCCTAACATTATTATTATTAAGAAAATATTCTTAATAATTTCTTTATGTTTTCTCCCTTGGTTGATTGAAGCCATTTATAATATCGATAATAATATGAACGTTTTTTCGTTATGAAATTGGCAATACGCCCATTCAAACTTATTACAAACCGATATTGAATATTGAATATTAAAGAAAAACAACTTACTTTGATGTTGATGTGCTTCAATTAATGGTTTTTTAACACGATTTGGTAAAATATTTTGTCGTATTTTTCTTTGTAATATTTTTTCATCATCATAATAATCCAATAGCAAATCTTTATCCGCATCATAAGTTTGTTGTTTATGATGATAATCCTTGTTGTTGTTGTTGTTATGGTCGTTCCAATGTTCATTGTTCTTTGACCTCAATGTTTTCTTCGAATCCGATTGAAATAATTTCAATAAATTTCTATTCTTTTCATTATGTTTATTGTTAATTATCACCAATGGAATATCATCATCATTATTATCACCATCATCATCGCTATCATCATCATTAGTGTTTGTCATCATTTGAAATGAATCTAGAGATAAAAGAAACAAGAATAGAAATTATTTTTAAAACATGAAATTTTTAATCCTATTTTTTATATTTTTAAAGAAAAACATCAATTTTTCAATTCTCATTATAAAATTTGTAAAGAAAAATAGAAAATCATAAATTGAACGACAACAACAACAACAATGATGACAAAAATAACCAGAAAAAAACCAAGGACAATCATAACAAGATTAATGATAATGATGATGATGACAGTGATGAAAATACGATATAAAAATGTATACAAACTTACAAGAATCACGAGAGAGATACAAATGGCCCTTCTATTTTTCCACTCTGTTTTGTTGTTGGACAAAAAAATTTCTATTTTTTTCACAAAACAAAAATAATTGAAAATCATCATTTTTTTTGCAACTATACAAGATTAGCTTTTTTGAGTTTCATTCAAACATCAACATTTCAATATCAATATCGATCATATGATGAGAGAATATTTTGAAAAGATTTTGAAAATTATTTAAATATGAATCCAGATAATAATAATGAAAAATATACTGAACAAATTGCTGTCTTTCTTTTTCTCACGCTTGATAATTTTCAATGTGCCAAAGTTTTTGCTTCGGAAAGAATCTTTCGATAATAGTAACAGGCCGAATAGACAAACAAAAAACAGCAGCAAAATCCGTTTACATTTTTCCTATACTTTTTTTTCAATATCGATAATGTGTGTGTGAGAGTGAATAAAAAAATTTTAGGAATAGAAAAAGAATTTAGTCAGTGTGTGTGTGTGTGTGTGTGTGTGTGTGTGTGTGTGTGATCAACATAAATCAGGATATTGTTTTTCATAAAACACAACAGACATAAAGGCAGAATGAAAGAATGAAAAAAAACGAAGCTTATTATGCGAATTTTCTTCAAATATCCATTTTTTTTCTCTCTCTCTCTCTCTCTCTCTCTCTCTCTCTCTCTCACTCCACAGCCAATATTATTATTATCTTTGTCCATACCAGAAAGAGTGAGAGAATATTCCGTTAATGGTAAATCTTTTTTTTTCTTTCATTCTTCTGTTATGTTTCGGTTAGGGTTTTCATACATTTTTATGGATGTTTTTTTTCCTCGTTGTTCATATGAAAATCACGAAAGAGAGAAACAAGAGAAAAAAGAATCAAATCTCTCTTTCAATACATCACATGTAGGAAAACTCAATATGAATTTTTCTTGTGATCATACCATTTACACACACACACACATTGTGAATCCGTTTTTTATTATAGTTTTTTTTTTCTTTGTTTTGTTTAAATTTCTATAGTGGATTTAATTCAAAATCTCATTTCAATACATGCAAGAAAAAAAACAGCTTAAAAAATATACTTAGAATCTATTAAATGGATTTTTGAATTTTTTTTTTTGAATAGCATCATCATTTAAATGTTGCCGCCGTTTGTTTGTTTTTTCAAAAAATTTAAATGTTGATAACATTATAGCTATTATTACCTTTTATGTATGTATGTTTATTTTTCATGTTCATGTTGTTAAAATAGTCTACTTTTATCTTTTTTTTCCTTTTTCACCACCATAGTGAATCAAGAATCAACGAAAAAAAAAGAAAAAGCTTAACCAAACATCATCAAAAATGCTGATGATGATGGCGATAATATGATAATAAAAAAAAGGTATCATATGGATTCTAAATCTTTTTTTTGATTCCGGATTCTTTCTTTTTTTTTCTCCTCATAAATACACCCGGAATCCGTGTGATCATCATCATCATCATTATTCATTAGAACCAAATCATCTACTATGTGTCTGGTTCATACATGCACTATGCACGAGCCATTTTGACTAATAGAATTATGAATAAGATTCACTTTCACTTTCATTGGAAATTCAGAGAAAAAAAAATCATCATAACAACAACAACAACAAAATGAAAGTAAAATAATAATAATGATGATGTTTGATTGAAATTGAAGATGAATGAATGAATGAATGAATTCATATGAAAAAAAAGGTAATCTATATAAATGAATGAATGGATGAATGAATGATATGAATATTCAATTTTGTTTGTTTGTTTTGTAACGATACGACTCGATTTTTGTTTGTTTGTTTTCCTATTCAAGTAATTTCCTGTTACAGATACTTCATTACTTCAAAATAAAACCATTTATATTGATGATCATAATGATTTAAGATGATATTCATGCCTTTTTTTTGGATTTAAGCTTTCAGTAATATTTGATGATTTTTTCTCTTTTTCCTTTTCATGAATATCTATCGATGATTGCCTATAGGGTTTCTCGAATTCATAATGATATTTTCTCATTTTTTGTTTATCGTCTTTTTTTTCGTAATATTTCCAGTTGATGATGATGATGATGACAATTTTTTTTGACCATATTTCATTTATTGGATTTCTATCGTCTGTTTATATATAGTCAATATTTTGAGAAATAAACTCAGAATTGCTTGAATGAATGATTTTAATATCAGAAAAAAATGGTGATTCCAGGTGTTTCATCACCGTTGATTTTTGTTAAAAAAAAAATTTGTTTGCGTGTATAGATGCTATGATTCATTCTATGATTCATTCGGAATAACCCTTTTGCCCCACCATCCCCACCAAAGAAAAAAAAATTCTTGACAAAACAAAAAACTTGACAATTTTCAAATTCAAATTCAAACAATTTGAAAATTTCTTCAACCAAATTCTCTCAGTAAGAAATGATAATGTCATTGGTTAAATGAAGAAAAAAAAACAAACGGATCAAAAAATAAAACTGTGTAATCTGATTTCAACCAACCAACAAAAACAAAAATGAAACAAAGAAATTTCTAAATGAATGAATAGAAATAAAATTCTACATTGAATGAAACAGAATGCAAGAAAAAAAATAGCATTTACTTATATAAAACAAGAGAAAAAAAGATGGATACTTTTGGAGTGTTTTCAACTTACTATCAATCTATCTATCTCTGCGTATTTATAATTATTATCATCATTTTTTGTGATTAAAACGCACACACACAAAATATATCTAAAGTGATAATGATAATAGTTTCTTTGGGCAAAAACGAAAAACGAATCTCAATCTATAAACATCTTTCGAGCTTTCTATTTCTACACACACTGTGTGTGTGTATCATTCCCAATATATAAAAGTCTATTAATGACAGAATTTTTTTTCTTTTTCTTCATTATCATTATCATCTTCAACTAACTAACTAACTAACTAACTAAAATATTGCTTAAATAATGATAATGATGATAAAGTATAAAGATATAGATTATTTTGATTCATTTTTTTTTCTTCTTTTCTGTTTGCCATCATCATCATCATCATCATCATCAAAATGATGATGATGCGAAGCCAATTGATACAATGTTTTTGGATTGGTTTGGTTTTTTGTTTCGCTGCTTTCAGAATAAAATCAAAAACAAGTAATGGAAAGTGGAGAAAAATTTCTTCATATTCTTGTTGTTGGTTGTTCAATATTTCAAATTGGTAGGAAAATTTCTACTTACTTTTTTGATCCAAAACAAGATTTGTCGCATCTTGATCCATTGATGATGCGGATGATGAAGATGCAGATGATGTAGAAATAGATGATGATGATAATGAATAAGAATCTGATTGATCTTCCAGTTGATTCCAGATGAAAAAATTTTTCAATGTTATCGATGATGATGATGATGATTGTGGTAAAGATGTTGGTGCAGTAGTCTTCGTCGATGATGATGATGATAATGATAAGCTCTTTGTTGTTTCACTAATTATCATATTTGATGATGATGATGGTCTAATCGTCGTCGACGTTGTTGTTGTTGTTGTTGTTAATGTAGTCATATTATTCATCATCATAATCATTGTTAATTCAGAATTTATTGATTTTATCATTTCCAAATCGATTATCATCATCATTAATAATAATAATAATATAAATTTAATTAATTGATAATTCATTTTGATTGAAAATTGTTATTATTTTTCATTCCTGGTTGTTCAAAAAAAAACATAGACCCACGAAACACACAGAGGGTTATTTGAAAATAAGATACACTATATATGGTTTCGGTTGTATGTTTCAATGATTATTTTTCTGTAGTCGTAGTCGTCACTATCACTTTTAATATCCGGCCAATTGATTATTTTGAAAATTGAAAATAACGTTGATTTCGGTTCATTCGATGCATATCAAAACTGATTTTTTTCGTTGGAAAAAAGTTACTTTTTTTCTCTGGTCCTTCAATGTTTACATTTAATTTACATCACTATGTTGATGGTGATGATATTCAAGATGATGACCGTTTTCAATTCCAAATGAATGAATAAAATGCTTTTGAACAAACAAAACATCAAAGTCACACAGAATGAAAGAAAACAAGGATTCTCTATCAGTAAAACATTTTTGATCATTCAATTTCAATTTCAAAAAAAGATAGTTTGAAGGAAAAAGTGGACAACATTTGTTTGTTTGTTTGCATATTATGCATATTATACACATTTTGACGATGACGACGACGTCCAACATTCAATTTCAGCTTCCAATTCCTGAATAAAAAGAAAATGAAAAATAACAATAAGAAATGCAAGAAAGTAGCGAAAAAAAAATCCAAACACTATTTTCAACAACAACAACAACAAAAATGAATGTTATTCTTTCATAAACATATTATTCTGTTGTCCATTTTCGAAAAAAAGTCAAAAATCAAAGAATAAGTGAAAAGAATCATCATCATCACCTCATCATCATCATCGTTGAAAATGATACGGATGATGATTCTTTCAATGATTCTATGAACAGAAGAAGAGAATAAGAAGAAGAAAGAGAAAAAGTTGGACTTTCAATTCTGATTCTGTTTCGGTTTGATTCCATTTATAATAATAATAATAATAATAATAAATCAAAAGTTTATCTATTTTTTCACAGTGGTATATTTATTGTTGATTGTTGATTATTGGCCCTT